GTCTATAGAGAGTAAATGGAGATAGTCTATAGAGAGTAAATGGAGATAGTCTATAAAGAGTAATTGCAGATAGTCTATAGAGGGTAAATGCAAACTATCTGATGCACTGTAGATGTCGATAGTCTATAGAGAGAGTAGTAAAGAAGCCGTTTTGGAATTGGCTAAATACTCATTAGCTAGAGCTAAATAAATAGGACAAAAAAAACGGAATTAATGCAGTGTAGATGCAGACTATCATGCCAAGAGAGATAGTCTATAGAATGCAGTAGACTATCGAGCAGAGCGAGATAGTCTATATAATACAGTGTAGGTAGAGTAGATGTAGACTATCGAGCAAAGCGAGATAGTCTATAGGATGTAGTGTAGGTAGAGTAGATATGATGTAGTGTAGGTAGAGTAGATATAGACTATCTCGCTTTGCTCGATAGTCTATAAGGTAGAGTAGATGTAGACTATCTCGCTTTGCTCGATAGTCTATAAGGTAGAGTAGATGTAGACTATCTCGCTTTGCTCGATAGTCTATAAGGTAGAGTAGATGTAGACTATCTCCCTTTGCTCGATAGTCTATAAGGTACATTTAGACTATTTCGCTCTGCTCGATAGTCTATAAGGTACATTTAGACTATTTCGCTCTGCTCGATAGTCTATAGTCTATAGTTTAGTCAAGCTTTTTTATAAAATTCTATCGCATGCAACCACCTAAAATGGAAATTGCTTCAACAAAATAAAAAATGAAAAGAAAAAAGGGTAGCTATTTTACAACCACAATCGTTTAAAAGAATTGAGGAAATATGGATTTAATGAGAGAAGGAACTATTACCGTAATTGCATACTCTTGGATATTATTGCTATCCTATAACGCCAAAGGCCAGATAAAGGAGTTTTTAGCGATATTTCCGCCCCCTCCCCTCCCCCTGCTCTTTGTAGCAACTTTTCAAGCACATGGTTAAAAATCCAAGCTCTTTTAGACAATTTGTGAATAGTCATGTGTCATCATTTTTTTCTTAAATCAAATCCGTATGACTCTATATCTCTAGTCTTTTGGAAAAAAAACCACTATCGAGCAGACACTATTGAGCAGACACTATCGAGCAGAGCGAGATAGTGGAGTAACAAGCTAGTCAGTGCTGCAACAAGCTAGTCAGTGCTGCAACAAGCTAGTCAGTGCTGCAACAAATTACCAAGTGCTGCTCCACTATCTCGCTTTGCTCGATAGTGTAGTGATTCGATAGTGTAGTGATTCGATAGTGTAGTGACTCAATAATGTAGTCGCTCATATTTTTTCTCTCATTTGAAAAAGCGCAATTGCTCAATTTAGATACTCAAAGCGGCCATCTCTTAGACAAGAAAAACGCAAAACTTTTCTTTTTTTTTTTAGCCGCCGTTGCATTATATAAAGCGATGGAAATTTTCCAACATTTCAATATCAAAGAGAAAGTCTTTACAGAGAGTATAGAACATTATGTGTATGTCTCGATAATATCTAAACTGCTGCTAGTATATTACGATGAGTGAGTCAAATGTATTAGAGATACCATATGACCAACGAGTTGGTTTATCGGTCCGCAATTTGTCAGTTGCAATCAAGTCCAAGTTAAAGAAGCAAAAAAAAGATTTTAGTAGTACAGATGTAGATATAGATTTGGAGACTGAGGATTTCAATCGCAAGTCTTCAAGGATATTGAATGATATATCGTTTGATGTCAAGCCTGGTGAGTTGGTGGCTTTGATGGGTGGTTCAGGTGCTGGCAAAACAACGTTGCTACACACTTTGTCGCAACGGACAAATATTAATAACAAGAAGCTCGAGTTTTCAGGAAGCGTTACATATACAAGAGCCCCAGCTACTTCGTCGTCGTCGTTGTCGTCGCCCCAAGACTTTTCACAATGTACCATTAAACATATAAAGCATGCCTATTTGTTGCAAACGGATTTTTTCCTACCAGGGCTAACCGTTTTGGAAACCTTTCAAAGTCAAGCTGATTTGAGACTTCCCCCATATGTATCTCGGCTGGAGAAAAATGAACTAATTGACTATATTCTCAAAGTGTTGAATTTAGACCATTTGAAAAACACGAGGATATGCCAATTCTCACTGCTTGCTACTACTTTATCAGGCGGCGAGCAAAGAAGAGTAAGCTTGGCTATACAGTTATTGTCTAGACCATCTATTTTGTTCCTCGACGAGCCTACAACGGGGTTGGATACTTCGTCTTCTTTGAAACTTGTGCAGTTGTTGAAGAAATTAGCATCAAACGAATATGGCATCACGATTATTTTGTCGATTCATCAACCAAGAGCAGAGATTTGTGATTTGTTTGATAAGGTTTGTTTGTTGACCCTGGGTGGGAGATTGGTTTATTTTGGTGATTTGAAGAATCAAGCTTTGGACTATTTTGGGAAATTGGGCTATAACAGCGATTTGAATATTAGTCAATATGTTATGAAACTCTCAGTTAAGGATGCATCAACTGTTGAGAATGAGGCTGCATCCGTTAAAAGAATAAACTACTTGGTTGATCATTGGAAATCCATAAACGATTACGAATACAATAGTAGTGTTAAGCTAGATTCCAAACAGTTTTCTTCAAATCTAAAGTTGTTTTCCACACCCAAAAGGGATCAAATATCCCATTTTCGACAACTCGTTGTTTTAACAAAACGGAGTTTCAAGACTAGTTATCGTGACTACAAGAGTCTTTTGGTGTTGAATTTTGGTATATTGATTCTTGCAATCACACTAGGATGGATGTTTTACCGTCCGAAACATGATCTTGCAGGTATTCGATCATTGATCTCAACGCAATACGTAATGTTGGAAGTTGTTGGATTCTGTGCTATGTTTATCGAAACTGAAAGGTTATGGAACACCGATGGGGCTTGTTTTTTTCGTGAATATAAAGAACATGTATCAAGTATACCAAATTTCATCATATCGAGAAGATTAGCCAAATTCCTATTGGAAGATTTACCAATGACTGTTTTGTTCTCAGTCGTTACTTTTTTCATGTGGGGCATGAGAGTCAATGATGGATCATATTTCGGGATATACTTTACCATAGTCTTGTTAACGCAACTATGTTGTATGAGTGGTGCAATTTTGATGTTTGCAGTAGCTCCAAGTTTTCCCATAACTACTTTACTTGTTAACTTATTCTATCAATTACAAAATTCGGCTTCAGGCTATTTTGTTAATGCTTCAACGATGCCCGTTTATGTTAAATGGACCAAGTACATTGCGTATTTTTGGTATGGATTTGGTGCTTTGGTAGCGAACCAGTTTACCAACTGGGTAGGTGACTGTCCTTATAACGATTATGATGATCCTAGATGTGCTGAATACTCAGGTAATGTTCAATTGGCCATTTTGGGCTATCCCGAAGGGTGGATTGCTGAACCAATTGGGATACTTATTGGATGGGTTGTTGGTTTATTGGTATTAACTGGAGTAGCATTGTACTTTAGATCTTATGATGGTGGAATGGCCAAGACCAAGAAGAATAAATTAGGTAATGAAGAAGGTGAAGGTATTCACCACCTTGAAGCTGAAATGGTTGGGAGTAACGAAAAAACGGACCTCATCGACAACAACAACAATAATAATAGCAATTGTTCCATTGAAATTAATTTATTCAATATCCATTTGGCAATCAGAGAGAAACCCTTTTTTGGCAAGAGTAAAGGTTTGAAGACTCTACTAAATAACGTTAATGCTACTTTCAAAGCAAACACGGTCAATGCTATAATGGGCCCTTCGGGAAGTGGTAAAAGTACATGCTTGAACTATTTGTCAAACAGGTTAGACAGATCAACAAAGTTTTTATCATCAGGAAACATTAAAGTCAACAGTATACAAAATACATCCCGCTCTGAATTGAGCAAGATTTCATCATATGTAACGCAACACGATAGTTCCTTAATTGCAGATTTGACTGTTCGTGAGACGCTATATTATCAAGCGAGATTACGATTACCAGTAAGTCAGCGTTCTGCGATTCCCAAGATTGTCAATAAACTAATTCGACAAACTGGATTGATTGATTGTGCTGACACATTAGTAGGCAATGAGTTTATCAAAGGTATATCTGGTGGAGAAAAGAGAAGATTGAGTATTTCCATACAGCTCTTATCCAAGCCTAAGGTTTTATTTTTGGATGAACCTACATCTGGGTTAGATTCAAGCACAGCCGAAGCTATTCTTGAATTATTGAATGAGTTGGCTGTTGTAGCTGGTACCACGGTGATTCTCACTATACATCAGCCAAGTGAAGAACTATTTTACAAGTTTGGAAGTTTATTGTTGTTGGGCAAAGGTGGCAATGTAATTTACAATGGCACAACAATTGGTGTGTTGCAATATATGTCGCAACTTGGGTTTGTAAATTCCAAAAACAAAAATGCAGCTGATTATATATTGGATTTGGTGAGCTCTTCAAATGATGAAGATGAACAAGTTGTAGCTGACAGAATCACAAAGTTGACCAATAAGTGGGTATATCAAGAGACACTAAACGAGAAGAATGAGCATACAAGTATAACGAATAATAGTATCACTCTGGATTATCAGGTAATTGATTTATCAAAATTTTATTTCAAAAGATTACCGTTTTTGTACACGTTTCCCACGATTACCGAAAGGCAGTTTGTTACATCTTACAGATCCAAGGATAGTGTGTTGAGTAGAATGGGTCAAACAGTATTTCTCACCATTGTACATACATTATTTTTTGCCCCATTGAGGAATACGCAAGATGGTATAGCTAATAGACTAGGTTTGATTCAAGAAGTGCTCAACTTGTACTTTGTTGGTTTAGTTAATAATCTCAGTCTATACCCATTTGAAAGAAATTTATTTTTTCAAGAATATCGAGATGGGATATACGGAGTCACCGAATTTGGACTCTCCTATTTATTAAATGAGTTACCAACAGAAATAGTTCCAACATTTTTCTTTTCAGCGTTGATTGTATTTGTTTGTGGATTACCGAGAAATGCTACAATGTTTTTTTCAATGTTTGCTACTGGGTTTGTATCGATTAATTGTGGTGAATCCTTGGGTATATTTGTGAATAGTGTGTTCAAGCATATGGAAGTTGCAGCTAATATCTTATCAAATATCATCATTATAGCAATATTCATGGGTGGTACCATGTCTCTCCATATGCCAGGCTTTTTCAAAGGTATCAATTACATTAGTCCCATGAAATATGCCGTTTCCATTTGTGCAAATTTAGGATTCAAGGACCAAGTTTTTGACTGTGATGTTGGAGAGTGCAGTTTGAGAACTGGACAAGATGTATTGGCTTCTTATAATTTAGAAGCAAACGTAGGTGCAATGTTTGGAGGATTGATTGCCTGTCTTGTATTGTACCGAGTTGTAGCAATTGTTTCTATTTATGTTAGAGTTAAATGGTTTTAGTTTTAGGATGTATAGAAAAAGACCGCAACACTTTTGATGAACCGTTAGCTAAAGAGATAAACCTCGAGCTAGATAATATCGAGTTGATAATACAAGAATGGTGTTTTGGTTATATGTAAACCTATGGTTTTGCAATGGGTTTTATATACCATCGAGCGAACCGAGATAGTGGAGCAACACTTTGTAGCCTGTTACAACACTAACTGGCCGTTGATATTACATACTGTTCCACTAGGGCGAAGCGAGATAGTGTTGCTACTATGTGTTGCTACTATGTTTTGCTCTCTTGCTACTAGTGTTGCTCCACCAGCTCGCTTCACTCCCTAGTGTTGCTACTATGTGTTGCTACTATGTCTTGCCCCACTAGCTCGCTTCACTCCCTAGTGGTGGCGTATATTTTGCAGCTTTACACAAAACCAAAAATCGTGTAAAAGGACACGCACATATAATGGTTATATTTTTGGTCTTGTGTTGTGGGACCAAAGCCAATTGACGAATGGGGCTAAGGAAAATATATAGTCCACTATAGAACAGAGCGAGATATCAACTCTATTGAATAGAGTGAGATGTCAACCCTATTGAATAGAGTGAGATATCGACACTATTGAATAGAGTGAGATATCAACACTATCGACACTAGATACTGAGTGTGGTCCACTAGCTCTGCTCGCTAGTGGAGCAGTAATTACTAGCCTGTTACAACACTATTGAGCAGAGCGGGTTAGTATTGTTTGATAGTTGAGCAATACTTTGTAGCTTTTTACAACACTATCTCGCTCTGCTCGATAGTGTTTGCACGATAGTGCTCATTTTTATTTTGTGTAGTTTAGCTGTAACAAGGTACAAAGTGTTGCTCCACTATCTCGCTCTCCTCGATAGTGTTGATATCTCGATAGTGCCGCGTTTAGCCGGGTGGTGCGTGTACTCCACCATCTCGTGTCAGTGTCAGATTGTTTTACTCTAACTCCGGGCCGAGCGGGAGCGAGAAAAAATAAAAAGCGATCGTATGATGAATAAAAAGTCCGCAATAAAAAACAATAAATAGAGTAGCTTGCGTTTTGTGGCCCAAACAAGGAGTATCAATAGTATACAATTTGTGGAGGTTACATGTAATAATATAGGTAGAGGTCATGTAGGAGGTTAAATGTAGAAGTTTAGCAGGTTAAATGTAGAAGTTTAGAAGATGAAATATAAAGATAGTTATATGTTCCAGTTGGGTTCTGTTTTAATGTAACATTGAAAACAGTATCATTAAACAAGTTGTACCATTAAACAAGTTGTACCATTAAACAAGTTGTACTATTGAAAACAAGTTGTATACACTAACAAGTAGTATACATTAGATATTCGTACCAGTAACAAGTCTATTTGAACGTTGTATTCACTAAAGTTGTACCCCAAGTGATTTTTTTCTATTGCTTTGTTGTGGTTATTGCCCTATATGTTTGTTTGTTGTTATCTATAATCTTTATTACTTAACAACACCTTTAATAAAACCTTAACAAAAAAAAAAAAGCCTGAAAAAGATTCATATTTCATCATATTGGAGTCAATTCATAATTTGAGCGAGTTACTCTTTTTAAGGAGAAAACCGTCGGAGGTGCTTATATATACCTCAAAACCTTCCACAATGGGTTATCAGGTTGTGATAAGAGTGTCAAACAAGTTTGAAAATGCAGAAACTATTCAAGTAACTGGAAGCTTTGATGATTGGAGGCAATCTTTACCCCCATTGACTTTAGTTGGATCAAACTATGAGACGATATTAACTGTTGCTGAGAAAAAGGATATTGAATTCAAGTTTGTTATAAACGGTCAAGATTGGGTAACCTCCGAGGAGTATGAAACTGTTACTGACGAGCATGGAAATGCAAATAATATCATACACGCAGATCAATTGGAATTGGTTGGGTTTGATCACGATAAGAAAAAGCCCACTCCTGAAGACAAGGAGGAGAGTGCTCTTGAAAAACAGGAGGAGAGTGCTGCCGAAAACCAAGAGGAGAGTGCCGCTGCTGTGGTGCCAAAAAGGGAAGAGAATAGAGAGGTGGCAAAGAATGAGGTGGCAGGAAAGGATAAAGAGGAAGCTAAGAATGAGGAGGTAGTAAAGGACACAGAGACAGTAAAGGACACAGAGGCAGTAAAGGACACAGAGGCAGTAAAGGACACAGAGGCAGTAAAGGACACAGAGGCAGTAAAGGACACAGAGGCAGTAAAGGACACAGAGGCAGTAAAGGACACAGAGATTGTAATTGAAAAGAAAAAAGATAATGTTCCTTCAGAAACCTCACCAGAAAATAAAAATGCTGCGCCTGAATTAAAACCAGAGCAAAACACAAAAGATAGCACTGTTGAAAAAGAGGAAAATGCTCCAGCTGTAAAAGAACCAGTTTTGGAGGTGGTGGCACCTGAGAGTTCTGGCTCTGCTATCGAAGAGGCAAAGGCTCCAGCTGTAGAGGCAAGTGCAAAATCTGATGGTCCAAAAGAAGCATTTGCTAGTGATTTCAAGCAAACTGACCCTACCTTTATACAAGAGTCAAGTCAAAGTTCAAAAAATATTTCAACTCCAGTTTCCTCCTTTGGCGCTATTCCAAGCCAGACATTATCTTCAGACTATGAACATGTCGACATTAAGTCCAGCACCGACGGAAACAAGTCTTCAACAGCAAAAAACATTGAATGTGAAGGCAAACCGACATTGGATCCAAAAGCAGTAGCTGCTGCAAAGTCAAAGAAACCAAATTTGAAATCAAAAACATCTGAAGCAACTCTTAAATCTAAAGCTGCATCTGCAACTGCTCCATCAATAGCAAAAAATGCCACTACTCATAGTTCAGATTCATCTTCAACTGCGCCAAACACTCCAAACTCATCTACTCGTAAAGTTAGGTCACACCAGCATCCATCTCACAAAATGCCTGGTGCATTCCACCTTTCCAAGTCTCCGGGAAAGCACACCAAGTCTCCAGCAAAACGTGATAGTAATAATAAAAATGAGAGTTTTTTCGTAAAATTGAAGAATTTGTTTAGATAGAAGAAGAGCCGATTATGGAAAGCATTTTCCGCGCTCAGTTTGATACAAGTGAAAGAAGGATAAGGGATAACCATTTGTTTAGAAGAATCATTAATACAACTAATTGCTATAAATAAGTTAATTGACATTGTTCTCTTGTTTTTGCTTTTCTTCAATTTCAATTTTTGTTCTTTTTCTTTTTGTTTTTCTTTTTTAAACTCGTTGGAGCATGTCCTGCGCTGCTGCTATCGCCGGTGGATAGAGAAGTTGCCCCTCCCTCTGTAGCTGCGTCATCCGCTACTTTACTGCTTTCTTCACCAGCAGCAGTATGCTCAGCTTCAGTACTTGTTGGTTCAAATTTACAATTTGCCATTAAACTAGCTAATCCAATATTATTACTTATCCCTTGAGGACCCAACATATTCAATATGCGACTCAATTCTTTTTGCTTTATTGTTTTATATTTGATACATTTACCAGTATGAGGCTCAAAGAATTTGATTTTCACTGCATGTGTTGTAGGTATATGTTTACGAGCTTTTTCTATAGGCTTTTTGCTCTTGGTGGATTTGGCTTTCGCTTTTTTCAGAACATTGGTATATGTTACTGACAAAGTCGTTGTTGAAGGGAAATTGCAAAGCAAGTCGGTTGATAGCTCTAGGAAATCATCTAGATTCTTAACCCTGGGCATCTTCTACGTATTTATTGAGTTTGAGGTGGAAAGAAAAGGGCTAATAAGTACCCTTTTATCGTATTGTAGAGGTAGGTTGTTCTTTTTTTTTCCACTAGTTTTTTTTTCTTTTCTTCTTAGAAATGTCAATTATTCTTCATCGATCAATGTTGAACAAGAGAAGGAAACGAATTTTTAACATATTTACAGTACAACTGTCCTCATACAAGAAACAATTTATTCTAACAAAGTGATCATCTGTATTTTGTAGTTGGTCCTTTCTCTTGCCTAGCTCTTAATTTCAGTTGGCGCTTACTTAACCCTGAATCATTCTCTTCTTTCTTTGTATCCACCATTTCCTTTGTCTTTTTACTTTTCTTCAAAAATGGCAAGATAAATCCACTTAACTTGTAGCCAATGTATCCCGGTATGACTAAATACCCCAACCAAACTTTATTGGTGCCAAATAAAACCATCAATATATCGAAAAACCATGTTAAATAAATAACATCAAAGCAATATTGGAACAAGCTACCTTTTTGCAAAATATCGTCACCTGATTTAAGCAATCGTTGGTTTTGGTCAAGCTTGGGACGCCCTTTAGCTTCCAAGAGGTATTGTATCACAATACTTGGAATGGTGAAAATGATATAGTAAGTGAAATTTCTTGGTCTTCGTAAGAGTACAAGTACAACTATAATCAACAAATTGAGGAATATAGATATGTATAAGAGTTGATCTAAGATTACCTTATTTTTAGCTGCTATCTTTTTCAAACTAGCTGATGACATCTTTGGAAAATACAAGCTTGAAAACAAACAAACAATCAACTACAAAGCAAAAACTTTGATTCGATATTTAACTCTTTCCTCTTTAAATCTTTTCTTTTCTTTTCTTTTCTTTCCTTTTTTTTTTTTTTCTTCTTCTTCTCTTCTCTGACAAAGATTGAATTATAGATAAACATATTTAGATATACAGAATAGAATACTGCAACATACTTGGGTGGTAGTGGTGGACAGGTAGTAGTAGTAGTAGTAGTAGTAGTAGTAGTTAGTGATAACCTATTGAGTCTTTTTTGTTTCTTTAGGTAATTGGATCAACTTCAAACTGTTTAAAATATGTGCTTTTAAACTGGCATACAATTGAGTCAATTTAGGATTGTTAATTCTAGCAATGTAGCCAGCAAAAGTATTTTCTAATTGACTTACTGCCGATTTCGTATATTGGCTAGCATCAAATCTCAACTTGTTGAAAATTACAACTGATAAAAAGACAAACACCTTTGTAGCACAAAAAGTAAAGCTTCGCCATCTCAAGATTAAGGCAATAGGAAGCAAGATAAGCTCAGCACCAGTGGTCAATACCATCACAATTTCAATAGATGAAGCAGTGTATAGTGCCGGTTGGTTGAACTTGTTTGTAAACTCGTTAATCTTTGAATTGAGTCTCTGTTGCGTTTGTAACGATGGTATAAAGGCACTAAGCAAGTGATTTTGGAAATAGGTCAAAACGTGGAAAACGGCAAATATGTCGTACGACCATAAACTTGTAGGAACCTGGCTCTCAGTAACAAGACTTGCAAAGTACAATATTGATGCAAAAAGCGTGTATTGGACGTTTTCGTCTCTCAACAATCTGGCAACTGTCACTTGTTTTAATCCATTTTTGAAATAAACTTGTTTGATAACTATGATATAAGTAATAATAATTGATAACAATGCAAACCGATATTGTCTCAACGAAGCCTTTTGTCTATAAAATAACCCGGTTAATCCACTCAAAACTGAAAACAAAATAGCAAATACATGTCCTAGAAACCAGTAAAATTGCTGAGTTTGAACCACCTTGATTAATTGCTGTGCTGGGGTTTGATGCTTTAAAGTCGACGACGACAGGGTTTTGGGGGCCATTGAAGATAAAGAACAATTTCAACAAGAAAAAACAAGTGGTGCACTTGTGCAGTGATGCTATGCAAAAGAAAAAAGTGTTGTAAGGGGGGGAAGAGGAAATACTGGTAAAGGGTAACTGATATAGATCTAATTTTTCTATTCTCTATTTTACTTGTTTGCTTGTTTCTCGTTGCTCTTTAAAGATTCGTATCAATAGAAGAAAAAAGAAAAGTACGACCACTATTGAGCAACACTATCGAGCAACACTATCGAGCGATACTGACTAGGGGCAATATCGAGCAACACTAACTTTCTCTCTAGCACTATCGAGCAACACCGACTATCTCTCTAACACTACACTGACTATCTCTCTAACACTACACTGACTATCTCTCTAACACTACACTGACTATCTCTCTAACACTACACTGACTATCTCTCTAACACTACACTGACTATCTCTCTAACACTACACTGACTATCTCTTTAACACTATTAAGCGAAGCGAGATAGTGGAGCAACACTGACTAGGGGCACTTTCTCGCTTCGCTCGATAGTGGAGCAACACTCAGTGGCTTGTTACAACACTATCTCGCTCTGCTCGATAGTGTTTCTGGTAAAAGTGAAAAATACATAAATTAAGATTATTTGTATAAAGTAAGAAATAACCAACCATTACGACACTATCCCGCTTCGCTCGATAGTGGAGCAACACCGAAAACCATACTTCTCACATCCTCTCCAGTTTCATGGCTTTTATTTGCAAAATCCATAAATGTTTCTCTGTAATCTTTCAGTAGTAAAAATATCATATTAATTTAAACGGTTCTTATTGGCTCATCGGCTACACCTTTTCCAATCACTGGTGCATTGGGACCACGATTTGAAATAACTGGTGCATCAACAGCATGATTTGCAATAACCGGTCTTTCAATAATTGGCTCTTCACCAAGAGGTGGAATATGTGTACGCGCTCCACTCGAAGGAACAGCAGTGTCTCCAGAGTGTCTAGGAGTGTTGTCAACTACACTCTTTTCAGGGTCATATGGGCGGCCTATATTGTCCCCGCGCAAATGAAAGTGCCAAATCTTTGTAAAGAAATCTTCATCGATATTGTTAATAGCAATCCAAGTCAAGATAATTGGTATGATACCAAATGTGATCAAGTCCAAAATACCGTAAAATACAGCTTCGGAATCTGGCTGGATAACATTACCACCTTCAGATAAACCCCAACATACTGGGTACAAAAGCCAAACAACAATAAAGACAATAATTATTGTATTTCCAACAATATTCCTGGTAACACCTCTGAAACTGTGATGCAAATCAGTACAAACCAAATAAATAGCAAACAATTGAGCAATAATAGCAAAGGTAAAGTAACCCCATTTATAGCTGGATCTTATCAACGCACCAATTAACAAACCCAAAACAAACACTTCAATTGCCAAAAATCTCGTAAAGAGTGTTGAAAAAATTTGAATGATTCTCTTCAATAAGTCATCTTTATCATCAGTTAACGAAGTATGAGTAACAATGGCAAAGACAGTCAATACCAATGGCCACGCCAAAAACCAACCAATGTATTTCGCGTAAAATATCTGACGAACATTGTACCCACGATCAGTAGTAACATGATGAAATTGGGTCTCAACCCATGTATTGCCCAAATTTGACGCATATGTATAATAAGCAAAAGCCATAACTGCATTGGTGAATAAGGGAACAATCAATAATGCCTTTTTCAAACCGCTGCGACGGACACTAGTCAAACTATAAATAAAACCATGAATAACGGCAAATAATGCAAATAATGCAAACACTGCCCATAACCAATTTGAACCATGAGAAGTCAAGTTGATATCTGAGGCGGGAGGCGGTGGGTTAACAGATACAGCCTGATTGCCTCTCTTGACAATGTTGACTAAAAATTCCATTTTTTTGAAAGCTCTTTTGTATTTGTTGTATACCCTTTCTTTTTTTTTTAGTAGCTGGCGGGAATGGCTGCAAAAAGTAATTGATCTTGGGTGCAAAAAAAACGAAATGGAGGGGGGGAAGAGATAGATAAGCTTTGGTATAAAACACGGAGAGTTTCAGGAAGAAAAGCAAAAAAATAGGGGTAGCTTTTATCCTCTATTTATATCATAAGTAGAGAGTAGCAATTCGTGATTACTCAACTATGTATCAATCCTTTTTCAAGGATCAAAGTCAGAATATGCAATAACGGGAGTAGTGAGTAAAAAGACAAAAAAAAAAAAAAAAAAAAAACTTCACGAAAATTGCTACTTACAAATAGGATTTAGTTTCTATTTTGTTTTTAGGAAAATTTAGCCTTGTGTTGTAGAGAAGCGTTTAGAATTAAGAACTTTCTGAGTGTGACTCGGTATTGTCAATATTAAGAACGGCGTTGTAATTTTGAAGTGATCACTCATTGGTACTTTTGTGTTTGTTGGAAGTTCCGAAGCAAGTAAATAGGATGAAAAATGTGCGATAAAAATGGCAAAGAAAGGAAAATTAGGGAGAGATAAGAAGGAAAAAAGGGAAAGGGAAAGAAAGGGAAAGAAAGAGAAAGAAAGAGAAAGAAAGAGAAATACGGGGAAAGAAAGAGAAAGGTAAGCTCAAATATCTCCGTGAAAAAGAAGGAGAGACTCAAAGCCTTGGGTGACTTTGCAGGGATATGCGTCATTTCAAATCTGTAAATTTGCCTTTTCAACTTGAATCAATAGTTTGAAATATATACGGATTTGGAAGCGGGGCTATCCAAAGAACCAACCATTCGGCCGATATTTGTATCGTTCTTGAGACAAAAAGTACGAAAAAGAAGGTCCTTAATGTAGATTGATGTAGTTGTAACAACTGCTACGCTACCTAATAGATAAATACTTTTTGTGCTCCATTGCATCAAATGAAGTTTTTACTTTTGGAATTAACCAAAAGCAAAAACCCAAAGCCCGTGTGTTGTAACTCAGCACATGTTTTTGTGGGAAAGAACATTTTATAGTGAAGAAAACCATGGTGCAAAAAAAAAAACCTAGGCATGCGCAATGCGTGCGGCATTTAAGGGGGAATCTTTTTCTGCTACAGCCGTTAGAGCCGCATAACTTTCAAAATCCGAACCCTGATCAAAAAGAAAAAAAAAAAAAGAAAAACAGAAGATAACAACCATTGTCATTCCATGGTTTCTCCCTGTAAACATTGTCATTCCATGGTTTCTCCCTGTAAACGTTTGTGGCAGATATATATATATATAAAAGAATATAAATATTTCAAAGTTGATATTAGATTATAAATTAACTAAATATGATTACAATGGTATTCTAATCGACGTTCTTTCTCGTCTAGGAGAAAGAAAAAAAACAAAAATAAAGTGTCGCTTTTACTCATTGTGAAAATGCGATGGCAGCGTCTTTGCTATTATACCTTCTGTTTGAAAAGAAATGAAGTAAACTTTCATTTCATTTCTCTGTTTCTTTTCCTTAAACTTCAGTTGTAGCTTCTTCAGGAACACCGCTTGGTGGAACTGCAGTATCACCTGAGTGTCTTGGTGTTGTACCGACTTTTTCATTTAAAGGATCCGATTCGGCACCATTGACATAGAAAGCCCAAATCTTGGCAAAGTATTGTTCATCAACTTGAGCAATAGCAAGCCAAGTCAAGATAATTGGCAAGATACCAAATGTGATCAAGTCCAAAATACCGTAAAATACAGCTTCGGAATCTGGCTGGATAACATTACCACCTTCAGATAAACCCCAACATACTGGGTACAAAATCCAAACAACAATTTCAAAGATGATCAACAAGTTACCTGGAAGACTGTAGTTTGCTGATCTAAAGCTACGGTGCAAATCAACACAAATCAAGTACATGGTGAACAATTGAGCAACAACAGCAAAGGTAAAGTAACCCCATTTATAAGTTGAGTGAATCAAAATACCAATCAACAAACCCAATACGTACACTTCAGTTGCAATAAATCTCACAAAGATACTGGAAATAACTTCAAGGGCTCTTTTGATCAAATCGGCTTGGTCGTCTGCCAAAGTGGTATGAGTAATAATTCCAAATAAAGTCAAAACGAATGGCCAAGATAAGAACCAACCAATAAACTTTGCATAGAAGATTTGACGAGTATACAAACCTTGGTCTGTTGAAACATGTTTAAATTCAGCAACTTGCATTCCGTAACCTAAGTTTGATGCGTATGTAAAGTATGCAACTGACATAACAACGTTGATAAATATTGGGATAGCCAACAATACCTTTTTCAACCCATTTGTCTTATAACTTGTGATGGCGTAAGCAATACAATGAGTAACAGCAAAAAATGCAAACAAGGAAAAAGCTGCCCATAACCAATCTGAACCATGCTCTGTGATGTGGATATCCATCCCAGCCATAGGTGGGTTTAGCTCCACAGCTTGGTTTCCTGCTCTCTTGTAAATATCTAATACACCCATGTTAAATTTCTCTATAGTTTTTTTTATTTTCTAAATTACTTAATGGCTGCAAATATCTTTTTTTGTTTGGTTGCAAAAAAAAAAAGGAACCAATTTAAAAAATAACTGTATAATAATTTCAAATAAAAAAGACTTGTTAAAGTGTTTCTAGAAAGTGGAAAGAGAAGAGAAAATAGGGGTAGCTTTGGCCAGCTATTTATAATGGTCAGAAACTGTCATGAGACAAATTGTACTTTTGATAGACCTTTCACACTGGTCAGGAAACGGAAATAGTCCAATAATGACCATGAATTATTAGGGTAAAATAAAAATCACGCATTAAATGTCATGTAGAAGAAAATGATCATTTAAACCCTTTTTAGTAAGAAAACAAACAAAATTGAGTACTTTAATTAAGAAGCCACTTCATAAAAATGCGCTTCATGACTGCTTATAGTTAAAAGGGTCTTTTTTTTTTTGGAGAAGTGGGTTTTCTTTGTGGATGGAACGGATAAAATTTAAACAAAGAACAAATTTTTCTGGAGCAAAAAAAAAAAAAAAAATTACCGTTTACCTTCTTCTTTTCCCCCTCCACAATTACCAACCAATTGTCAATGAAAAGAATTCTACATCAATTTCCATGCAAGAACTTCATAGGATTTACTATCAATTTTGCAGAAAAATCAGATCATAATGTTTAGACCTCGCATTGTATTTTCCATATTCATCTTTTTTTATTGCCGAGACTTGATACGGCCGAAGTAGAAAACTGACAACAAACTTACTTGACTGGCTTTTCTTTGTATTTCTTTTTTTTTTTTTTTTTTACCTTCTCTTTCTAATTTGATGCTAGTTCTTAATGGGTAACGCGGCTAGCTTTCAGTGCTTTGAGTGTTGTTTTTTTTTGTGTTTCTGTACAACAGAGACAATAAAACTGGTAAGTGGTTGTTTTTGGAAGAAAAAACAAAGACAGCATTGCATAGTGCTTGACAGACTTGCCGGGTTGGGTTTTTCTCAGGACATGTCAATTGTTAAGTTGACAGGTCGGTTTGAACATTATTCAAATTCCGCACATCCTTTTATCCACGTGAGAGAGAAGACTTGATGTTTTGTATCCTTTGCATTGTTTTAAAATAATACTTTTCTTTTTACCGATTTAGTTGTTTTTTTTTGTTTTTTTTTTACCTTCAATTCCGAAATCAAATGACTCGCCATCTCGCTTCCTCCTACTGTACCTCCTTCCTCTTTCCCCTTGTTACCAAGGGGTCTTTTTTTCGTTCCATTGCTTCCGCTAAAGTGTGTTTTTTTCTTGACCCAAGGGGGTAGGAACAGTTTAGAGAGAGAGCAAGTAAAGGTCATTCTCATTTCATAGTTTAAGACTTTGTTTTTTCTATGTATTTTTTTCCCTTTTTTTCCTCTTTTAGATAGGTGAATAAAGAAGATGGTGGGATTTACATGTTTTTGTAGACGTGTTATGTAGAGTGATTTTCCTAAATGTTCTTGGGCAAGCATGCCAATTGTTATTTTCCAAAAATGATGTGCAGTTAAAATGTTGGTTGTTCTCGGAGATTGTACATATTATTTGCGTTTTTTTCCCCGCCAGTAGAGAAAAAAAAAACAAAGTAAGATTTTGGTAAGAAAGTCATTTATCTTTCCGACCCAGGGTCATCTCCACGGCTATAGCAAGTTGGTTTTTTTTTTTTCAGTGATGCGCGTCTTATTAGAGGTTACCTAAGTCTCTGAAAGGGATCTACATGGTATCTACGTGGTGTTCCCACAGTAAGTCACGAAATCTCAATAGCACTATAAAAATTCAGCCGTTCACACATTTGTTTGTTCGATTTTATTGGCCAAAATGTTATGCTTGCTTGTAGAGTAAGCCATAATCAAATGACACTACTTAATTGAACCAATGGTTATGAAATATCTTTAGATTGCTCAGATCTAAAGTTCCTGAGACGACAAAGGAAAAATGCAAATATCAGGTCATACTTTTTACCTCAAAAACCGCAACAATGTCTCTTTCAAATGATTGTCTCTACTCAATTGATATTAACAATCTATCTATTTATCTTTTTATCGGTCTGTTCAAATCCTAATACTTTCGGTTTCTCTTTATAGTACTAAAAGGTAGCCACTTATCGGCGCTAAAAACTAATTACCAAGAAAAAAAGCTTGAACAATGAAGGAAAACGCTTAATGTAGACGGAAGAGACGCTTTATGTAGACAGAAGAGACGCTTTATATAGATTCAATTCAATAAACGGTTAAGAAGCATGATATGTTTCTCTCATCTTTATCTAGTCTCCAAGTAGCTAAAATTCTTAAATGGGGCGGGGGGGGGGGGTTGATTTGGAAAAAGCGTTTTGCAAAGTGAACCCATCTATAAGCCCCGGTTAGTGTTTCCTTTCCTGGAATGCGGCTGAAAATTGATTATTTATATAAATTGAGAGAAGGAGAGAAGAGGAGGAGAGGGAAGAGATGTGATACCACCATATACAAGCTGGTATATGTGGTACACAAGGAGGGCGGCTACAATTTCATTTTTCCGTTTTAGAAATTCTAATCTTCTTGAAAGTTTGTATGCATTGGAAATTCTAGTCTTCTTAGTTTGTATGTATTGGAAATTCCAATCTTCTTAGTTTGTATGTATTGGAAATTCCAATCTTCTTAGTTTGTATGTATTAGAAACTCTAGTCTTCTTAGTTTGTATGTATTAGAAATTCCAATCTTCTTAGTTTGTATGTATTAGAAATTCTAATCTAGTTGAAAGTTTGTATGTATGTATATATATGAGAGATAATATGTGTGTGTGTGTTGGAGAATGCTTTCAAATGATGTCCCCTCGGTTTACATTCTACCCTCTTACTAGGGTTTCTTTTTTTATCCAATGGCAACAGGTTGTCCATTCCGCAATCGATCAATTGCCAGACTATCAAGACCACCTGTAGTGCCACATATATTACACTTTAGTCTCTTTGAATAATAAAATGGAATCACTGGAATGAAAAATAAAGTTATACAATTGATTGTACGAACAGCAAATGCGCTTTGATTATGGCAATGCCCGCAATAGCATGCTACACCTCCAACATCTGATAGAGGCTTGTTGAATTCTTGAACTGTTTTTTGTTTTTGTAAGTATCAATGAGCCATAAAAGATAAGAATATTGACAAGTAATTCCTCTAAAGAGAAAAAGAAATAAAAACCAATCCAATATTCCCAAAAAACCAACCCAATATTCCCAAGTTAGCCCTTTAGTTTTAATACATACATCCAATGAGAAAGAAACAAAAGTCCATAACTGTTATAAATTTGATTGCTCTTGGTGGGGTTGTATAGAGGGGGAAAAAATCAACTGAAAAAACGTTGTGCGCCAGCCAAGTGTTTTGTAATAAAGACTTGTTTGTTATCAGGTTTCCTTTCTTCTTAGAGATACAACCAAACTTGTTGCGAATAGTCTCTTGTTAGTAAACTACTGAAAAAGAACAAACAATGGAATAGGACAAACTCGTCTAAATATATATATATATATATATATACGTATAGCCTCAATTTTTCGCCTTAGCAAAGTTGGCGAAATGATGAAATAAACGCTACCCAAAGTTTTATATGTTATGATTCCTCAATTTCACTCGTAAGAGATTGCTCGATAATACTCATACTCATAGTGATGACACCTTACAGTCTCGTTTGGCAGTCTCTTTGACAATCTCGACAGTCTCGTTTGGCAGTCTCTTTGGCAGTCTCTTTGGCAGTCTCTTTGACAGTCTCTTTGACATAGAGAAGAAAAGTACATAGAAAAGTACATAGAGAATATAGAAAAGATAGAGAAGCACATTGACAGTAGCTTGTTACAACACTATCTCGCTCTACTCGATAGTGTCCTACGTATACTATGTTCAATTGTCTCCAATCTCATACAAGAATCCCCTAACTCCCTTAGACCAATGCCAATATCGCTTTATCACCAATGTCGATTTTTAGGGCTTGTTAATTTTTGAGACATCGAAAAAATGACATTAAACCATTGACCTTTTTTTTTTTCATCAACTACAAGTAATCAAGCTACTTTATTCAAGAGGTTTTCAATTCACTGGCCCTGGCAAGAAAGCGTTTCGGGCGATTAATCTATTGGCAAAGATAGGTATAAGTTGGAATATCTATACTATCAAGTGTCTGCTTTTTTTTTTGGTGCTGTTGTTTATTTTTTTGGGAGAGGACTTTGAAGATCCGTAACTCCAGCTGATACATAGAGCTATTAGTGAATAGATTGATTTGCTGCTGATACATAGAGCTATTAGTGCTAGCTTACACTGAATATGAAGTTTTCCCACTCGCTTCAATTCAATGCCGTACCCGAGTGGTCTTCCAAGTATATCGCCTATACAACCTTAAAGAAGTTGATATATTCCCTACAAAGGGACAATCTAAGAAAAGAGCACCAAAATGGTGACGCCCTGGACGGAAATGACTTGAATTTGGAGGAAAGTGCTCATTTGGTTTCAAGCTCTTTGGCGGATGCAGCGGGAACTGAAGGTGATGAATCTGCTATATCGGTATTTGAAGCAGCATTGGATGCAGAATTGAAAAAAATCGACACCTTTTATACCCAGCAGGAACAATTCATTTTCAAAAGTATCGATGAGTTGATTCGAGATATCGAAAAGTTTGAAAATGATATTGATACTGCTTTAAAATCTAGCCATAGAGTCAGACCAAAGCAAGTAAGAAGAAGGTTTTCAGAGTTTTCTCATGAAAATTTTGCCAATAATACAACTGATATGGATATGGAATTTGCAGAAGGAGAAGGAGATGACGACGATGACGATGATCTCGAAGAAGAAGAAGAAGAAGAAGAAGTAGAAACAGGCAATGAAAGAAGAAGAAATGGGGAAAATTCATATATTGAAGGTTTGGAAAGGAGGGGTATCGAATCGCGCGGCAGAAAAGTAAAAAGAATGGGGTCGGCACCTGTCATTCTGAACCCAAATGTATTGACTCGAACAAAATCAATAGATGAGTATTTAAAGAAATCGCCAACTTTATGGAATGAGTTGAGTAATGCCACAAATTTGGATAGTACTAGGTTGTCTCCTCAATTGGTTATCCTCAGTGAAGGTCGAATCATTTTGAGAAAAAGAACTATCGGCTTGTTCACAACATTATCTGAATTGAAGTCGTACATTGAATTAAACTATACTGGTTTTGAAAAAGCTTTGAAGAAATTTGACAAGTCTTTAAATACAAACATAAAGGGAAGGTATTTAGAAAAATTACCAAAATATTCGTACATTTTTCGATCATTGACTGTGATTAAAGTCAACGAAAGATTGCACTCTTTGGTGAAACTATATGCATTGATATGCAATCATCCCGATGATTTGGAAGCTGCTAAAGCCGAGTTATCGGTTCACTTAAGGGAACATGTTGTATGGGAGAGAAATACCGTTTGGAGAGATATGATTGGGTTGGAGAGAAGAACGTATGCGGCAAACTCGAAAATCGAACAAAGGGATGATAAAGAATCGGATTTGAAAAGCAGCGGAGCGAATTTGAGTGATTTCAACATTTCATTGAAAAACCCAGCATTGATAAAATTGATTGTAATTATAGTAATCACAGCTATACTACTAATTGCATCACCTTTCAAAGACCTTGCACAAAAGAATTGCTTTGCATTATTGATCTGCGCTTCTCTCCTTTGGGCTACAGAAGCTATTCCATTATTTGTGACGTCACTACTACTCCCTTTGCTCATCATTATTCTTGATGTTCTTAAAAACGATGATGGGTCATTAATGGATTCAGTGATGGCATCAAAGTATATATTGAGTACAATGTGGAATTCGGTGATTTTGTTGTTGCTAGGTGGGTTTACATTAGCTGCTGCTTTATCAAAGTATCACATTGCCAAATTGATCTCCACGTGGATATTATCAAAAGCGGGAACCAATCCTCCCGTTGTTCTACTCGCTATAATGGGGGTTGCTTTGTTTGCTTCAATGTGGGTCTCCAATGTTGCCGCGCCTGTTTTGTGCTTTTCTTTAATTCAGCCATTATTAAGAACACTTCCAAAGGGGTCGCTGTTTATTAATGCATTGATATTGGGAATTGCATTGGCTAGTAACGTCGGTGGTATGGCTTCCCCTATAGCTTCCCCTCAAAACGTCATTGCTTTGCAGTACATGGATCCTGTACCTTCATGGGGCCAGTGGTTTGTAGTAGCATTGCCTGTATGTGTTTTATCATTATTGCTCATTTGGATGTTCTTGTTAGTAACGTTCAATTGTAACGGTAAAAATACTCATTTAGTTCCAATTAGAACCATAGATGACAAATTCACACTTATTCAATGGTTTATTTCTTTGGTGAGTATTGGAACCATATTTTTATGGTGTATTGCTTCAAAGTTGACTGGGATATTTGGAGAAATGGGAATTATCGCTTTGCTTCCAATAATTTTATTCTTTGGTTCTGGTTTATTAACTACAGAGGATTTTAACAACTTTCCGTGGACAATTGTTGTGCTTGCACAAGGTGGCTTGCTGCTTGGTAGTGCAGTTAAATCATCCGGTCTCTTGACCACCATTGCACTTGAAATACAATCTCAGGTGCAGGGATTCTCTTTATTCGGTGTAACTATTGCTTTTGGCTTTTTAATTTTAATTATGGCCACCTTTGTGTCACACACTGTTGCTGCTTTAATTGTGCTTCCTTTGGTGAAAGAAATTGGAGACAATATGGATGAGCCACATCCAAACTTGCTTATCATGGTGAGCTGCTTTCTTTGTTCTTGTGCAATGGGTTTGCCATTAAGTGGATTTCCCAATATAATGGCAATTTCAATGGCTGATGAATTTGGAAAACCATATCTCACGGTGGGCACTTTTATTACAAGAGGTGTTCCGTCAAGCTTTGTTGCCTTTGCTATTGTTGTAAGCGTTGGTTATGCAACAATGAGGATTATCAATTTTTGAGAGGAGTAAGAAAGAGAGCGGGAGAAGGGAAAAGGGTGAAAAAAGTATTTAATGAAAATCTTAGAGCATATTGTTTTTCTGTATTGCTCTGTATTTGTTTTCTTTCTTTTTAAAAACGGCAAGAGATATTTATACTTTAGAATTCTGTCAGTCATCAGCTAGTTGCTTAGTATTTTGGAATATATGCTAAGGATGGATATCTCAATCAGTATCAGGGGGGGGGGGGCTTTTTATGTTGTATTATTTTCATAAAGGACATAAGGCATTGAAAGTCTACTCATATACCATATACATATATATATATATATATACAAAAACAACAAATTAATGAGAGACGCTTAATCATAAAAACAAACTGGTCATTCTTTAAATTTCTTCTTTTGGATGATCTTCACCTGAGCCACTCACCTTTTGCTCAATGCTCACCTTTCTTGCAATCTCGTTTTCGACGGAACTTGGAATAGTAGGTTGCCAAGAAGAAGATCTCCATGCAGGGACCTTTTCGTCCCACATTTGACCAATCTCTTCTAAACGTTTTCCACGTGTTTCTGGGAAACCAAAGTATACGTGAATGGCCATACATAAACAAAAGACACCATAGATGATATAAACTCTCCAACTAATGTTTTGGAAACCAGAAGGACTGTACATGGCAATTGCAAAGTTCAATGCCCAGTTAGCAGCAGTAGATATCGAGTTACCACGCTGTGAGATTCTGCTGTCACCCCAAATTTCTGCACAGTAAACCCAGATACCGATACCCCATGTCATTGCAAAACTGCACACAAACAAGTAAGAACAAGCAACAGCGGCTCTTGAAGCGTTTGTGTTTCCATCGGGAATTCTAATAGTAACAATTGTTGATGAAGGATCATCGTATGGTTCAGTATATGCACCTAAAATACCTGTCAATCCAAACTGGAATATCATCATCATGATGGCACCAGCAATCAACAATGGTCTTCTACCAACTTTATCAAACAAGTATAAACCAGGAAGAGTACAAACAACATTCAAGACGTAGTTGATTGAAGAAGCAATCAAATTTGCGTTTCCCAGGAATCCAGTCATTTGGAAAATGTAGACAATGTAGTACATAATCACATTCATACCAGTCATCTGTTGCCAAATTTGAGCAAATATGGCTGTGAAGGTTCTCCTAATGAACTTTTTCTTGAATAAAGTCGAATAGCCAATAGATTTTGAAGCTTCCTCTTGCAACAATTGCTCTTTGATTTCAGCAATTTCAATCAAAACATCAGAGTTTTCTTTATCACCTTTAGCTTGAATCTTTGCAACAATTAACTCTGCTTTTTCCCACTGATTTTGTTTGGCCAACCAACGTGGTGACTCTGGGATAAAAAAACAACCCAAGAATAAAACTATACCAGGTACGATCTGGAATGCCCAAGCAATTCTGAATGAAGCTACACCATTAATTTGACCAAAACCATAACTGGCATAAAACATAATCATGATACCAACAGTGATACTCAACTGGAACAAACCATTGATGAGTCCTCTTCTTCTTCTTGGAGAGACTTCAGCACCATAGATTGGAGCAACAGAAGATCCGAAACCGACTCCAACACCGGAAATAATTCTTCCAGCAATCAATTGAGCTCTATTTTGAGAGGAAGATTGAACTGCGGAACCGATCATCCATAAACACGAACAAATCATCAATGAAAACCTTCTACCAAATGGTTCTGAAACAAATGACGAAGCAAGTGAACCGAAAAAGGAACCTAGGGCCATTGATGAAGTGATCAAACCTTGAACATCTGCAGGAGGACTATTGAAGTACCGTAAATAATGTGAAGAACCAATAAAGGCCGACATTGAAGAAATATCAAAACCAAACATCATACCCGAAACAGTTGAAATCAATGCCATAAAATAAACATTGTGAGTTTTCGGAAACTTGTCTAAAACTTTGCCTATAGACAAAGCAGACTTTGAACAAGCTCTTTCAATTCGCGACGACATAGTATGCTATGGTGTTTTGAACCAAACATGAAACATGATGATAAGTATTGGTTTTCTTTCCATATTTATATTTCAAAAAACCAGTTCTTTGGTCCAAAAAGGTAAAAAAAATAAGGAAAGGTGGAAAAATGGAAAAAGGTGATTCCCTGTAGAGGCGGTATCATCCATTCCTTTTGTCTCCAGGTATCAAGAAAAATAAAAAAAAAGCACAACAGCAACAACAACAGCAACAACAGCAACAACAACAACAACAAAGACCCTCTCATGTCATTATTTGGTTACAGTCTTATTGTCAGTCCTTCCCCACTAGCTAAAGCCGTATTTCCATTATCATCATCATTTCTTTTTCTTTAATCAAGGTAAATGAAAAATAGACTATTTCAATTTTCTTACCACCAACTTGCTAAGTAAAAGTCATTTGAGTTCTTTTTGCCAAAAATAAAATAAATAAAAAAAAAGAAAATTGGGTTTTCTTTCTATATCGATTAGCTTCAATTGGTAAAACAGCCTTTTTCCCCTCATCAAAACCTTTTTCGGGGGAGCCTCCCAAAGAAAACATCTATTGATATACTATGGATACAAATAAAGACGTCATGCCCAAAGCCAGTACTACTTTAGAGCTGGAGGTTGTTCGTAGTTTATACCTTGACTCAGAATCTTGGTATCCTATACATACCCTGCTCTCGTAGTTCAAACGATTTGAAGTTAATGAACATAAAAAAAAAATAAAAAAAAAAAGAATAATAAAAAAATATTCGTTAAAAGTGACATTTACCAGTGGAAACCAGGTAAAACATATAATTATTTTTTTATGAAATACCGTGTCTCTGTCGCCAAGCTGAACACTCACTCCAAATAGTATACTTGGTGAAGAATAACCAAGCCTGCGATTCGAATCATCGAGAAAGAAACACCTTTTGGTGCTTTTTATTGATTGATTTATATTTTTTTCTTCATTCATGGTGCCACAAAATACAAGATTATTTTTATTTTTGTTTTGTACATCACTTATGTAATGCGCACGGTAGCGCCCAACGTTGTTGGTCTATAGGCGATTAGTATGGCAAATGTAACATACAACAATTGAGTGAATGCAACCCCCAAGGGGTTGTTTGTTGTTGTAAAGTTTTAATTACATTCATTCATTTTTTGTTTGTTTTTTCCAAAACCTTGGTGAATCAACGAAATGTAGAGTAGATACGTGAAATGCCGGTTTTGAAATAGGTGTCGAGTAAAAGGGGAAAAATGTGTAATAAGACCAACGTTTTGGCAAATGATGATCTATATAATTCCTCAATTACATTTATTTAACTAAAAATAAAAAAAAATATATATATAATACCCGGAACAACATTTATCCTTTTGTACAAAATTGCACAATGTATACAATGCGAAAAATCGAGATTTGAGCAGTAAGAGAAAATGACCATAACCAAGTGGTGCTCCACTATCGAGCAGAGCGAGAAGAGCTCTTGAAGTTACCAGTGAAGAAAGTAAAAATGGCATAGAAAAAGAGAAGGAGAGTTTTATTTTTTCAAACTATAGTACATAACAATTTAATCAAATTTCAATTATATATAAGCTATCAACATCAAGAACTAAAAGTCATAAACAGAAAGAAAGAAAGAAAGAAAACCAAAAAGAGAAAACCAAAAAAAAAAAAAAGTAAATGGTAGTTTGAAAAATTTAAAGTCATTAAGGTTTCTTCACGTCGATGAGCAACGATGGGATCTAATTGGGCTCCAATCTGGTTGGATTAAATTTTCTCTTCCGAGTTTGTATCGGGTTGGATTAAATTTTCTCTTCCGAGTTTGTATCGGGGTCCATCAAACCGTCCTCCTTATGTTCTATGCTCAACTTCCTCACTAAATCAGCATCTGATGCTATTGGGATAGTAGGTTGCCAAGAAGAGGATCTCCATGCAGGGACCTTTTCGTCCCACATTTGACCAATCTCTTCTAAACGTTTTCCACGTGTTTCTGGGAAACCAAAGTATACGTGAATGGCCATACATAAACAAAAGACACCATAGATGATATAAACTCTCCAACTAATGTTTTGGAAACCAGAAGGACTGTACATGGCAATTGCAAAGTTCAATGCCCAGTTAGCAGCAGTAGATATCGAGTTACCACGCTGTGAGATTCTGTTATCACCCCAAACTTCAGAACAATAAATCCAGATACCCACACCCCATGTCATTGCAAAACTGCACACAAACAAGTAAGAACAAGCAATAGCACCATTGGACGCGCTGTGATTGCTCTCGGGGATCTGGATAGTAACGGTTGGGTTACCTGAATCAGGCCAAGGTCTGGAAGTACCACCTAAAATACCGGCAAGGGCGAATTGCCAAACCATCATCATGAGGGCACCACCAATCAACAATGGTCTTCTACCAATTTTATCAACAAGGAACAATGCTGGAATGGTACAAACAACATTCAACACATATTGAATTGAAGATGCAACTAAATTGGCATTACCGGTTTTACCAGTCATCATGAAAAGGTAAACAATATAGTACATCATAACATTCATACCAGTCAATTGTTGCCAAATTTGAGCAAACACGGCTGTGAAAGTTCTAACGATATATTTTTTGGTGAACAAAGTAGTGTAACCAACTGATCTAGCAGATTCTTCCAATAACAATTGGTCTTTAATCTCGGATATTTCAATCAAAACTTCTGGGTCTTCTCTGTTACCTTTAGCTTGGATTTTGGACACTATAAATTCTGCTTTTTCCCATTGGTTTTGCTTGGCCAACCAACGTGGTGACTCTGGGATTAAAAAGCAACCAATTAACAAAAGTAATCCAGGAATGATTTGAATACCCCATGCAATTCTAAAAGAGGCCACACCATCGATTTTACCTAAACCATATGAAATGTAAAACATAATCATAATACCAAGGGTAACACTGAACTGGAACAAACCACCAATTAAACCTCTGATTTTTCTTGGGGATAATTCTGCACCGTAAATAGTAGCTACGGAAGATCCGAAACCGACTCCAATACCGGAAATGAGACGACCAATAATCAATTGTGCTCTGTTTTGAGAAGAAGACTGAATAGCTGCACCAACCACCCAAAAGAATGCACAACTTATCAACGATAATCTTCTACCAAATGGTTCAGAAACAAATGATGAAGCAATAGATCCAAATAAAGAACCCAAAGCCATAGCTGAGGTGATGAAACCTTGCATATCAGAAGCAGGGCTATTGAAATACTTCATATATGTCGGCGTACCAATGAAAGCAGACATAGATGAGATATCGAAACCAAACATCATACCGGTGATTGTTGAGATACTAGCAATGACATAAACATTATAAATCTTGGGTGTTTTGTCCAAAAAATTGTTTATCGCAACCGCGGCAGAGGCAAAGCGCCTTTCTAATTTTGAAGACATGATTCTTGTTCCTGATCTTCTTTTCTTATTCTATGATGAACCAAGATGGAAAAAAAAAAAACCGACTTTCGAATGAAGGAAGAAGGGGTATATTTATATCACGAGATTTTAGAAACCCAACCCAAGTTAAGTATTCACTGTATACAAACAGCCCATCTTGTTTGTTTGGCTAAAAAAGAAAGCAAAAAAAGCAAGAATCGTCCTTTTGTCTTTATTAGATTTGCAAATAATAATAAAATGGTTAGCTTCCCCACTAAAAGAGGTGGAATAGCATTTGGTGCAGACACTCCGTCACCCAGCTTTATTGAAATTAGAGCTATCCGCCTGTTTGTCTGTCTGTGTATCTGTGTGTCCTTATTCTGTATATGTGGTTTAGGTTATTAATAGGTCACTATTGGTATTAAGTGGTCCAATTTTTACATGCAACCTGGGGCATCAAGTATGGGTAAATACTTTTAGTTTAGATATAAGTTTTTCTTACTTCGTTTTTTCTGTAGCTATTGTTGTTTACTCCACAAAAAAAGAAATTCCGTACAAAAGCCCTACCTCCTGGAACATCAGACAGCATCTAAACACACATATAATGAACTAATAGTGCATCGGGGTAGTTTATAGAATGCGGATTATTTATCAACTAATGCAAGGCAAAGTAATATGCAGACATTTTTTAAACCTTTTTTTTTTCTTGGGCGGGGAAAATCTAGGGTTAACCAGAGATATTTTCTTGATTAATCATCTTTATTTTTTAAAATTTCTCCAGAAGGAAAAATAAAGGACGGATTAATGTTGCAATAAGTGTATTATGTATTGCTCTCAAGTTAGAAGAATCATGTCGTACCTGGTTTTTTATTGTTAGAAGAATAAAAGGATACATTCACTAAGGCTTTGGAGAGGAGTATTACACAAATACCCTGTATAAAGATCCATCTTTTTTTTTAACAATCGAGTCTCGTATTATTATAGCACAGCAAAACAACATGTGTGATAGTCGTGTAAAGGTCAAAACAAATATGTATATTCGATTATATACCCAGCGATAAAACCAAGTGTTTTTGTTTAGGTTTCATTTTCATTTTTACTCGAACAGTGACAAAAATATTGTCATCAGTTAAAAATTAGGACTTCCTGGGCACTCGCGTACATGGTTTTGAGATAATCACGAATTTCTCAAACACATTGGTTCTCTGTCCTCTTCCTATTGCCAATTCCGTTTGGCATGATGCATTTAAGCTTTAGACAGTTTCACATACTCATCGACTTAAACAATTTAGTCTTTTTAAAATTCCAAACCTTAAGCGGTGGGGTAAGAGATTAAACCTAACTTGGGCAAAAACAATTAGCCCTACTAACTTACATAGCAAATGGTTCTCTATTCTCAACCTTTTTTTTCCGCCCATTATGGCGGATAACTAAACATTAGATACTAAACTTTCTTTATTCTTTAAGATCTCCTCATAGTCATAAAGCTGTTGAGGATAAATTGAAACTAAGTACTAAAATCCTCCAACTCATTCTCTCGCCATTGCCAAAACACTAAACTAAAAACAAAAACGTATAGTCATTTCAAGTCCATTTTTTTATAAAACTTGTTTTAATGTTTTTCCAGTATGAAATGTGTCTGCAGATAGAGTAATGAGAAAACAAGTGGTGTTGCTGTAGGCGGAAAAATTAGAAAAAAGAAGGTGATCTTGTAAGTTTCGGACTTTTTTGATGAGTAAGCGATTACAAAGAAAAAGTTAGGGTGCATGATCAGTATCTGTGGAACAACATGAGCTTAAAAAATAGGATGAGTATTTTTTTTCCCAGAAATAGTGATATATTTTCCGCGGAGTGGAAAAAATAGTTAATCCATTTTCAAGAAAAAAATTGAAATGATTGGTGTTTTTGTGCATGAATTACGGTATTAAACATATACGTTCAGTTACGCAAGCCAATCAATTGTTGTCTTAGAAAGCTAAAGAATCTGTACGATGCCCAATGTAAGCAAGGAGATGTTTGAAATACGATATTACCCTTTTGTTGTTGTTTTTTTTCCGGCTCTCTAGATCCTTATTTGTCTTTTTAAATCTATTGTTGAGTGCCAATAAATCCGAATCCGAAAAAAAAAAAAAAGAAAAAAAAATACCGATATATTTTTTCTTTTCAAATATCACAATCTGAATAATAGAAAGACAAAATGAAAAAGACATATTTTTGCATTACCAAATACTTAGCGCTGTAGTGTAAAGTGAAGAAACCGTATATTTCTCATATCTTTGGTGAACAAATTGTGTAGAGAAAACCCTTTGCAAGTTTCTGCTTTCTTCACATGTTAGTCTTGATCACTTTAAAAATAGTTTAGATACGGAAATGTAAAGCAGATCTTTGCTTTTACTTTTAATTTTCATTGTAATAGAGTAAAATGTTTTCGATAGTAGAAGCGAGAACGAGAGGCAATGGGGGAACGGCACACACTCATCACTCTTTGTGCATCAAACAATACTAAAAAAAATGTCTGCATTAAGGCAAATAATTAGTGAAGGGCATTAAACACTGTGGGGAAAGCATTACGCAGGGCTCATAATTGTTATATGATGTATAGCGGATTGTATTCCAGTGTCTTAATGAAGGGAAAAACTTGCTTCCGGATCATCCTTCAAGTTTAAGTGCTTCTTGGACAAGAATTGTATTGTGTTTCAAGGGGAAAGATAGAAAAATTTTTCCATATTCTTCCAGAGGCAAGAGAAAAGAATGAGGAGATGAAATTGGTCATTAATGGAGAGGAGTGGAGAGGAGTGGGGAGGAGAGGGGAGGGCGGGTAGAAAGTGAGGGTGGTTGTAAGGGAGAAGTTGAATACATGACACATTAGGTTGAAAATACGTTTCGTGATTAAATGAAAAACTAGAGATAAACTTGTAAAAAAATTTGTTTGGTTTGGTTAGGTAGGGTATTTGCTTGGTTCGCTTATATTAGAATTTGGTTTATGATTTTGCATTATGCAAACTTTATGCGAGAGTTGGTAGTGGTTGAAAAATTGCACTTTGCGATTTTCATAGATTAAATATAGTTATCACAGTTTCAAGAAAAGATAAAATTACAGTATATCGAGTAAGAAGCCCATAATCTTTCAATCCGAAAATCTAGTATGATGTGACAACAGTATAGAACCCCATCACACACGATATTGGACCAGGCCTTCACCAATTATCCGAAGAAGGACCAAAAGAAAAAATAAAAAAATAAAAAAAAAAGGGAAAAAGTTGTTCAATTAGTAAATGTTTAGATCTCTTCTTTATGTTATCAGGGTTCGTGGTTCCACTGCATTGATGAAATTTATGGGAAAAGTAAGCTATCGAATTCAGAGTAACCAATCATCACCCTGTGTGCAGAATATAGAGAGGTCCCAAACAGGATCAGATGTTGTAGACTAATGATGTCAATGGCATGAACTAACAAAGTGATCCATTTCAAAGTAGCTAATTTCCTCTTTCTTTCTTCGAAAAAATAAAAAGCTCGTGTTTTCATTTTCTTTGTTAATTACTTACCTTCTTTCGTGTAGCTTTCATGACATACAAAAAATATAGAGAACGGTTGTCATTATGAGTATAGCTAGCCATTTGTATCTATGTCAAATCTACAGTCCAAGTTTTGGTAGATTTCTTGGAAAAAATTCGTATTGAGCCAGAAAAAAAAATATAATTTTTCTTAATCGTTTTTAAAACTTATCCTTCAACATTCACAAATAATTATTGATGATTAGAGTTATTATCTGATAAAACTAGTATTTTGCAAATTACTTTAATTAGCCATTAGTATAGCTATTTCGAAGTTGGAGTTTTCTTATAAGTTGTTCCCCCTCTTAACGAGTTGTTGTACATTGTAAAAAGAGCTGTACAAAACGTAGATGCTCCTCGCTCGAATAAACTTATCAAGTATGCAATTTTACAGTTGAGTGGAAACGGAGTTCTGAAACCTTGAGATTTGTTCAATGTGATAATTGACACACAAGAAGTATACCATTTTCAACCAATATTGTAGAAAGAGGAAGGAAAGGGGAAATACATACTCTTTCAATTATGGACGCCCATTTCAAGATCCTAGTGACAACGAAAGTCGACAAACAAGAGTACAACAAATAAACCTTTAGCTTTTACATTTTACTACACTTAAAGTTTGGGTTCTTCATCACATGACTTTATTAGCACTGAAGATGAAAAGCCATTTCCAGGTTAAAAACAAACAACACACCATCACTTTATACTCTATATCTCACATGCAAAAATATTGTTAGTCTAAAATAACCTAATCTTGACACCTTTCAATGTACATTGATTCGATTGATCGGTCTTGAAACATGTCCCTGTGCTTACACGTTTCGGTCATTCACGTCGATATGCAATCATAGGAGATAACGCAGGAGATAAGAGCTTCCATGAATAATAAAACAAGGGACAGTTCATTTTTCATTAGCAAAGCCAGCACCTACTGATTCAATATGCATCAGTTAATATATATATATGTATATATATATATATCTATGTCTATACTTATATAAATAAATTGTTCAGTGCCTTCTCTTGCTCTTGCAGGAGACGTTGCACGTTCCACTTTGTGGAATACTTGTTAGTCGTCATCAACTTTTAGTCGATTGACATTATTGGAAATTATCACCTGTTTCCTCATCTCATCCATACTGATATTACTACACTTTATACTTCATTTCATGCTGGACGGGACGGGGTAAGCGCGCGCAATCCTATCCTCCTCTTTTATCTCCTCTGTATCTAACGTTTAGGATTAAGCAAATTTCTTCGGTATAATGCTTTAGCAACAGTGCTAATGCAACCAATAATAGAAATACCGAGCTTTTGAGTTTAGATCTCTTTATCTTATTTCTTTCCGAATAATTTTTCAAAACATCGGAAAATTCGAAAATTGCTTTTTTTTTTCTTTTTTTTTTTCTTTTTTTTTTTTGGCACACCACTTTTTTCTCTCACTCCTTCCCTGATTTTAGTTTCAGCTAAAAGGTCTAATCAAGCTAAGTTATCTCTCTAACAACTTCCCTTTCTGGATAAGCTTTTCTTTTTCACATGAAATTTTTGATCCTGGCTAATAGTTGGAAACCGAAAGAGAGAGAGAGAGAGAGAGAGAGAGAGAGAGAGAGAGAGAGAGAGAAAGAAAGAGAGGGATGCAATAGTGTTCCAGAAAGGCTTTTTCAGGTATTTAGTAGGAACATAGAAAATAACTAACCTCTGGCCGATTTATCTTGGATAATTGTTGGGTTTGGTTAAAAAGATTACACTGAATTTAGCACCCAAAAGTCCTACGTACTTGTAAACCTTATTCAAGTGATCTTAGTGTATGTTGAGATTATAGGGGATTTCAAATCTTGTACGAGGATCTTTTTCTCTTACAGATCTTTCTATTTTGCTAAACTCAATGTGGTCCGTAGCGTGAGCAAGTCGTAAAAACTCGGAATCAAACAAAACGTGAGTCGTAAGATACCGGGAATACAATTTGTGCGCAAAGAAAAAAAACCTCACCATTAAACACGACTTTATAGCTAATTTCCTCTGCAACCGATAAGCCTCTCTTACCGAGGTTGGGTGCAAAAAAAAAAAAATAATTAAGTGAATAAGCCAACACTATTGAGCAGAGCGAGATAGTATTGTAACAAGCTCCTACACCAAAAGGGTACAAGCTCCTACGCCAAGAGGGTATTACATTACAGAGTAAGTAGGTTTAACCGTACATGGAATTCGTTTATTAATAGTTATTTCTATATAGGTCAAATTGCCAAAAAAAAAAAAATTATGCTAATATGTATGCAATATCATCCCCAAAACCACTTTTATTTTTTTTCCTTTAGTAAATAGTAGGCTGTGAAGCAAACTTTGTTAAAGGTTTAGGACATATTTTTTTGGCAAATGCAGCGACATCGTGAAAAAGTGGATGCGACGGTGGTTCATTGGGTGCCATAAATGGTTGGAGGATATTATCTCGTTTACTGTTGCATTCTGCACCAGTAGTAGCATTTACTTTTCTCTTTGACTCTACTACTGCCAATTCTTCTTCTTCTTCTTCTTCTTCTTCTTCTTCGGTATAATATTCCTCCTCCTCCTCCTCCTCCTCCTCTTCCTCATCATCAACTTCAATCTCGCTAGCATATGAATTATATGCAGTGGACTCTGGCGGTGTGTACAATTGTTGGTTTGTATTTATAGTTGTATTTGTCATGATTGGTTTACGGTAGTGTGTTCCATAATCATAATGATCGTCCTTGAAGAAATCACAACGAATAATTTCCTTGTACAATTTGTTCAAGTCAATTCTGTTGTTTGGATTTAATTGGAAAATCTTGTTTAACAAATTGTTAAATTGCTGTGATATAGGTAGGATGGAGGATAAAATGGTTTTATTCTGATTCAAAATGTAATTGTTAAACACGTCATTGTGTGATTCGGTGATTGATGCTATAGGCCAAGGGTTTCTTGAACATGTAATGTTGATGAATAGTACACCCAATGACCAAATATCGCCAGCTAGTGTAGGCAAATACTTGCAACTAGATTCACCAATCAATGCTGATTTTACAGAAACAAATTGGTTCATGTCAACAAGACTCTTGATCAATTTATTTGTGTTAAAATTTGTCGTTCTTTCGGGCGCCATATAAAACGAGGACCCACGACATGCATTACAACAAATGATATCAGAAGATATTGCTAATCCAAAATCAATCAACACCAAATGCAACTCATTATAGTCTAGTATGCTTGTAGAATCCGAAGGTCTCCTGTAGTGTGGATTATATCTAACCATGATATTTTCCGGTTTCAAATCGCAGTGGTACACTGAATGCTGACAGCAGTATTCTACGGCATCCACCAATTGTAGCATTGCATTCTTCATCAACATCTGTTTATCATGTTTATGTTTCTGGAAAACCTGTCTGTCTATAATATTACCAAATAAATCACCTTGTTCAAAATAATCCATTAGTATAACAACAGCAAAATTTTCCAAGTTAAACACTTCATGTATCGTTATCACATTAGGATGCTCATGAACTTTCAAGTGTAATGCAATTTCGGTCAAGAACGGGCATTCATGACCTTGGCTTTTGATATATTCAAAGTTGATCGATTCTGGTCTAGGTATCACATGGTTAAGGAAATAGTTGTAGAAGTGCTGTTGTATTAGCTGCTTATTGACATTTGAATCTTTATCCACAGTTTTTGGTGGTTGTTTTAACAACATCTTTGCTGCATACTGTTTCTTGGTATAAATGTTTTCCACTAAATATATAAGGCCATAGGTTCCAGCGCCGATTTTCTTAACAAACCGAAGATCCTTATTGAGCATGTAGCCATCCAACATCATGTTTACGTTTGGCTTTTGTCTTTTAAGTTGTGGTGAAGTGGGTAGTGATTGTGAAGTGGAAATATATTGTTGTGGTGGTGACCCACCACCCACTGTAGTCGTGGGTTGACTCAATTCAAATATTGGTAGTATATCAAGTGTCATAACTTATATATTATATATATGTAATATATATATATAAGTATATATGAGGTAGAAGTAGAACGATTGAAGTAGTGATAAGGAGTAAAGATAAAAGTAATGAGAAGAAGTAAGGACTAACTACAGATTTTCCTTTTGACAGGATATAAATATGGTTAAATATAATTTTTATACATAGATGATTCTTTAATGTCAGAGTACTTGTCAGTAACAGTATTGTTTTGGCTAAAGGTCTATCTACTGCAAAATAAAAAAAAATAAAAAAAGAAAACGGATAAAATTAAAATAAGAAATGATGCTTCAAGCATGGCGAAATCAGCTGCTAAATGCGTAGGAGTTAACAGAATATTTCATAAGAGATTACATAAGACACGAAAATTTACCGGAAGTTGAATTTTTTTTTTTTTTCCTTCTTTTCCAGACTGAGGGAATGGCCAAACGAGATATTTAGCAAATTACGTAAACGAAAAGCCGATTTTCAGGATATTGCTTTTAGAACTAATAAGAAATAGTCCATGGAAAGAGGTTTGCGAGAGATAGATTGAGAGAAACTGTGTGACTTGAGCGAGTGAATTGCTACTCTTCTAGATTTACTCGTTTAGCCCAACTTTTTTTTTTTTTTCCTACTAAACTTTTGTACATCGTTGTAAGCTTACTTCCTTACAAGTTACATCGATTCTTACCTCCTATACTACTACGTCTCCTCTCCTCTCCTCTCCTCTCCTCTCCTGCCTACCTGCCTACCTGCTTGCCTCACAACGTCGTTTCCGCCTCAAGACTTTAGCGGATAATTCCAAGAAATGCCATATATTTTGCTTCTTCAATTAACACAGAAAAAAACTGTGTTAATTTGCTCCATCTGTAATTATAATTTTTCCGCCTTCGTACAAAAAAAAACAGTGGTATGATTTTTTTTTTTTTTTTTTTGGTTAACCTGCCTGCTACTAGAAGAAAGAGGTCCAGCGCTACCAAATCTAAAGTGTCAACCGAATGTTCCATACTTTCTCTTTTTTGAAACCTGATCCAGGTAGCTCACCATCGCCTAGAATCAACGTACCCAAGAAAAAGGTGACATTTACAATCACATGAGTAAAGGCTGAACGAGATCGACGTATAGAGTATAAGCCACTGCAGCTAATGTCCAAACGACGAAAATAGACAAACTCACACCAAGGGTAACTCTTTTTTGTTTTTAATTTCTTCAAGTGGTCTTGTTCTACAATTCACATGTGATAACTAATAAATAAAAAAAAAAAAAAAAAAATATAGAACAAAGGTACACAAGATAGACGTTGATTTACGGTGGCCCTTGATTAAGTCACGGCAGATGTTTAGCGAGTGGCTCTGGTGTGTAGTGCTTTTTTTTGTCCTATTTGGTAATTGTCAATCATCTGCTATTCAGAGAAGAATGAATGATTTCCAATTTATCAACTTTACTTACTCTATTGAATATTAATGGCATAGCATATGGTAAAATCGGACACTTGATAATTCTTTCAAAATCTATACTACGGAGATAAAAGCTTAATTCGATCTTTTTTGTTTAGATAAACTATAGAGGTGAGATGAAACATACTACTCATCTCACATCATCATTTAGAGAAAATTGGGGTGGCAAGTTCACCTTGTGTGTATGTGTGCTAGGGTAGCTGTTACAAAATGCAAGATACTGCAAAAAACATTCTTCTTCCACATCATTGATAAGCCACCGTCTAATAATTGACACACCCTCTTATTATCTTTTTTTAAACTCCGCTAGCTGATGCTATTAAAAGCAATCGCTTAAATAGCGGAAATTGAAGTTATATCACTTTCTCGGAAATAGAAGTTATAGCTGGATATATCACTTTCTCCACTGTAAATCGTTTTGAAATTCTCGTTTTGCAATTATGAGCTGGAACTAATACTACACTGTTTGATTTTCCAGCCTCCCCACTCTTCCCAAAAGGAATGAAACAAAAAAAAAAAAATCATCCCACCATTCCAATCCATCATGGATTTATTTATATATTTTTTTTTTTTTGCTTTTTTCTTTGCACCAAGGAATGCCTTGCAAGAACAACACAAGGCCGAGAGCAAGACAAGAGAAGTGGGTCATGAGTAATGACTTCAGAGAAAAGTAAGAAGTGGTTACTCCCAAAAATTCTTTTTCTAGGACTTTACTAATGCTATAGTAGGAAAGATAACCCAATAATATTAATCTCATTGCCGAAATCATCAGCCTTTTGGCACTTATTGCATTACTCATAAGGCTTACAAAAATTACCTTGACATATTAACTTGAAATGAGACTGCTTTTGGTAATTCTTTCCTCCAATTTCCTCTGATCTTCGATTCATTATTAATTGTCATTGCCTTTTAGGATAAAGAGACAGTCGAGAAGTAAGAACGTAGTTTCAACAATTAAGAAATCATGCTTTGTTGTTACATTAAGTCCGGCTCTAACGTCTTTCCCCTTGGAATCATCAAAAGTTGTTTCTCAACCTTGGTCAAAACAAAAAAAAAAAAAAAAAAATACAAAAATTTCGTTGTTGTTCTACCTTATCATCTCAAAACCATTCTACGCATTTTTGTAATCAACTCTATTTCTCCTGGCATTAGATATGGGTGCAAAACTTAATATTAACTTCACATGGGTAATGAACTTGGAAAACGATGAGGGATCCCTCTTTAACTAATACAGGTCTATGATGTCAATTGCATAGAAGCGACAATTCCAAATTGTGATTATGATTCTCCGAATAATTGCTACTTCTACTAAAACTTTTTTTCTAAACAAATAAGCATCTCTCTCCATTTTTCTCTATCTCCCTCTTTCTTTCTCCCTCTATCTTCTCTTACTAAAGTTGCTTCAACCTTACCGTCTCAAAGTCGTCTCTTTGTCACTTCCCCTCGTCGGCAATATTTCACCAACTCTATTCCAAAGTTGGTTCTAGAACTGGCTTCGACAGCAGTAGTGAGTGGATTCTATTTTTACAATAACACCATCAACATAGCCGCGTTATTCGGAGATTGATTAATATAGTAAGGCTAAAGTATACTTTTGCATGTGATTTTTTTGTCAACTAATATCTACACGTGTGACTAAGATTACAAATGTATGCACGTGATACAGACACGTGACAAGGAGACCAATCCCAAGTGAACTCCTTCTCTTCTTCTTCTTCTTCTTCTTCTTCTTCTTTATTGAAGAATTTTTGTACTAACGATGCAGCTTCCCATTGCAGGCTGACTATCAATTATTGCTTCTTTCAACTCTAACTCATTGATCGCGGGAAATTCTCGTTTATAGTAAAGATCGGTTAGTACTTGAGTTAATGTAGGTACTTTATCGATGGTGGTTAAATGAACAATTGAACCACCCCAACCGGCACCGGTAACTCTTGAGCCAAATGACCCATTCTGTAATGCAATGCTGCAAATCTCATTCAATTTGGCGTTGGAAGATTCGTTCAACTTGTCCAAGTCCTCTTGTGAGTCATTCATCAACTGACCAAACTGCATAAGAAATTGAGATTCCAAAGTTGGCCGATCTTGCAATAATTTCAACGACAACAAGACTCTTAATGATTCATGATAAACGTGTTTGCTTCTTTGATACAATTTCAACTTATCAAACTTAACTGGGAATTTGGTAAAATACCTCAAATTGAGCTCTTCTTGCGTGATTGACAATTCTCGACATACTTCATCAGTAGTATATCCTTCCCTTTGCAAAGCTTCAACAGCATCAATCATTTGCTGAATATTACTGATACCAACATCAATATCATCTCCATCCCATTTCCCACAATAAGCTTCCATAACGCTTCTTAATGAACTGGTGCCCAAATTGGAATCTTTAGCTGCGTCAACGTCTAATTTCTTTGCTAAGATATCGCTGGCAATTGCCATTTCAACAACTCTCAAGTTGTAATGAATAGGTGCAGTGTCATGTTTGTTGGACACTTGCAAACTATTGGTGATTAAAAAAGTCAAGCTTTTAACCGGAAATTTACATGGCAACGCTTTTAATTCAGGTTTGAAGTGGATCGCCATGGCATGACCGGGCATACCATTAACAGAAGCACATTGATCCATTCCACCATTGTTTAACCCAATGTAATGTTCTGAAACAACAGTGATTCTAGTCAAGTCTGATTTGCTCAATTGAGTTATACCACTAGCATACAAGATTGCTAAAGTTGACGCAACACAGAACGCGGCAGATGAAGATAATCCACCTCCCGTTGGCACAGTACCATCAAAGCACATTTTCATTCCCTTTAGCGATATCTTTGTCTGGGTATCCAAAAGGAATTTATGCGCGACAATCAATGCACACCTGAAATAATTGGCCCATCCATGATTGGGGTTCATTGTAACCTCATTATCGCTTGATGGCAATTGAATAGTTTCGCGCGGAAACTCATCCAGTTTTGTATTGGTAATGACAATCTCATTGGAATCATTTGTCGAAACAGCAACAACAACGTCAACTTCAATGGCCATAGGAAAGACTGGGAAAAAGTTGTAATCAATATGATCACCAATAATGTTTACTCTCCCAGGAGAACGAGCAAAGAACTCGATCTCAGTGGAGGGAAAATCTTCATAGAATCGAGATGCTAGGTTTGTGTACCTAATCTTCTGAGCTTTTTCGTTTGAATAGAATGATAAGTTTTCCAAATGGGGTACAATAGACATTTCTAAATTGACAATGATGAGGAAAGAAAAAAAAAAAAAATCAAAAACTATAACGAGAAACCTTCTCTTAAAAACTGGAAAAAAAGTCTTTGATATGAATAGGCTATTTTTCTAAACTAATGAGAGAGTTTCTGAAATATCGTAAGATTATCCATCATGAGGTGGGTGGTCACCATACGCTGAATGTTAGCTCCTTTTTTTTTTTTCCTTTCTTTTTGGCGTTGGTGTTTTCTTGTCGGTCTTTTTTTTTTTTGTTGTTGAACTGCAAGATTTTGTGTTAGTACCCCAATATTTAGCCCTTTATACGGAAAAATTACCAAACAAAAATGTAACGTTACATTGATTACATCAGAAGTATGTATATTTAAAGAAAAGGAGATTTTCAGTTTATTTCAGTGACGATGAAAATAGCCGTTTTAATCATTATAAACAGTATTTACGATAGTTTACACCAAAATGTTGCTTAATTGCTTTGAAACTTTTCTCTAGTGACTCTTTTTTTTTTTTTTTTTGAATTATCAGTGGGGTTGAAGTGTACTAACTAGTTAAGGATGCAATCGAGCCCGTGCTTGATTGCATACTGCTCCACTAACTCGCTACACTCCCTAGTGTAACCAACACCTTTCTTTTAACCATCAAATTTATCCCCTATTGAATTGATAAAAAATTGACCTTCTTCCAGAGGAAAAAGCATTGGTATCATTTCTCATTTGAGATCATTTTTTTTCTTTAATTATTAATTTTTAATTCTAGTTTTCTGTCTGCATATTTACGTTTGTGTAATCAAGATGAAATGCCCCCCACCGCCATTTCCACCCCCCCACAGTGCAGTTACGATTGTTTCTATTTGGATATGTTTACATTTTGTTAACGTATATGTCAACCCTGTCAATTTCTCATACTTTATTTCATTGCAACGTTACATCTAAATCTATGAAGTTTTGCTCCTTTTTTTCTTTTTCACTAAATTCTTTATAGTATTCGCTTAAGGTATAAATAGAATTTCACCATCGTGAGGTATACTTTTTTACAGCCTTAACGTGATGACGACGATTTGTCAAAGAAAAAACGAGATGGCACACACTACTACAGAAGACGGTTATGTCCTTGTTACAGGTGGAGCAGGCTATATTGGCTCACATACCGTAATTGAACTTATCAACAATGGATATAAAGTAGTCATTGCTGATAACTTGTCAAATTCATCTTATGATGCTGTGGCAAGAATTGAATACATTGTTAAGCAACACGTTCCCTTTTACAACGTCGATATCAAAGATTTCAACCAACTAAACCAAGTATTCCAAGATTATAATATTTCCGGAGTAATCCACTTTGCGGCCTTGAAGGCAGTTGGAGAATCAACAAAGATCCCTCTTAAATACTATGAAAATAACGTTACCGGTACAATCACTTTACTAAATGTTTGTATGGAGAACAATGTCAAAACAATTGTATTTTCTTCAAGTGCTACTGTTTACGGAGATGTCACTAGATTCGGTCCAACTGAAATGATCCCAATACCAGAAACGTGTCCAACGGATCCAACTAATCCGTATGGGAAAACCAAATATGTCATTGAACAAATTTTGAAAGATATTCATGCAGCTGATCCTCTATGGAAAGTTGCCATATTGAGATATTTCAACCCCATAGGTGCACATCCTTCGGGATTGTTGGGTGAGGATCCTTTGGGAATTCCAAACAATTTATTACCTTATCTAGCTCAAGTGGCAATTGGCAGGAGAGAAAAATTGTCTGTTTTTGGTAATGACTACGACTCTCATGATGGAACTCCTATTAGAGATTATATACACGTGGTCGATTTGGCAAAGGGTCATATTGCTGCATTGGACTATTTGAAGAAGCTAAATAAAGAAGGATTATACAGGGAGTGGAACTTAGGTACAGGTAAGGGGTCTACCGTATTTGATATTTACTATGCATTTTGCAAAGCTGTTGGTAGAGAATTGCCTTATGAGGTGGTTTGCAGAAGACAAGGTGATGTTTTGGACCTAACAGCGAAACCAGATCGAGCAAACACGGAGTTGAAGTGGAGAGCAGAATTGAGTATTCAAGATGCTTGTAAAGATTTATGGAAATGGACGGTGGAGAATCCCTTTGGATTCAACATTGAGAATTACAAATGGGAAAGCTTTGGCTTCGATAATGATAGAAAACATATATTTAAAAATGAAGATTTAAAAGTAAGTATATGCAATAGAGGAGCATTAATTCAGGATATCAATTTTGCAGGTGAAAAGCTTGTGTTGGGGTTTGAAAATGCTGAAGATTACAAAGACGAGAGTAATCCATATTTTGGAACCACTATTGGCAGGTATGCAAACAGGATTAAAAACGGAGAGCTCAACTTGAATGACAAGACTTACAAGCTCACCAAAAATGAAGGCAACAACACCTTGCACTCGGGATTGAACGGGTTTGATAAACAAAACTTTTTCGGACCTGTTGTAAAATTCAAAGATGGAGAATTTGAAGCACTTTTCAAATCAGTTGACAAGGATGGCAATGATGGATTCCCAGGGGAATTGGAGACTATTGTACGTTACAAAGTGGGCAAATCGTCTCTCGAATTTGAATACGAGAGCAAACTAGTAAAAGGAGACACAACAGCTGTGAATTTGACGAACCATAGTTATTTCAACACTTGTCATCAAAGTACAATCGATGGCACTGAGTTCAAACTAAGTACAAACAAGATTATGGAGGTTGATGAACTTAAACTTCCAACTGGTAAAATTATTAGTACAGATGTGCCAGCGAAGCTCACTTTAGGCGTATCTTTTGATACATGTTTTGTTGTTGATGAAAAGGATAGATCTCTCGATACTAGGTCTAACCAATTGCGTGAACTCATAGAGTTCACCCATCCGAATTCAAATACCATTTTCACTATCTCATCTACAGAGCCTGCTTTCCAATTTTATACAGGTGAAGGAATAAATACAAGCCAGTTTGGTAGTAGAAGTGGGTTTTGTATTGAACCTTCAAGAGTTTTAAATGCAATTAATTTGAAAGAGTTCAACAAACAGGTGATCTTGGAAAAGGGACAAATTTACGGAGCAAGAAACAAATACGAGTTTACAAAGAAGAAGTAGCGACACTATCGACACTATCGAGCGAAGCGAGATAGTGGAGCAGCACTGACTAGCTTCACTATCTCGTTCTGCTCGATAGTAAAGTTTGATTTAGTATTGTAGAAAAATAATAATGTATATACTGACACTATCTCACTCTGCTTGATACCGTCATGCTCTGCTCGATAGTAGAGCATACTAGCAACACTAGCAACACTATCGGCACCATCACGCTCTGCTCGATAGTGTCATGTTCCAAAATTACCTAGAAAAGTAACGTTGCTAATGACTCTTTGCCCTTCATTACTGTAAATCTGAGTGCGGCGTCAAGTACCAAATGAAAAATAAAAAATATATATATATGTATATGTATATATCATTTGAATTGATTGTATCGATAACTCTCAAGTGAACAACAGATACCAAATTTCTGGTCATATCTTTGTTGAAAAATGAAGGTCTATTCTATTCTAGTTCTCAACAAATCGGGTAGTCTAATATACCAAAACGAGATACATACCGGGCTTACGAAACTAACGGCTAATGACTATTTAATTCTAGCAGGTACACTACATGGAGTTCATGCTATTGGCTCTAAACTCACATCAACAATCAACAGCAATAATAGCACTACTGCTACAAAACCAAGTGCAGAAGAATTGAACACCCAACACAACGCCTCCATATTGGCAACAGGAAAACAGTTGAGCTCTAATAGTAATCGTCTGGGCCTAAAAAGTTTAGAAACAAATTTTTTCAATTTATACATTTATCAAACTGTAAGTGGATTGAAGTTTATATTGATTACTACACCGAATCTAAACGACTTACAAGTTAAACAGATTGACGAATTGTTTAAGCTATTGTATATTGCTTACTCCGATTACGTGATGAAGAATCCATTTTATTCCCTTGATATGCCGATTAAATGCACACTTTTCGACAGAAGAGTCAAAGAAGTGTTATCATAACTCAATTTTTTGGTCCAATTTTTTTCATCATCATCGGCATCATCATCACCAACCCATCTCGCAAAGAAATTCTTTGCTCCCAGCCAAGCAGATGCACTTTTGTAGAATCAATAGAATAAAATTGATCGTTATAGTTTCTATCTTCAACGTAATCAATACCTGTCGTGAAACCGAATACTTCATTGATAATCTCTACAGTGACTCTATTTTCAATCATTTGGTTAAGATCTCCACTAATATTGTAAATCCCATCTACTGTGTCATCATCACGACGCTTACGCCATATTAGATCAATTGCATCAAGAAAATCGGAAATGTACAAATAACTCCTTTTATTAGTACCATCACCATGAATAGGCACATTAGTTCCGTCCATGCCACATTTTATAATCAAAGGGATCAATTTTTTACAATCTTGATTTGGTCCAAAAACATTGCTCAGACGGACTATAGTTACACGCAGATTGTAGGATTTCCTATATGCGTTGATTATTAGGTCAATCGCCGCTTTGGATGCTGCATAGGGATTTGTAGGGCTCAACAGAGCAACTTCTGAACAATTTTCCAATTCATCGCCGTAAACCTCATCGGTGGAAACATGAAGAAACCACTTAATTTGCAGGGGAAAAAGCCTCTGACATTCAAGTAAATTCTGTGTTGCTATTATATTGTTCTTGGTAAAGAATAACGGATCTTGAAACGACCTATCCACAGACGACTCAGCAGCAAAATTGATTATATCTGTAATAGCATAAGATTTCACCAACCCCACAATTTTTTCTAGTGGACCCGAAAGATCCAATTGCAAAAACTCGAAATTACCAATGCTTGATAAATCACGTATGATGTTTCGATTACTGGCATAATTGAAGTAATCAACGCAAATGAACAGATAATTTGGATACCGTTTGACAAACTGAACAAGAAAATTCGAGCCAATGAAGCCAGCTCCTCCAGCAACTAACACCCTTTTTTCGTAATACATCACTTATAGCTCTTGACTCTTTCTTAGCTTCTTGCCGCCTGTCTAGATGAAAACCAAATTTCTCAAGTTCTAAACTTAATCACACTGAAGTTTTTGATTTGGTTTAAAGATAAAAAAATAAAAAAAATGAAGCGACATTTGGAGATCCTGTCTCGTTTAGTGTTCATCATTAGTAGCCCCGTTTTACTAAAACCAAAATGGAGTTGTGCACTTATACATTAAAAACCAGATCCTATATCAGCGCCAGGAAAAAAATGTAACGTTACATTGAAAAATTTGACACCAATTCTTCGGAATGCATTTTGTCTTAAAAAGAAATTACGGAAAAAAAAAGTGTCTGCATGAGAAGAAGAAATAAAAAAAAATTACTTATCCTGCGATAATCTTTACCCATCACACACATAAGCTGACTTTCATGAAAGCATATACAATTTCTCAAAAATAAACCAGCTCAATCGTTCACCCCGAAGCCCTAGAGATTTTGAGGAAAAAAACCAAAGAAAAACCCACACTCACTCGTTTGCTGCCTATCCTCCTATCCTGATTCTGTAAAAACTGAAAATATAAATAGACTAAGAAATAGAACCTCACAATGTCGCTTGACCATTTACTCAACCCAGTGACTTCAACACCAACTTATTTAAAGATGACACTGGAATTTGACTTTACCAATCATTCTCATAGACGGTATAACCCATTAATAGACAGATACGTGTTGTGCTCGCCCCATAGAGCCAAAAGACCATGGCAAGGAGCAAAAGAAGAGATCAAGAAAACGCAATTGCCTGAATATGACCCCAAGTGCTATTTGTGTCCAGGGAATATAAGAGCTACAGGCGATGTCAATCCGAAATACCAGTCAACATACATCTTTCTTAATGACTATCCCGCTGTCAAGTTAGATCAGCCTGATTATACTGACGACAATGATAAATCAAGTTTAAAAGGTAAATTGTTGAAAACAAAAGGTGTTAGAGGGAAATGTTTTGTTATTTGCTTTTCACCAATACACAATCTCACCCTCCCACTTATGAGGAATGAAGAATTGTACAATGTTGTGCAAACGTGGCAAAATTTGTATAATGACTTATTGCTCGAGGTACAAGAAAAGAAAGGACCTTACAAGTATTTGCAGATATTTGAAAATAAAGGGTTTGCAATGGGCTGTTCGAATCCGCATCCACATGGTCAGGCTTGGTGTTTAGATATGATTCCAACGGAGGTGAATGACGAGTTGGTCAATATGCTGAAATATTTTCGTGAAAATGAGAGCCACTTGTTAGGAGATTATGTCAAGTTGGAAATGGAAGAAAAATCGAGGATAGTGGTTGAAAATGATTCTTTTATTATCGTAGTGCCATATTGGGCATTATGGCCCTTTGAGACTTTGTTGATCTCCAAGGTACACTTGAAATCATTACGTGATTTCAACGATAAACAAAAGGAGGATTTATCCAAGATATTAAAGAAATTAACTACCAAATACGACAATTTGTTTAATACTTCGTTTCCTTACTCGATGGGTATACATCAAGCTCCATTCCAGTGTTCAAGAGAACAAGAAGAATGTTCTTGGTTTCATATGCATTTTTACCCACCTTTACTTCGATCTGCTACTATTAAGAAATTTTGTGTTGGTTTTGAAATGTTGGGAGAAGCACAAAGAGATTTGACCAGTGAGCAAGCTGCTACCAGGCTCCAGGAGTTGAATGGTGATGTTCACTATACTCAGTTGGTAAAGTAAAGTTATTCTCATTCAGAACTATCCTTGACTTTTCAATATATTTATAAAGTGATAAGTAGAATAAATTAATGACTAGCCTGTTATAACACTATCGAGCAGTACTTACTAGCCTGTTATAACACTATCGAGCAGTACTTACTAGCCTGTTATAACACTATCGAGCAGTACTTACTAGCCTGTTATAACACTATCGAGCAGTACTTACTAGCCTGTTATTAAACTATCTCGCTTTACTCGATAGTGGAGCAGTACTTACTAGCTTGTTATTAAACTATCTCGCTTTACTCGATAGTGGAGCAGTACTTACTAGCTTGTTATTAAACTATCTCGCTTTACTCGATAGTGGAGCAGTACTTACTAGCTTGTTATTAAACTATCTCGCTCTACTCAATAGTGGAGCAGTGCTCCACTAGCTCGCTACGCTCCCTAGTGTCGGATAGTGTTTTCTTTTCTTTCTTTTCTTTTTGCAGTAATTGATCTCATCACAAAGATTAAGTTTTTTTTTTCTTTTTTTTTCACTATTTTCAGTCAACTGTAAAGCACCATCAAAAGTTTAGGATATTAAACTCCAGTTATGGATAGTGAGTACTTAGAATCTACTCCAGATGTAGATACTGCTGCGGATCCCATTATTAAACAATCGAAACCACCTCTTGACTCGAGGATAGGCAGGGATGCACCATTTGTGTTTGGCCAGCGATATCTTGAAAATGAAGAAGATGTATTTAATCATAATGCCTGGGATAATGTAGAATGGGGAGAAGAACAAATAAATCAAGCGCGAGAAATGATTGCAAAGCAATACGAGTCTCCAGTTAAGGATTACGACAAATCATTATTCAATGCCAATCCCGCGAAATATTGGGATATTTTTTATAAGCAGAATAAAGATAATTTCTTTAAAGATCGAAAATGGTTACAGATTGAGTTCCCATTGTTGTATAAAGTCACTGCAAAGGATTATCAAGAACCAACCACAATTTTGGAAGTTGGATGTGGCGCAGGCAACACTTTTTATCCGATTTTAAACCAAAATGGAAACAAGAACTTGAGATTATTTGGATCTGATTATTCCAAAGTGGCAGTAGATTTGGTGCGATCGAATGAGACATTTGCCAGTCAACATGAACAGGGAATAGCTCATTGTTCAGTATGGGACTTGGCTAACCCAGAGGGACTATTACCAGAAGGCATGGAGCCGAATTCTGCAGACATTGTGATAATGGTTTTTGTCTTTTCAGCATTACACCCTAATCAATGGAAACAGGCTGTGGAGAACCTTGCACAGATATTGAAACCTGGTGGAACAATTTTGTTTCGAGATTATGGACGATACGATTTGGCACAAGTGCGTTTTAAGAAGGGCAGACTATTGGAGGACAATTTCTATGTACGAGGTGATGGAACAAGAGTTTATTTTTTCACAGAAGAGGAATTGGAACAGATTTTTTGTGAAAACGGTCCGTTTGTAAAAGAGATGATTGGTACTGATAGAAGATTATTGGTGAATAGAAAGAAGCAATTGAAAATGTACCGAAACTGGTTACAAGGTGTTTTTAAAGCATGATTATGTTGATATATAGTACATTATCTAAATGCTTGAACAAGTGCCAAATTTCTTCAAATTGTACTTGCAAAAGAGGTGTTGCATCGATTCCTTGTATATAAGGCCGAGAGATGTCTAGCAAATTGGCAATATGTTGCTCGAGAAAGTCAGCTAGAATTTGGTTTGGGGCTACGGGAACTTGTACTACTGTATTACCATCGGGTAGAAACATCTTCACTGGAAGACAATGTATCAGTTTGATTGTTTTTTTGATTAATAGGGTATAATCATACAAGTTTCTCGTTAAAATCAGGTTCCACAACTGTTCCGAATTTTGCTCACTCAACTGCATGATCGGTTTAGCTGTACCATTGATTACAAAGGATGACTGTTTTAGCAGATTTTTGAGGATCTCAACGAGCGATCTTGAGTAGTCGATAGAAAGACCATCTTGACTTTTGTAAGTAAAGGGGATTATATAATCTGACGGGTACTGACTACCTATTTTCATATCCAATTTCCAATAGCGGCTGCCGCTACCGCTACCGCTGCTGTTGCTGCTGCTGCTGCTATTTTGTTTGTTTTGCAAACGTGCCGGTAGATGTAAATAGTCGTATAAAACACCAATGGGTAAATTCCATTTTATTGGACTCCCTTCATATTCCAACCATATCGGGTTCACGATCTCATCCCTGATATACAATTGGAAATACGCTTTTAGTTTGGGGTAAATTAGTGGGAAATAGGAGTTTCTATAACCTTTTGTTAAATACTCTATATCCTGGCCATTTAGAGATAAAACTATCTTTAGATTTATTGAACCATTCCATACGCTTTTCTTAATCTCTATAATGTTATCCCCACACATGAAACATGAAGCAATGAACTAACAGAAACAACGAAAACAATCAAGACTAGCCCCGTGCGTATATATCCAAGCAACTTGATGTTTTGTTCACTATTTCAAAGTAAAGCCAGCCTTCCTTTGTTCTACATTTACGATAATGAATAAAAACTTGTCAGTGGAAAAAAAAAAAAAAAAGAATCACCAGAATTAAACGCCGACATGAATCAATGCATAGAGGAGCCAGAATGACAAAGAAAGAGAAAGATCCAGCTCTTGCTTTTAGTTAGATTAAACTAGAGACGTTTTTATTTAGTACAAAAGAACCCCTGTAATTCCATAATCATGGAAGCATCCTTACAAACAGACGGGTTTGGTTTTTCTCTTTTTATCTCTTTTCCTAAGCTGTAATGAAGAAATCTGGAAATAAACAAGTACTTTCAAGAATTGATATACCACCAATGATACCAGCTTTGTGTATGGAGGGATTATCTCAAGCAGTAGATACATTCGTACCTGGCTCACATGTTATGGACGATCTTCCGCAACAATTACCTGTTTATGATAAATCAACGGGCACATTCAAAAGGTTTGTTAATCGAAAAAAGAAGAACCAAAAGGAGATAGTTATCCCACCACCGCAATCAATTCAAGCCTCTAGAAATGGGAATGCACCATATGCATCATATCGAAGAAGTAGCTGTATGCCGGTGGTTGTGAAAAATCCACAGATGGTGTTGAGAGAAGAAACCATGCTGTACCAAAAATCCGTTGCTAAACAGTCCGAGGCACCAAGAAATAAACCATTTCCAACCAACAGGATTAATTTCCGCGAGGAATATGATAGATACTGTAATTACACTTCTCGTAGCAGTTCCTTTGGTGAGACAATTTGCTAGAAAAAAGTTCACAACAAGAAAACCAAATACATCAGAGGTTATCAAAAACTTATCTTGAATTGTTCAACAACGTAAAAAAATAGTCAATTCAATTGACAACATCATATATTCATGAACTTATAAGTTAAAGAATTGCTCTCACCCTCTGTGTGTGTGTGTGGGGGGGGGGGCTTCACTATACATATTTTTGTATATATACACGGGTTTCTTTCTTCTTTACTTTACAATTTGGTAACTAATTCATCCCCTTTATATTTTTCCAAAATATCCTCTATGTTGAACTTTTTGGCAATTGTTGGATTAATGAATCTTCCGCCTAAATAATGAACCTTATCTGGTCCACTGTTGATAAACCTTTCAGCGCATGGTTTCGGAGCACTCAAGCTGATAAGAGTTGATGCTTTGATATCAATATCTGTTGGACCATCATCAACATCCCAACCCGATGGAATGTCCACAGAAACAACAGGTGGTAATTCTTGATGATTTTGGGAAATGTATGAGATAACATCCTTGAAAACACCTCTAATTGGTGGTTTAAAAGAAAAGCCGAAAATAGAGTCCAAAATAACCCCAACTTCCCCCTTTTTGCTAAGCAATTGTTTAATTTCGTCCAATGTTGAAATCTCCTTGGCTTCCAAATCTTTCAATTGTTTGATCAAATTGGTATATAATTTATTGCTTTCTGTTTTTTTGGGATAATAAATAACTGGATCATAAGCACCCCATATCTTCAAATGGCGTGCTGCCACTAGGCCATCACCACCATTATTACCAGGACCAACCAAAACAAGAACTTTTTGTAAAGGTGGTTGATGTGTTGCTTGTGGAGGGTACTCTTTAAATATTGCTTTCGCAACCGATAATCCTGCGATTTCCATTAATTGATCAATTGAAAATGCACCAGTCGACATTAGCTCTTGATCCAATTGTGCAGCGGCCTTTGCCGATAATGTTTTAAAACCCGCTGTCATAATACCCATTGGTTAAAAAAAAAATCCGAAACCTAGTCTTGTCTACCAAACCTAAACTTAATCCGAAACCTAGCCTTGTCTACCAAACCTTAAACCTAATCCGAAACCCAAACCCAAACCTAGACAAGTTCTTTACAATCAACAGGGTACCCCGGATAGTCAAATGAACAAAACAGGAGAGGTGCCGATTTTCTTTTTTTTGCAATAACACATGGTAGCATCCAAACGAAAGAGATGCAGCACGGTAGCGTCTCAATAAAAGAAGTGCCATTTTTGTTGATGTTGCAATAGCACACGGTAGCGCCACGATAACACATGGTAGCACAGTTAAAAGCCCAAAAAAGAAAAGAAAAAAAGTGACGACGTTTTTGAGACTGAGCTATTTTTATATGTATGATTGGGACATTTTAATTAGAGAGTAAACGAAAACACGACAAAAACTGTGCTAAATGAAGATAACTAGCCTGTGACTGAAATTCTGCTAAATGCTAGATGCTAAATGAAGATAGCTAGCCGTGACTCAAAAGAGATAGCTAGCCGTGACTCAAAAGAGATAGCTAGCCGTGACTCAAAAGAGATAACTAGCCGTGACTCAAATTCTGCTGAATGAGATAACTAGGTGTGATTGCAATAAAAAAAAAACAATAACTTAAAGACTTTTACTTGTTGTCTTGTTGTCTAAGACCAACAATTTGCACCCTAAATTTACAAAACAAAATAAGAAATAATCCCACGCAGCTACACACAGATGCATACACACCTACACAGATAGACACATATAGCTACTCTACTCGGTTACACAGACAAAAACATTTTAACTTATACTTATTAACCCTCTACTTATTTAACCTACTCATACAGTTTAGTGCTACTTTAGGTGTTATGTTTCACTCCAAGTGAACAGAGTAACAACTTTCTCAATAATAACAAAAAAACAGAAACGGTGACAAAACGAAGAAAAAATAAAAAAAAAAAAATTATAATTTAAGGAAAAATCAAAACGTAATCAATTTTCATGCAAGTAAAGGGATTGGAGACTATATTAAGGTAACCCAAACCAACGATCTAAGTATACTCTAAAACTTTTCTCTGTACCACAAGTGCTGCCACTATAGTTGTTGCCACCATTCAAAGTTTCTGTCCACAACTAAAAGTTACTTGTGCTTCTAGAGAACACCCACCTCTAACCGCTCCACATCCATAACACGTCTTGAAGTTATCAAAAATATATTTTTCAAGGTCCACCAACTCTTTGTCCATTTTTTTTTTTCTCCCAACTACCAGTGAAGTAGTGTAATTATTATCACCAGGTTTCAGTTTTTTTTTTCTTCTAGAAAAAAAGGGGGACAGAAAAGACAGAAAAGACAGAAAAACAGAAAAAACAGATAAAACATCATTCTTGGGGTCTTTGTTTCAAAGATGGATCTGTACAATTATGGCTCGCCAATTGTCAACAATGGTAATGGCCACACTAGTCACCATTCACCGATCATCAACTACAGGAAAGATGCCAAAAAGGGTATCAAGTTTACATTTATGGTTGTAGGTGAGCTGGGTACTGGTAAGACGACTTTTATCAATAGTTTATTAAATAAAAAGGTATTGAATCATCGGTATGAAACTGGTCAATCTGCATTGAGTTCTGTTGGGGAAACAAAAACATTAAGTTTCACTTCTGCCAAATCTGTTGCTTTGCCAAATACTTCAATGCTAACAAGAAGCGAGTTTAATCCGTCTACTATTAACGAAGAGCCGGGTATTGCCTTGTCTGAAACCAAGGTTGAAATTATTGATGATGACAATTTGAAAATTTTGCTCAATATCATTGATACCCCTGGATTTGGAGAAAATTTAAATAACGAAATATGTTTTGTTGAAATTGAAAACTACTTGAAGCAGCAATTTGATTTGGTTTTAGCAGAGGAAACAAGAATCAAGAGAAATCCGCGGTTTGTTGATACAAGAGTACATGTGATGCTTTACTTTATTACTCCAACAGGACACGGATTAAGAGAAATTGATATACAGTGTATGAAGCGCTTATCCAAATATGTAAACATTATACCTGTTATTGGCAAAGCCGATACATTTACTCCAAAAGAGTTGCAATTTTTCAAACAGCAAATCAGAATTGATATAGAAAAGTTTAATGTGCCAATTTTCCAATTTGACAATTTTTTGAACGAATACGACGAAGAGGAGGATCATGATTTGATTCAAGAATGCAAATTCTTGTCTGATTTGCAACCTTTTGCCGTGGTTACATCTGAGGAGAGCTTTGAAATCAAGGATAATAAAACTGGCCAAACAAAGATAATTAAGGCGAGAATGTACCCTTGGGGATTTGTGGATATTGAGGATACTAGAGCTAGCGATTTTGCAATTTTGAAGTCGGTGTTATTGGGCTCACATCTACAGGATTTGAAAGATTTAACTCACGATTTCTTGTATGAAACTTATAGGACTGAAAGGTTGACCAAAGTTACCGGAGGCGATGTTTTTAATGAAGACGATTATGAGGAGAGCGAATTCCACGACACGGTTGAGCATCATGAAACCGATGACAAGGGAGGAGTTTCTAATTCCGGGGCAATACCATCATTATCGAACCTAGCACAATTAACCAACACTGCGGGAGATGCTCATCACAATCACGGCAACGGACATGGACATGGCCACAACAATGACAATCATTCAATAAACTCAACAAGTTCATCGGCTAAGAAATCGACATCGATGTTATTAGACGATGAAACTTCAATTTCCTCGATACCCCATTTGAAGAACTACACCAACTATACGTCAAGCACCTCAACTTTTTCAGTCGAGGAGAGAGCACCTAATAACAATGCGTTCAAGAGATTGTCGATTGGACCTCAGCGTAATCAATTGCGTCAAATATCTGAAACGGTACCTTATGTTTTGAGGCACGAAAGGATTTTAGAGAGGCAGCATAAACTAGAAGAGATGGAAATGGCGAGTGCCAAAGAATTGGCGAATAGGGCCGCTTTGTTGGAAAAGAAGGCTCAACTTTTAAAACAAAAGGAAAAGGAATTGATGAGACAGTTGGAGCTAGCTAATCGGAACAAGAATAGTCACAATATCTCTGTTGCAAGACAGAGTGACAATGTTGAAGTAGTTAATCACGACGACGACGACGATGACGACGACGACGCTGATGCTGCTGTTGCTGCTGCTAATAACAAGCAACGTCACTCTAGAGAGGGTAATGGATATATTGCAAAAGACGAGACCTTGACTGATTTGCACTCTTTAGTTAACGAGAAGCAACAGCAACAACAGCAACCGCCTTTACAACCTCCATTATTGTCATTAGAGCAACAACAGCAGCAATCATCACAACCATCATCACCACAACAACAGCAACCACCACAAAAACTCCAACGTTAGAGACTCTTTTTATGAAATCTACTTGAAGAAGAGGATAACTTCAGATTTTCAAGACCAAACTTTACAGGAAAGTAGTGTGTTTTTTAACAAAATTGTATTGTAGTTCTTTTTTTTTTTTTTTCCTGATTAGAAAAAATACAATTAAGTTTTACAAGTTATTAAAAGAAAAAGAAAGGACCCCCAACCTCGCTTTTTCAAGTTGTAGTTTTCTCTGGCACTAAGGGGACAATGTGTAAAAAAGCCCTACCGTCGTCTCTCTGTAATGTTTCGATATCTTTGCTCCTTTTATGTCTCTGTGTCCTTTGGTGAGAAATTCATCCGCATCTGGAGATAAACACATAAAACATAAAGTAAAGAGACAGCGAGAAACACCCATCATGAAAGATACAATTTTTTTTTTTTTTTTTTTTTTTCCCTTTCTTTACTTCTAGTAAAAGGCAAGAACAGAAACCTGACTTAACCACTTTGATAGGATTGAGTATCTGGCGGTATAGCAGAGTTTTGACATCATAATATTGGGGGTATTACGTGTGTGAGTCGATAATGGACATTCTTCAGCTTTTGGAAAATGCGATCTTAAGTCCTGATCCAACGCAGAGAACTCAAGCAGAAGTTGAGTTAAATGAAGCAGCAAATAACCACTTTCCTGAATATATTTCCCTCTTGATTGAGGCGCTAAACAACGAGGATGCTAAAACCGAGGTGCGAATGTTAGCTGGTATAGGACTAAAGAACCAATTAATTTCCAAAGATCGTAGAACAAAATTGGCACAACAGGACCGTTGGCTCAAATTGAATCTGGAGTTGAAGACAAAGATCAAGGAGCAGGCAGTTCAAGGGTTGAAAACACCGAATCTGAAAGTGGCAAATACAGCCGCGCAACTAGTTGCTGCAATTGCCGATATCGAATTGCCCAGAGGAGAGTGGTCTGAGTTGATTCCTTTAATTATTCAAAATACAAAGATGGAGAACCCCGAACATGTTAAGCGAGCATCCCAGTTGGCTATCGGGTACATTTGCGAAAGCGTGGATCCTATGAATGCCAACATTTTGTCTCAAGCTTCCGGTATATTGATTGCTATTATCCAAGGTGTCCAGAGCAATGAGCCTTCATATTTGGTTAGAGTCACAGCATTGAATGCGTTGGTGAGCTCCTTGGAGTTTATAAAGTACAATTTTGAAACAGAAGGTGAAAGAAACTATATTATGCAGGTTGTTTGTGAAGCTACTCAAGCAGACGATTCGGAATTGCAAGCCAGTGCTTTTGGCTGTCTTGCGAGAATCATGTCTTTATACTATCGCTTCATGGCTCTTTATATGGAAAAGGCATTATATGGATTAACCGTTTCAGGTATGCAAAGTTCTGACGAAAAAGTCGCTTGTATGGCTGTTGAATTTTGGTCCACAGTTTGTGAAGAAGAATTGGAGATTGCTTTACAAAGACATGATTTAGGTTTGGACCCATTACAGGCAGCGCAGTCATCAGAACTAGTATCCTACAATTTTGCGTTGATTGCATCTAGCGAAGTATTGCCTACATTGTTGACTTTGTTGACCAGGCAAAATGAAGACCCCGAGGATGATGATTGGTCGGTTGCAATGGCTGCAGGCGCTTGTTTACAATTGTACGCACAGGATATTGGTAATTATGTAGTTGAGCCAACCATTCAGTTTGTGGGTGCAAACTTGACAAACAAGGAGAATTGGAGGGCAAGAGAAGCAGCTGTAATGGCCTTTGGATCAATCTTAGATGGTCCTGACCTGGAGCAATTGAAGTCGATTATCAACCAAGCTTTACTGCCAATACTTGAGTTAATAGAAGATAAGAATTTACAAGTTAAAGAGACGGTGGCATGGTGCCTTGGCAGAATTGCAGATATGGTTGTTGATGCGATAGACACTCAGACCCAATTGCCACAATTATTGCAGGCACTAGTCAATGGTCTACAGGATCATCCAAAAGTTTCAACAAATTGCTGTTGGACCTTGATCAACTTGGTTGAGCAGTTGTACTCTGATACCGGTGCTGAAACAAGCGTTATGTCTCCTTACTACACAACTATTGTGCCCGTTTTGATGCAAGCGTCGGGTAGGGCTGACAATGAACATAGTGCAAGAGCATCTGCTTATGAGGCGCTATCGACTCTTGTTACATATAGTGCACAGGATACAATGGGGGTGGTGGAAAACATTGCATCCGAAATTTTAGCAAGATTGGAATCAACCATTGAATTGCAATCTCAAGTATCTACAACGGAAGACAAAGGTAACTTGGAAGAGTTACAAGTAAACATTTTGTCGTTGTTGACCAATGTGATTCGTAAATTGGGTCCTAGCGTCATTAATGCGGCTGATAATTTAATGGAAAGGTTTTTGAAATTGTTGAATGCACAAGAGGCAAATTCCTTGATTGAAGAAGATATATTTCTTGCTGTGTCCGCTCTATCCAGTGCTATTGGGGACAACTTTATTAAGTATTTGCCTGCATTTTTACCATACTTGACAAAGGCATTGGAAAATGTCGAATCTCCTACTTGTTTAACAGCAATTGGTTTGGTTGGAGATCTCGCCCAAAATTTGGGATTACAAGTAACTGAATACTTGAATGGTTTAATGACAATTTTGGGCAATATCTTGAATAACCCCGATGTCAAACGTGAACTCAGACCCGCAATAGTGTCCGCTTTTGGAGACATTGCTTCAGCAATAGGTCCAAGTTTCGAACCTTACCTCGAATTTGTTATGAACATTTGTACAGTTGCAGGCTCAATGGAACCCGAGGACCATTCTTTAGAGACTGCCGATTTTGTACTTAGTGTTAAGGAATCTGTTCTTGATTGCTTTGTTGGTATAACTGCTGGGTTTAGCGACCAGCCAGAAAAGTTGTATCCTGTTGTTGGTCCCATATTACAATATTTACAAAAAATATCACAAGATACAAGCATGACTGCAATCGAGTCGGTAGCGAGATCTACTACGGGGTTGTTGGGTGATATTGCAGCAATGTACCCACAGGGCCAATTCAAAGCATACTTTGTTGAAGACTGGGTCACTGAGTATATCAAGAAGACGAGATCAAACACATCTTTTGATGAGAGAACCAAGGATGCTGCCAGGTGGGCTAGAGAACAACAGAAAAGGCAGCAGCAAATTCCAGCCGTCATGGGATAAAAATTGGAGGAAAAAAAAAAATAAAGAGAAAAGAGCAAAAGAAAGAAAAACAGACAGTTGGTCTCATATCACCAAGGATTTGCTTTCCCATGCATTCTGCTCGTCGTCATCGTTATTATTACCTCCTCCATTTTCCTCCATTTCCTCCATTTCCTCCATTTTCCTCCATTTTCCTCCATTTTCCTCCATTTTCCTCCATTTTCCTCCATTCTCTCACTCTTTTCCTCAAAATGTCTTTGCATGCCGTCATATTTATCCAGACATGTGTCATTATCTCACTAATGGTTTTATCCACTACTTTCATTATCTCACTAATGGTTTTATCCACTACTTTCATTATCTCAGAATGGTTTTATACACCACTTTCATTCATATCTTAAACATCTCTCACGAACTCTAATGTCCTCTCATATAGTTTATTATAAAGAAACATAAACCTTTATTACAATTATACTTAACAAAAGAATAGGAAGAAGAAAAAAAAAAAAAGAAAAAATTAGTATAGTTTAGATTTGACATACACGCGGCTTGGAACTCCGTCCGATGAGATACCCGCCATTATGAAAAATTAAGAGAGAGAGAGAGAGAGAGAAAAAAAAAAAACAACGTTAAAAGTCAAACATAGGGATCTGGATCTGGGACTATTTTAACAAAGTTATAGAGCAAATGACGATGTCGGATGTAGCACCACCAATTTTACCCACATATATTCCGTTTGACCATACCTATATTCTTTATAATCCCAATGATATAATCTCGGTCATTTCCGTTCAATTTTCACTATTACCAATATATATGATGGTTTTTTACCTACTGTGGTTTTTAGTAACGAGAGAGATTGAACCAGTTATAGTTGTTGCAGGGCATTTATGCTCAGAGATAGTTAATAAGATAATGAAGATGGTTTTAAAAAATCCTAGGCCGGATTTTCATGCAGGTTTCGGCTACAATGGCGGGTCAAAAAACGGTTCAATGAGTAGCTTAAGTTATGGAATGCCCAGCGCTCACTCACAATTCATTGGATTTTTTCTCGCATACTATTCATGTGTCGTGATACTCAAAATTGGGCATTTGAAAAAATGGCAGAAACAAGTATGGTGTCTTGTGTTCGCCTTGGTTGGAACCGGGGTGGCTGGATCAAGAGTATATCTAATGTATCATACTTGGCAACAAGTAGTGGTTGGTGTTACTGTTGGCATAGTATTTGGGGTCTTTTATTTCATTTTCAGCTCAATGGTTAGAGACGTGGGACTCGTGGATTGGGTACTAGACTGGCCCATTATTAAGAGATTTTACGTCAAAGATTCTTATTTTCATTGTTACCAATCGTTCAAAGACGAGTACATCACTTATCTCAGTCAGAAAAAGAAGCAAAAAGAAAAGCTTTCTTCAAAGGAAAAATAAGACTCTATAAGATTAAATCTGCTTAATACTTGCTACTTGCTACTTGCTGATTCTAGCATTCTTTTCTTTTTTTTTATTTTCATTTTTTTTTTTTTTTTGAAGACAAAAGTACCACTTCTTCCATCCTAGACAAAGTATTTAAAAATCGTCCCATTTATCCTCATCATCACTTTTCTTTTCGCTTGATACTTTTCCACTCTCAACTCCACCATCTAGCTTTTGGTACCCAAACGCCGTTGGCGCTTCGGATCCTGAGTTTTTTCTGCCCCACAAACTATTAAATCTATGGTCGATGGCTTTATTTAATCCTTCTTCGTTCACTTCTTTTGTAAAAGTTTGAAAAGTTTGTTGTCCATATTTGCCTGTTTCTTGCATCTTTTGTCCAAATTGAGCCATAGCTTTCTTAGTTTCATTTCCAAATTCACTCTGTTGGATTGAGTGCAATCCTGGTTGAATTACACTATCGTTGACTTCTTGCATAGATTTGGCTACAGATGAAGAAAAAAGACTCCAACCTTTTGTGAAAGTGCCGAGAGGATCTTTTTGGAAGTTATCAATGGTGAAACTGGATAATGATGATCCGTTGCTACTAGTTGAGTTTGAAGAAGAATTTGGTTGTGGAGTGTTTCCAAACCCTGCATATTTGCCTCCTTGAGAAGGAGGCAAGTTTTCAGGCCTAGACTCATTCTTGGCACTCAAACTTGCAAAAAATGCTTCGTTTTTCGTTTTCAAATCATTGTCTGCGCTAGCCTTTTTTGCTTGAAGAATGGCAGATGAAGAGGTATTTTCAGATTTAGCGGCTGCGGCTGCGGCTGTGGCTGGGTCTGTGTTATTTTTATCAGGTAACGTTTGGCCCGAGTGGTCCTTTGGCACAAATTCTTTGCCTTCCACTTCGCATGTAAGCATCTCCTTGTAATCCTCGGCAACATAGTTATCATATTTTGCCCTTGCTGGCAAGGACAAGTCAACCCCATTCTCGATGAAATATTGTTTCAATCTTTCATTACCGCCAATTTCCATCCTTAACGTTTCCTCTGGCTTTAACTGGTCCATCGTTATTGATCGCACAAAAGAAATGTGGACACCTAACCCTCTGTGCACACCTGCACATTCCAAGCAAATAAATATCCCAAACTTAGGAGAAGCCCATTGCGGATTTGGCGCAGAACAATCAAAACATCTCTTGTTCTCACCTACTTTCTGCAAACTCAATAATTTTCTTCGTGCCTCCGGATCAATTGACATCGAAGCGAAAACCAAATTCAAAAAGTTACTTACTCAACTTGGAAAGCCAACCCCGTTTGTGTGTGTGGTATATAACTCGACTCAGATTTCGCTTTAATCCTTTTTTTTTTTTATTCACACTTGTGCTGATAACAAAAAAAGGAAATCAAAATTTTTTATGTTACCTTTTTTTTTTTTTCGCTTTACGTGTATCTGAGATTTAACCCTAACGCACGTCTGTATTATACAATATAGTGAATAGACAAACCAGTGAAGACGTCTGTATTGTAGAAACCAGTAAAGACGTCTATATTATACAATATAGTGAATAGAGCGAGATAGTGGAGCAACACTTTGTAGCTTGTTACAACAATTGTTCGATGGTGTCGCTCGATAGTGGAGCAACACTTTGTAGCTTGTTACAACACTATCTCGCTCTGCTTGGTAGTGTTGCTCGATAGTGTTGCTCGCTAGTGTTGCTCGATAGTGTTGCTCGATAGTGTTGCTCGATAGTGTTGCTCGATAGTGTCGCTCGATAGATATATTAAGTTAGGATATATTGTTACTTACCTATATAGTGGGCTACAATTTCCCACCTTTTGGAGCGTCAAAGTACTTTTTCAACGTAACTGGGTAATCATGAGAAGCTGCGCTTTGTGATACTTGCCAGCTTCCTCCATCCACGACGAGAACGTCACCCGTTACATAACTTGATGCTGGGGAGAATAAATAAACTGTTGCGTCTGCTATATCTTGTTTAGTTCCCATTCTTTGTAAAGGTACTTTTTGAATTATTCTTTCCTTTCCTCCGCGTGCCAATCTTGACATTCCTTCAGTATCGTCTATTGGGCCAGGGGCAATGCAATTGGATCTGATACCTAAAGGTCCAAGCTCCACAGCAAGAGCATTTGATAATGCGTCAACTCCAGCCTTGGCAGCTCCAACGTGAATTTGGAAAGGAACACCGTAATAGTGCAAAGTAGCACTAACAAAAATAATGGCACCCTTGTTCTTTCTCAATTCTCCAAAACAGGCCTTAACTGTGTTGAATGAGCCAAGCAAATCGATATCAATAACAGATTTGAAGGCGTTTGATGACAAATGGTTGAAATCGGCTAAAAAGTTACCAGCAGCACCAGCAATAACGAAATCAATTCTACCCAACTCTTGAACCGTCTTGGCTACTGCACTCGCCAATTGCTTAACGTCTCTAACGTCGACATTGGGTAATGAAACAACTTTGGCATCTTTTCTTAGCGACTGGATATCTTTTGCCGCATCATCGGTTTTCTGCTGGTTTCTTCCAACAATTGCCGCATTGGCTCCTAACAATACCATTGCTTCCGTTTGCACTCGACATATTGAACCGGCACCTCCTGTAACGAAAACAACTTTACCTTGGAACAAATTGGGTTTCCATGCACTTTCACTCAAGTACCTTTGATCTAAGTATGTCATATTATTTACCCTTACTACAAGTTATATCAAATGGAATAAGAAATGAAAAAGAAATTAGACAAAGGCCCCCCTTCTTTAAAGAAAAAAAATTATATATACTATTACAATTCTGGGGTTCCTACCCGCTTCCCCACAATGCGCTATAGTTGAGGAAAAATCAAAGGCAGACAAAATAACGTCGATTCCTTTTATTCGATTTCGCGCTAAACCTGTACGAGGAAAACGGAAAGGAAAAAAAAAAGGTACTTTTATCCTCGGTAGGATAATGCCAAAAGAAAAAAAAAAAAGAATAATAAATATATATATATATATGTATAGCTTTGGTTCTATAAAAGATAATTCATATCATCATGGTTTTGATGGCATTGCAAAGTGGGAAAGAAGAAACTTTTATACTAATACATGAAAAATTATTGAACTGTAGAAATAGAAAAAAAAAAAAAAAAGAAAAAAGAAAAAGGTTAACGATACAATATCACACATAGAACCAGGATCAGGGTTATTCTCCTCTACAACTCTCGCCTCCACCACCACCTACTAGCATGACTTTTGAAGCCTCAAACTTTGAGTCGCTTGTATTCGAGTTGGCAGAAGTGTCGATATCCTGGGAAAGCACGCTCACAATAGAGCTGCTATTTGAACTATCGTCATCGATATCCTCCACTGCACCAACAAAAGATGATCCATTTGTACTTGTCGGGTTCTGCTTGGCAACTTTTCTGCTACGAATAGTTTCAGACCTCTCAATGCTTTCTGTTTCGTCAACAGAATCGCGCAATCGTTTCTCTCCAAACCCAAACAGGTAGTCTTTATTTTCACCGCTGGTCAGAGGAGACGACGACGACGACGACGACGAAAACGACTTTTGTTTTTCTTTGGTTATTAGACTCTGCTTCCTTGCATAGATAATTACCCCGTCTTCTGCCAAAGCCTCTTCATACTCATTAATCGGTGTAGATGCGTTATTTTGCAAAAGCTCTTCATTAGACATGCTCACCTTATCTGTCTTGATTAAATCTATTTTTTCCTCGCTTTCTTCAAATGAGTGCTTGGAAGATGCATTTGACCCATTAAGCACCTCACTCTCGCCCTCCTTCTCACTCTCACTCTCGCTCCCACTCTCACCCTCGCTCTCACTCTCGCTCTCACTCTCGCAATTAACAACAACGCTAGTGTGTTTTGAGTCATTGAAATCGTTTTCTACCAACTCCACCAACTCTGCTACTGTGTTTATATGATTAGCCTCGGATAAAAGAAACTTTTCGTGATGCTTGATTAAATACCTTGCCATACGCTGAAAATTATCGCATTTTTCGAAATTAGTAGCATCGCAATACTTCTTGATGATCTCCAATATATCTAAACACGCCGAATTTGACAAATTGTTCTTGTCAACAACTGTGCTGAAAAAGTCTATGATATGGTCGAAAAGACCATTATCTATAATGTATTGGGTAAAAATATCATCGTTGAGTAAAATGATATTCTTGAAGCATCTCACCACATGCAATTTCAAAACTGTTTTAAAATCAGAGTCCAAAAGCTTTGAAAGCCCCTTTAAAATTTGATTATTTATAAGGAAAGGACCGACATGTGCAAACTCATGTTCTTTTATACAAAAATTGACCATCTCACATAAAAGTTGATATAAAACTAACTTTTCATTTGACACTTTCTGAGTCTCAGACGCAGACTCAGACTCAGACTCAGACTCAGACTCAGACTCAGATTTAAACTTGGGCTTAGGCTTAGACTTAGGCTTAGACTTAGACTCGCTTGTCGATTTAGCAATTGTAATAATGTCCACAAACAACTCCGGAGCAACCTTGCTATAAAAAGCTTGAAGGTAGTTATGTTTATCGATTTCCCTGAAATCGCCATTTGCTTTGGTAGACAAGTGAGATTCAACAGCTGTTTGGGATTTTTTCTCCAGCGTATCACTTTTTAATCCGCCGCTTGATACTATGTTTGGGTCTAGTAAAATCTTGAGCGCCTCAAACGCTTGATATTTCAATCCCGTGTTTCTATCGTTGACCAATAGCTTACTGAGTTTGAAAATTAAGCTCATATTGTTCGAAAAGGTTAGTAAGACACCTTTTAATTTTTTGCCATTTTTTGTTTTGCCATTATCATCATCATCATCATCATCATCATCATCATCATCATCATCATCATCATCATCATCATTATCATCATTATTATTGTTATTATTGTTATTATTGTTATCATCATTATCATTATCATTAATTTCATCACTTGTAAAGGATTTTCTCGGCAATGCAATTTCGTCAATTGGCTCTTCGTTGTAGGGCAGCAGGCTAAGACAACTATCGTTACTAGTAGTAGTAGTACTACTACTACTACTACTACTCAGTAGTGACACATCTTGCTCGATAATACTAACAATCAACTCTGTCCCAAGAATTCTCACCTTGTCCTCTTCATCCTCCAATGCAAAACTAAGCATTGTGTACAAGCCAGCCTTTACTAGCAGTACAAAGAAATCCTGCTTTTGTAAAGACTTTGCAATCAAAGTATATTGATGTATCATCTTTACTCCGTCTCTTTTCACTTCCAAGTTGCCATCCGGATCATCATAAACTTCAAATAACTTATGTAGTATTCTAGCATCTTCAAGATAGTGAAATATTTTTACCTGATTGTTGTATATCATAGATGTTAGCAAATTGAAAGATTGATCGTCAAGAAACCTCGTTAAAACCACATCTTTTAACACGTTCAAGTAATAGTCTAGTCTAAACACCGAGAGCTCTTCAACTGGTATTACCGTTCTAAAGGACTTATCCTGAAGTAAAGTACGATGATCTGCCTTAGTATCTGGATACTCAGAATCATACTCTAGTATTGCGGCAAGCTTTTGTATCTTATCTTCAGAAGAAAGGATATCTTCAATTAGGGAAGGCTCGCTATAAGCAAACATAAGCTTTATTATATCACTCAAATCATGTAAGCTCTCGATATTGTTTGTAGCTTCAGCTTCCAAAAACACCTTAGCTAGTTTGTCAAAATAGCCAATATCGATCATGTACTCCAGAAGATTAGTACGCGTAAATTGCGAGTTGACACCCTGGTTCAAGCTTTCTAGCACCAAATTCAAATTGTCGATTTTTGGTTTGCGCGGAGGATATCGTATTGGCCCTGTCACGAGCTCAGTTATGTCTTCACCGTCATCGATATTTGAAATAACGTAATACAAGGAAATGTTGGGGCTATAGTTTCCTTGCTGCACTTTGATTATGAAATCACACAAGTCGGCACACCCTTCAGTTTCCTGGAAAGAAAGCGCCAAGTCGCATCCCGTTGAATCTGTCCAAACTATCAAGGTTTCTTGTTGTCGCTGAAACTGGATCGATCCTTCTAGTTTAGACCTCAAGATCACCTCGTTTGCCTCCGTTTCTTTTCTTACAAGAAAATACGCGTCCCTTGTCTTGTCTTCAATCTCTCCAACACAGAACCCGGTCCCGTTATCTAGCCAGTCTTCTCCATTTAATAGATAGACTTTGACTCGTCTAGGCGTTTTCCCTGCTGATTCTAGTCGTTGCAACCCTTCTTTCCTAGATTGTGTTAAAAAGTACGCCTCAAACAGCTCAGTATCGCTTTCATTGTCGCTCGCGCTATCCATCCTTAAAACCAAGGTAGATCAAATCAAATATCTTCTCTTTATGTTTGGTTTGTGAAAAAGTAAAGTATAAAAGTTAATCACGAGAAGAAAAAAAAAAGAAAAAAAAAAATTGTTAAAGATCAGCTTTTCTTGCTTGTCTTGTTTTATTGGGAAAAAAGTTTGACTTGTAGAGTCTCTTCCATGTTACTCTAAAGCTTGTGCCAATTGAGTTGGGGCAAGAGAGTGTATATTTTTTTTCTCTCTCTCTCACTCTCGCTCACTCACTCACTCGCTCACTATTTTTCTCTTGTTTTCTTTTCTCGTGCAAAGTTGGCTCTAGACTCGAATGTGCTATCGGCCCCTCAAATTATTTTTGCAACAAAAGTTTTGTATTGCACTACACTATCGAGCAAAGCGGGATAGTGGAGCACTGACTGTAACTGACAAGATTTATCGAGTGGAGCACTGACTGTAACTGACAAGATTTATCGAGTGGAGCACTGACTGCAACTGACAAGATTTATCGAGTGGAGCACTAACTGCTACCGACAGGATTTAGTCGGAAAACAATCGAATTGGACACTATCTCTCACTTGTTAATTTGTAATATTATTGTTTAATAAACGTTGTGATTGTTCCTTTTTCAATAACGCGTTCTATTAAAAGGTCAACAGAAAAAACAAATTTATATACAGTTTGCTTGTGGTGACTATTTGTACTATCGAGCGAAGCGAAATTGTGGAGCACTGACTGCTACCAACAGGATTGACTGCTACTGACAGGATTTAGCCAGAAAACAATCGAATTGGTCTAGATGTGTTTAATACTTGAAACTATTAATATACAGTAACTTCTTGCTTATTAGATATACAGTAATCTGATTGCTTACTTGTATATTGTAACTTCTCGCTTACTTGTATCTTGAAACTTCTTACTTGTGTATTACAAGTAATAAGAGTCAGTGGCAGCTAGTGTGCTCCACTATCTCGCTGCGACAGACTAGAGACATTATCTCGCTGCGACAGAGACATTATCTCATTGCGACAGACTAGAGACATTATCTCATTGCGACAGACTAGAGACATTATCTCATTGCGACAGACTAGAGACATTATCTCATTGCGACAGACTAGAGACATTATCTCATTGCGACAGACTAGAGACATTATCTCATTGCGACAGACTAGAGACATTATCTCGCTTCGCTCGATAATGTCCGTTCGTAATATACAGTAACTTATTACTTACTTGTATATGGTAACTTATTACTTCTCGCTTACTACTTTCATACTTTAAATACAGTAACTTCTTTCTAGATTATATACAAGTGAAGCTTATTAGCAATCATCTAGATGCAATTGAAATGCCGATTTGGGGAAATATCGAGGTTTGAAAGTAGTCGGTGTGTCGATGACAACTAATCAGTGCTGCTCGATAGTGTCACTAATCAGTGCTGCTTGATAATGTTGCTAGTGTTGCTAGTGTTGCTAGTGTTGCTAGTGTCGCTAGTGTAGCTAGTATTGCTAGTGTTGCTAGTGTCGCTAGTGTAGCTAGTATTGCTAGTGTTGCCAGTGTCAGCTCCACTATCTCGCTCTGCTCGATAGTGTCGCTAGTGTCGCTAGTGTCTAATGACTTACAAGAGCCGCACAAGCTAGACTTCTCATCCAATCACGCTTATCTACATCGTGGGTATCTTCTACTTCCCCCCATTCGCCAGTTTGCAATATGGTTTCCAAATCACCCAACTCTATAATCTCCTCTACTGATTTATACCAGTATTTCTCTTGAGTCTCCTTGTTGATTTGAAACACTTGCTGCATCCTCTCCAAATCTGAAACATTTGATCTCAAAATCGATACCCCACAGAGAAACGACTTTGTCGTCAAAATCGCCTTTTCCAATGCAATTAGTTCAAAAATGTCCAACTCATGCATCCAGTTAAGGGCAACCGTTTGGGTAAGTTGGCTCTGTTTGTTTCCTCGAAGCCCGTCTTTCTCACAATCTAATGTTTTCAATTCAAGCTTCTCGTCCAGTTTCATCAATTTCCTCTTATGTGCAAATGTGGTGAAAAAGTCATTATACTCCTCAATAAGAGGAAGATAAAGCTCATTTTGCTTTTGCCTGAGTTTCCCATCACAGTCCTTCTTGCTGGAAAAAAGAAGACAAGTATCAGTATCGAGATATCTCAACAAGCTCACTTTCAAATCCTCAATAGCAATCACTCCCTTTGCTTTCTCTTTTGCCTCCTCGTTGACATCGTGCTTATTTTGCAAATCAATAGATCGAGCAGCAAGACTCGTCAATGGCAACGTACTGGATTTCACAGATATATTAGGGATGTTTGTCCATTCGTGCACAATCAAATATGCCAACTGTTTTTTAGTCTCGGGCAACGCTAACGGAAATCCCAAGGGAGTACGCAAAGTTTTCCCGTCTAGTTGAATCTCGTATTTTCCGGTTTCACGGTTAAAGTGAATCCCACATTTATCCCAAAACCTTTTACCCGTTTTGGCAAGTCTATTGGTTTCACTTTTGATATTATGCTCTATTGATTTGTCAATGGCCAGAGCTCGAGAGAGTACATTTGAACCTTGATATATGACTCTCGTAGAGCACAACGTCCGAATACAAATCACCCGCGATCCTATCCTGGTGACTACTCTATACATCTCTGGCTTTTATATATTCAAGAGTTATTGTTGACTTGAAAAATATCTGCAGAAGAGATCCAAAAAAAAAAAAAAAAAAAATAAATAAATAAATTAAAGATAAAATATAATACAAGGTGAATTTTTCAACATTACAAGAGTCAAGTTAAACTCCAGGTACGGACAACTAAACAATGAACCAAGAAGCTTTACAAAAAGTCCTTGTTGAGATGGACAACCAACTCAATAAGTCTCGAGCAGAGCTTTCCATGGTGAGTCTACAATTGGATAGGGTGAATACGAATTTAAATGTAATATCATCAACTAGATCAAGGCTAAATTTACTTAATAAACCAGATGAGACCGTTTGGCAAGGAATAGGTAAAGCTTTTGTTGCAAAGACAACGGAACTGTACATAAAAGAGCTAGAAGAGGACGAGAAGGAATACAAAGATACTGAACGGAGTTTGAAAATCAAAGAAAATTATCTCAATACCACTCTTGAAAAAACACTTGACGGCATGACAAAGATTATTGGAGAGAAATGAAAATGAAATGAAATGAAACGAAACAAAACGAAATTGTTTGATTTGATATGAGTTTTTGCTGTATCTGATAGATATGTAGTATGTGTTTGCATGAATCGGGCTTAATCCATTGCCTATTCGGCACCCTCTTTCTCATCAGCGGCCCCTTCATCTAAAAGTTTTCTTTCAAACTCTTGTTCCTTTTTTTTGTTGTTATACTTTTCCAATTTCATCCGCTCCGTTAAAAACACATTTATTTGATCTTGTAGGGTCGTCAAAGAAGCTCGTAAATGGCCAAGAGGCGTATCTTTGTGCATGCTAGGTTTATCACGGTCCTCTCCACCCGCATTAATTACAATGTCTGATATCTGAGTAGTTTTCCCATTCGTTTCGTGTGGACCCTCGCCAGGATTGAATTGATAGTTCTCTTGGGAACTTTCCGAATTATATATAGCTACCGGTATTAGCATGGAGTATTATTATTGCTTCTATCTGATTTTGTAACAAAATTAACGTTCTTTTATCATCTATCACTCCTTTCCTTCTTTTATTTTTTTTTTTTAATTTTTTTTTTGGGTCTTCTCGATGAATGCGTATTATATGAGAGTGAGAGGAAGAAAAGGTCACTATTTATTGAACTATAACAACAGTACAATACAAATCAAAATCCCTTTAGACACTCCCGCTAATGCTAAAGTCTTTAATCTTGATCCTTTTTGCTGAATTTGAGTAAGCATTGAATTTAATCTCTATGATTTCATCAGTCTTGAAATTCAATGATGGAATATCGTAACACGAACAGGACATCAAGTAACCATAAAAAACCTTGAGAACAGTGTCATCGGCAATAATCAAAATGTCGCCACTCATTCGTTCCATCTCTAAGATTAACGGCTCAATCTTTATAGCTAGATCGTGATACGACTCGGCACGCGAAAACCTATAGTGGTATGGGTCTTTTAAATATTGTGCATACTCGTCAGGATATTGTTTTGCAATTTCTTCTTCTGTTAGCGTCCCCACCACACCCGGGTTTTTCTGTGATAACTGGATCCGATTTCTGATACTAATGTTTTCAGAGTTAAGGAATTTTGTTGACTCAACTGTTCTTTTCTTGACAGATGTCCATATAACTAAAGAGTCGTCGTGCACACCATCAATCCCCAATGCCGGCTGTCTTTCTTCCACAGAAACCTCTCGTTTCCGAGAAGAAGAAGAAGAAGAAGAAGCGTCTGCTTGATTCAGCTCTTCATTTGTGTCTATGTAGTTTTTACCCTCCAGCTTTAAATGTTCAATCAACGTTTCTGTCAAGTTTTTGGCATATTTTTCACCTTCTCCGTCCAATGGCGGGTCGCAGTTGTAATCCAAGGAGTTCTTGTAACAACGAGCAAGGAAAACCGATCCGGATTTTATACTTCCATTCATTAAATAAAAAACGACTTTGTTGATCAAATAACCATAGTTGGAATTGTGAAGCTCAATTCTTTCGCCAAAATTGATGAACTTAATGTAGGACAAATCTTTTTCGTCATCGTTAAACCCCATTTCTTTATAAAATGGTGCTAACGCCTGAATTCTTTCACTATAGTCCTTGTATGCTTGCTCATAATCCCAGTTGTGATAGTCTGGAGAGGATTTTGCTGCCTCCTTTATGTTTTTCATTACTATTGTGTCATCTGTTACAAGACTTTCAATGAAAATGACTTGTATCATCAACTTGGAAAATTTATTGTGAAGCTGTAATCGGAATTCAGGAATTGCATTCACTGCATCATATATTGCAACTTGGCCCTTATCGTTCTTGAAGAAACTCAAGATATCGTTTAAACACTCATTCACCACTTTTTCCCTCAAAGCATGTGCTTTTTGGCTCTTGGGTGTAGGAACGAACAAATCGTGAGTCAAATTGTCTTCTGCGCTAGCTCGTCTATAGTCCCCCAAGTGGAAAGAGTGTGTCTTGACACCTAACCATCTCAAATACCTAGTGAGCGAGACCGATAAGTGGGTCTTGCCTCTTCCGGGCAACCCTGCAAGCACAATGATTATTTTTCCTGCGTGAAACAACCTACCTGATTCGGTCGAGTACAATTGCGCGCCTCCAAGCTCGTTTAAAGGATCAATTTGCTTATGGACTCCATCTATCCCCGTGATATCACTCAATCTTCTTGGCGTACCAACCGCCGAAGCTTCCAGCGGCATATCAACTAAGTTGGGCCGTGTGCTGTTATGAAATGACCATCTTTTCCTTGTTCTCATTTGGTTTCTGGATATTGGTTGGGATCCAAATCCATTATATAATTCACTCTCTTCGTCAGTGACGGCATTCTCAACAGACATGGCTAATTAAATTCGACTTCAAGGTTAGGAAGAAAAGGTGTGTTCCAAAAGAGTGTTCTGAAAGGGTGAAACCAAAAGGGTGAAACTGTCTTATAAAGATGTTGAGTACCTTACCTTTTCTCTCTGGTATTGTAGATTAAATTGGGGTAAAAAGCTATCACTATTTTTTTCTACTCAAGCCCCCCTCTTAACTGGTCTGCATATTTCGCTACCAAATTACATGGAAGAGTACTACTATCAAGTATCGAGTATCTACTATCGAGCTTAGCGAGATAGTAGATAGTACTCAGCTCTCTCTACTAACGAATATTTACTATCGAGCTTAGCGAGATAGTAGATAGTACTCAGCTCTCTCTACTAACGAATATTTACTATCGAGCATCTACTACCAAGCTTGATTCAGATGGGAAGAAAGAGAAAATTTGGATGAAACGATCAAGCTTGATTTATATGGGAAGATCAAGATTAAATTGAACAAAGAGATCAAGATCAACTTTTCATCTTTGCTTTAATAGACAGCTTCTTAGACCAGTTTCAAGCATGAATTAGAGTAGTTTGATGCATGCTCTGCTGTTTTCATGAATTAGAAAAGTCTCTACCCTCTTCTTTCAACTAGACGAGCAAAGCGAGTCTAGTTCATCGTCTAGTTGCTCTACTGAAAAATAAACGAGGGAGTAGGAGAAAAAAAGAGCACCAAAGAAATAATCCAAACATACAATTTGAGTGCAAACTAATGTACAATTTGAGTGCAAACTAATGTACAATTTGAGTGCAAACTAATGTACAATTTGAGTGCAAACTAATGTACAATTTGAGTGCAAACTAATGTACAATTTGAGTCCAACCCAAAGTACAATTTGAGTCCAACCCAAAGTACAATTTAAGTCCAACCTAAAGTACAATTTAAGTCCCACCTAAAGTACAATATATGTTTATATTAAGACTACCCTAAAATTTATTAAGCTTTAACTGATTTTCTTGCAATCAAATCTTTTCTGTCCTTGTCCAAATGCAACTTTGTGATAACAACTTTTGATGGATGTACGCTAATTGGTACAGTGGCACCGTTTGATTTTTCTTTTTCTAATTTTTCAACTTGGATTGCAAATTTCAATCTGTAAACTGAGTTCACTTTACCCTCTGCACCCTTCTTTGAACCTCTGACAACTGTGATTACATCATCTTTTCTGATTGGCAAGGATTTTATGTTGTATTCTTTTCTTAATTCTTTTGATAATGGAGCGCTTAAAAGAACTCTTCTCTCAACAGATGAAGAACTGAAATGAGCTTTTCTAGACTTGGAACGTGATGATGATACGTCTGGATATAAATTGTTAGTATAAACTAAAAGGAGGGGGGGAAAAGAAGGAACATGATTGTATTGAGGACTTTCTCCTTTTCACCGCATCAATAAAAATGTAAAACCAAACACCGGTGTCAACCATTGGGTAATGCTTTATATTCAAGTACAAGTTCATTATGGGAAACCCTTTATAGTGCACGCAAAATGGTGTTCAATACAAGTTCATTATAATTCTGTTCAAAAAATGCATACCTTGACTTCTTTTGGCCATCTTTGGTTGTGATTTGGAAAAGCTAGTAGGTATTCAATCGAAACGAATAATCGAAATTTTTAAGAAATAAAATTCAATTTGTTTTTTTTTCACTCTTACTTGGTTATACCATTAAACAACTTTCATTGTTAGAATCCCGCACCCATATACTTGAAAAATTGTTAAAAGAGTAATTTTTGTGACACTACTTGGGAAAAAAAAAAAGAATATAGACTTAGTTGTGTGTGAATTATATAGTTGTAGCCCTCTACTATGTTATATGCACGTGATTAAACGATGAAAAAAATGGGGAAAAAACGGGAAAAAAACTAATTTTGTTTTTCCAAAAAAATCAAATCCCTGGCGGGGATCGAACCCGCGATCACGATCGTCTTCGCAGAGTAATGCTCTACCGGAAAATCGTACCTTACCTCTAGGCCACAGGGACTCTTGCAAATCTTATTTCACGGTTTTGAAAACCGGCAGAGTTGTTTTTAGTCACGTGAATAACAACTCCTGTCTGTTATTTTTATCACGTGAAGAGACTTGGATCTGTCTCTCTCTCTTACTCTCTCTCTCTTACTCTTACTATTCTTTTTCTTTCCCATGAGGGGAGAGAGAGAGAGAGGAGAGACAGACAAAATTATTTTCCCCCCCCTATAATATAATGGTGGTTTAAATCCATTAACATTAGATTAAGTAGTGTTGAAGTGTCAAACGTGACAATTTGAAGTGAGATATTACTTGTATATATTTTTAATAGCTTTATAAGCAACTAGCGATTGGTGAAGAGGTGAAGGAGGAAAAAAGAAAAGAGCCTTATATATAAAAGAGCTTTATTAGTAAAAAAGGCCTTATTGAAAAAAAAAAAGAAGGGCTTTATTAATTTCCACGTTATAAAAGTGTTTACAAACATTGCCAATATGAATCTTCTTAGAATTAACAAGTACAGTAATCTATGTACACCAATTTCCCATTCACTCAAAGTTAATCAATTGATTCTTCCAGCACAAATTATTACTCGGTCATATGTAATTGGAAACAAGAGTCAACAGACTTTTACTTCATCTTTCCAAATAGCAAAAAAGTTCCAGTTACTCAAATATTCAACAACAACATCTCCTCCCCCTCCTCCTCCCCCACTGCATGATAAAAACTATAAAGGTAAAATAATTTTAAACAGGATCTCTAGAGCATTCACATTTTCCTTGTCCGTTGCTCTTGTCATTGCCGCATCTGGTATTGCCTTGCTTGTGTTATACTTAATCATCACAGAACTATTTTTCCCTACGGGAGATACCACAACCTTCAACAAGGCAGTCAATTTGATCCAGAAAAACACAGAGGCGCAAAAAGTGTTGAACTTCCCAGCGGGAGAAAGATTGAAAGCTTATGGTTTCGTGGCTGCTGACAAATGGGTTCGTAACAGGCCTGTGCAAAGTGTAAAGAGAAAAGGTGACGATGGTAAAGACCATTTGTACATGAAATTTAAGGTTGAAACTTCAACTGGAAATTATGGTGTAGTTACATTGGAACAAATTGACAATTCATTATGGAGTACAAAGTTTAAATACATTGCATTGGATGTACCTGGACGCAAAACAGTCTACATTATTGCGCCACCAAGGCCTAAGATAGCGCCTTCAATTGGTAAGGGAACAGGATTTCTAGGGTTAAATTGGGGTCCAAAAAAGGATTAAGCAATGATGATTATTAATTAATATTATTTATTGTTGTTAGTTTCCCCTTTTTCTTTTTTTTTTTTCATTTTAAAGAGGAATTATAAACATTAGGAATTGTAATACCCTTGTCCACAGTCCAAGAAGTAATTTTGCTCCCGAAATGGATACTGATGTGGAGGAAGTACTATACTGCATTGTCTCTAGTTCAATCGTGTTTTGTTCCTTAATATTTTCTGGAACTGGTAAAGGTTTATCATTCAACAAACTTTGACAATTCTTTCCATCACTTGAAAATTTCGTACTTAGATCGATATAGCCATCATTCACAAGGTCGCCCCTATTCTGGAAAGTACAAATTTCTTTTCTTTTCCCAGTTTGCTCATAGTATTTATTCAACGCAAATGATGCTCTTATGATTGGATTGCAGTCGCTGTATTTACCGTACTTTCCTAGCCTACCGTTTGTATTTATTTCGTCGCAGTCTACTTTGAAGCACAAGTCTTTTAATGTCGCCTCCTCGTCAAAGTTGTCGTTGTCAGCAATAGCACAAGATAAGGATTGCCATAAGCAATCACATTTGCCAGCATCTGGAGTTTGAGGCAAGTCAAACGCGACATCCCAAATATTGTTGCTTTTCAAACATGAAATCTCTGTGGTTTTTTCAACCTGGTCAATCGGAACACCCACGGGATTTACCGAATTGAATCTAGTTTTTAAAGTCTCAAAATCAGGTAGTTTCAAAATGGACCCGTCGTTCTTGTTCAAAACCAATCCATAGTGATTGACTTCTTCAAAATATTCATATGCTATACCGCCAGACCAAATTTTTCTCATTGTTGTACCATATATTGCTTCAACTTCAGTGAAGGGTCTTGGTGTGATGATATTACAGCCAAATTCACTAAAGAATACCGGGGCCGGGTAATTCTTAAACGTTGAAGTTAATTCCCGATACCCTGATGTTGTATATGTGGAATATCCACACCATTCGTATACATTGATTGCAAAAAAATCGGCTCTTGAGTCGACGCCGTTTTTCTTATCTTCTTCTAGTTTGCATACAAAATAATTTGCCAAGCACTCGCGAATAGTAGCATCGTCATTTGAAGCATATCCAACCGGGATTTTTCTGTAACCCTTTGATGCAATGTATTTCTTGCAATCACGAATTGCAGCTCTAACAAATGGCGCAGAATCAATATTCAGCTGTGAGTTTGCAACTTCGTTTCCAGCAAAAAAGCCTAAAACGTTTGTATACCTTTGCATTGAGTCAATAACTTGTCTGTATCTAAAGTATAACTCGGTGTCCCAATGAGGGAAATCGCGACGAATGGAGTTGTAAGGCTCAGACAAGTCTGCCAAGATATAGATTCCAGCATTGGCAAATGCATTCATACAAACATCGTGGTTTGCCAAAGGATTAATCTGATAAATCCGAACAACATTTACACCCAACTCTTTCAAATGCTCCAAGTCTCGTAAACAAGTGAAAGGGTTTGCTAAGGGGTCAATGTAGTTTGTTTCCTTTGATGTGTCATAAACTTCTCCTTCCTGTCTTGATTTTTGATATGCGATACCTTTAATAAAGAATTGTTGTTTGGTGACCGATCCGTAAAATTTGTTCCCCACTACAACTATTGGTTCGATGGATTCTAGAGGTTGTGAAGTTGGCTGCGAATTGGAAAACAGGGAAATAGGCTCTGCGATGATAATACTGTTCAGAAACGCTGCAGCGTATAGTAGAGTGCTTAACCTCATCTTGATGTGCAAATAGGTGCAAATGGGTGCAAAAAAAAAAAAAAAAAAGAAATACAGTAGACAATCAAATTTAATTTTATTACTAAATAACCTGCATCAACTTTTGGCTGCAAAAAAAAAAAAGAAAAAAAAGAAAAAAAAAAAAAAAGAATAGGAATTGAAATTGAAATTACCATAGGCATCCCATCAGAAAGGCTTTTACCCTTTTAAAAAATTTCGTACAACTTTTTGAACTCCTTTTTGCCTTTACATTCCAACATGTAGATCTCATCATCACTAACCTTGATTAATAACCCGGCTCTCCCAATTTTCTCAATTATATTGAATTTGCGCTCATCGGGAATGAGCCAACTATAAATGTCGTTATCATCATTAGCTTCCTGATCCTTATTCAATTGTATATGGTAATGGGTGCTCTGTGTAAGATGGTCAAATACTTTATCGATGATTAATGTATACATTGACAATATCTTCCAAGACGAAGGGTTGTTGATACTAGAATACGAGTGAAGTTGTTTCTGTAATCTGATTGCCATTGACTTGATTGCCCTAGCACGAACGGTATTTGGATTATTGACAATACAGGAATTGTAGACTTCACTAACATTCAAGGTTGTCGTTTGGAGCGAGTTGAGCGAGCTGTTGCTAGCAAATGTTGATGCTTTACCAGTGTCCATTAAAGAGGATGCTAGTGTGGTGTCTGAAGTTAACCCTTTGGAAGCATTTAAAGATCTGTAGCTGCTACTCTTTGATGGAACCAAAGTGGCCACTGCATCTTTCAAATGCGATGAAATGCTGTCTGCTAAACCACTAGTTGTACATCGCACCATTATTAGCATATTCTCGCCAGTAATGGAGTTAACCGAACTCAACTGCAAATCCAATGCTGATGAAGATCTAATTTTTGTTATTGATGTACTGATGTCAAGTATCAATATTGGTTTGTCAACTGTTATTTCTCCTTCTTCTTCAAACTCTTCTTTAAACACAATAAACCAGCCTTTGCCGCTTTCATAATTTACTGCTATCTTGAAGAAAATCAATTCAGCTGTAGTCAACATTTCCCATTTCCCATATTTAGACTTCCATTTAGATATTTTGATTGACTTGGGTGAGGATTCAGAGATGTAGAGATCCTGTGTTGATTCCAGATTTATAGCATCTTTGAGATCTTGAGGAACATTAGGTTCCTCTTCTGCCATATCAGCAATGCTCACTGTTGATCCATTCAAGTGAGGTTTGAAAAAATACGTAGATGTTGATGAAGGTAACGCAAAGGGACCTGGTATTTTTGAGACGGACCTTGTCATTATCTTTTCTTGGTTAGAATCGGCCACATAAAATGGGTCCCTTAGCTTCTTCTTTTCCTCCTTTTCTTCTTCTTCTTCTTTTTCTTTTTCTTTTTCTTTTTCTTTTTTCTCTTTTTTTTCTTCTTCCTCTTCTTCCTCTTCTTCCTCTTCTTCCTCTTCTTCTCTTTGCGTAAGATCAGTCAAATTAGTATATGACTCAACTAAGCTTGCTTTTGAGGATTTTTTAAACAATTTGAAAAACGATCTCTTTTTCACTAAACTTGAAGTTGAGTGATTGAAATTCTTGGTAAATGTTGGCCGGTAATTTTTCCCAAAATTGGTAATATCGATGGACGATCCGGTTGGCAATTGGTACACTGACGGATTTGTTAAACCCAGTGGCTGGCTTGCACTCTCTTTTTTAAAGGGTCCGGGAATAGAATCCGAAGAAATCGCATCATTGGTTTGTATGGAATCTATACTTTCAGGCGAGTTATCAGTATATGCAATTTCGGCTTGAGAAGATTTTGGTCTAGTTTGATCTTGTATACTTTCCTCAGAAAGTTGTCTCCTGTTAATTATGTGGAATAACTTTTCGTCATCATCATCTTCATTACTTGAACTAAGAGTGCTTGGCGTGGAATAATTGTTGGTGGTAATACATTTCTTTATTATAGGTAAGGACTTGTTATATTGTGACTTTATGGAGGAATCTTCTCCTTTAGAAGTGAATGTTTTCACAGCGGACAGGATGGATGGCGAGTCAATGAAATCTTTAAACGACTCTTTTTTTGAAATTGTTAAATCATCTACCTTCAAAGTTTCCTCTGAAGACATATACCGCTTACGTTCTGAATTTGAAACAACGTTTATACCCAACCCCGACATACCGCTTGGGTTTGACTTTGATTCGATCAAAAAGTTTTCACTCAATGGTGAATTATTGCGTTCCAATGGGAATATTGCAACAAGGTATCTTACCCATTCATCAAGAAGCCTCTCGTTCTCAAACGATATTATCATTTTGTTTTCGTTGTTTTCAGGTGACATGAAATTGATCTCTTTCAACTCCATCTCTTTCTCCGAGTACGACAAGGACAACTCGTTGATTCTAAATGGAGGGTAAATCAAATTTCTGCACACTTGTGATTCCTCATCCACGTCTACTGCTAACACTGCCAACGCATTGTATTCTCCTGTCCCAACTAAATCCAACAAGACTAATTCTACTTTTTCCCCTTCCATTACAATATTTGCATTTTCTGTCCTATGGATGATTTGATCAACAGTGAAATAACTGGATACCAACTTGCAACTATTGGGCGTTGTTATTGTTGCTGTTGCTGCTGCAGCTGCTGTCGAGAACGACGACGAGAAGGAGCGAACATTTTTGAACTTTATATTGTTGAACTGTTTGGCACTGGAGTCATTTTCAAAAGCTCTGTATATTTTATGTAGTTGATCTCCTATTGTATTTAATTTTTCAATAATGAATGGGTTCCTTAAATAGCTTGGACATTTTTCAATAAAGCTGAGAAAATTAGCCAAATTCTGTATTGGACCTACTAATCGGTCAATAGTTGACTTATCCTGCCACTCGACCAACTCAAGCTGTTTGCTGTATTTTTCAAATAGTACTATATTGTCATCTTCAATCCAAAGTATAAAATCATTAATGAAGTTTTTGAAATTTTGTCGCTCGTTAATCTCAATATCTTTGAGTGCTCTGGTTATGGTTGTAAGAAGCTGGTTATTCTTAGTGTATATTCCTCTTGCAAGGGCCGATAAAGATGAAGTAGAAGCAGATGATGATGATGTTGTTGTTACCAATTTCAATGATCGTACAACACCCAATATTTCAATTAAGTTGCTATTGCTTGCACTAGTGGCATCGTGTAGCCTTTGTAGTAAAATCTGTGGACGCTCTACTTTCATGATTATCTTTTGTTACTAGCTATGTTGGTTGTAGAGAGGTTTTATCTATTCAAGAAAGCTTTTTGGAAAATCTCTACACTTTTTACGTATAACTATAACATTATCAAATAACTCACAAAACATCTATATCTAGCGTGACTGAAATATATATATAGAGAGAGAGCTTGCTCATTAACCCAAAAAACAAAAAAAAATTACCGAAAGGGGGGGAAATTTTGTAGAATCTATAATGCTTGTTGAATACTAACTTGGATAAGAGTATTTTTCAAAAGGGGATATGTTGAAAAAAAAAGATAAATAACGCGTAAATTTTTCAACGTTTGTTTTAGTCTAAAACAGCAAATAAGAAAAGACGCGTAAATTTTTTTTTAGCTCACACAGAAGAAAGTTAAACTAGAGAGAATTGCTTAACCATTTAGCTATTTAGATTGTTCTTTGATCTTTTCAAAGAAAGATCTTAAAAGAAAAAGGACAAAGCGAGCGACACCAAGAGCGACACTATCGAGCGAAGCGAGATAGTGGAGCGCACTACCTCTGATTAACACTATCGAGCAATACTTTGTAGCCTGTTACAAAGTGGAGCACACTTAATAGCTTGCTGCACACTACCTAGCCTGTTACGATACTATCAACACTTTGTAGACGCTACCTCGCTCTGCTCGATAGTGGAGAGCAACACTTTGTAACTTGCTACAATACTAAATAACCTTGCGTGGGAAAAAGGTTTTAGTGTAACTTTTGTAGGAAAAGGTTTTAGTGTAGCAAAAAAGTGGTTTTGTTGCTAGTCACGTGATTTGCACAAGTGACAGTATGAGATTAACTCGTATTCAGAAGAGATTGATAGCTGGTCACATATAGTGTTCTAGCTACTATAAGCAGTGTATTAAGGTCCATTATCACTAGTAATTATGCAATTATTGCATTAGTTTCTATGTAAATATATTTTTTGCTTCATTCAACACTATCTCACTCTGCTCGATAGTGATGTCAATAATCTCTAGAGACAATCCAATTCAACACATTCTCAATGCCTATTCCCGTTTTCCCACTTACCAACTCGATATGCCAATGGTTCTCATCTGGTAAATACTCATCTAGCTTCAAGATCTTTGCAACATTTTGCTTCAAAAGTGGTAACTCTTCTTGAGGCACTAGATCCACTTTATTAATTGCAACTAGCAAATATATTCCAACTAATCGGTCCTGTAATATGATTTTTTCCTTTAATTCCAAAAACGACTCATTCAACCGTTCCATACTTAGACCATCAATTACCCAGATTACAATTTCGGTTTTATCGAAATAGTTCCCCCAAAATGCTCTCAATGTAGTTTGCCCGCCAATATCCCATATATTGAGCAAGTGGCCCATATAGGGTACAGTATTGATTTGAAAACCCATTGTTGGAGAAACTGACTCTACATCTAGCTTCAACATTCGTTTAATAATTGTGGTTTTGCCAGCATTGTCGAGACCAAGTGCGAGTACTCTAATTTCCTTATCCTTTTGCTTTTGTTTCTTGATTATCGTTAGCAATCCCATCTGGTAACACTCAAACCTAATCCAAATCTAAATCCGCCACCCCAACAACCATCACTCACTAGAATATTCTCCCAACTAAAAAAAAAAAATTCCTCATGTGTCCTTGCACTCCACAACTAAACTTTTTTTCTGTTTCTTATTACAGCAATCTTCTTCTTTAGTTGTTATTGCTGCAAAAAATAAAGCATCTCTTTTTAAATGATGATATAGATGGTGGTGGAAAATTGTTGATATTATGCGCAAAACATTTGTTAAAAATGATACAATAAAGAGGAAACAACAGCCCACAATATTGCAGTTTACAAAGTCTCAAATGGTAGAGCGTGTTGTGAATACAGAGTCATTGGTAAAACAAGAGTTTGAGCAACCAGTCAAGGAGAGAGAAGCAACACTGGACTTTGAGCAATCAGTAAAAGAGAGAGAAGCAACACTAGACTTTGAGCAACCAGTAAAAGAGAGAGAAGCAACACTGGACTTTGGTTGCTCTATTTATATCAAAAAGGAAGGTGAATGTGCTTTAGACCCTTTTGTGGAAAAAGAACAAGAAAAGCCCAAGGCATGTTCTAAGATTTACACCACAGAAAAGAAGATTGACGCGTTTTCTCTGACACAAGCTACTAGTGCAAGTGCAGCCATACTATGTCCCGTTTGCGACTTGGACTTGCATGAGTTGGACCTTCGAAGTCGAACTGATCACGTCGACACTTGTCTTGTCCGCGTGACTTTTGACGAGAGTGAAACATCACAACAGGATATTCAACTCGTGGAAAGGAAACAAACATCTATAAAGAAAGAAACGATAGAAGTGTTAATACCACCCGTAGAAAAGAAGAGAAAAGTGGAAAAGGATAAAATTAGGTACATCAATGCAGAAACTAATATCAGCAGCAATAAGCCCAAGATTATCAAGCCACCATCTACCAATGGAGTAAACACAAAGAATGGCAGTACTGTACCAATTGCCACCACCACCACCACCACTAGGAATATATCTTCGAGAAAAAAACCAATTTCGCCGCTCAAAATAATGACATTTCCGGTCAACAATCATCAAAAGCTAGATTATCAGGTGTCGGTGGATGCATTTTGTTTTGCCCCTCATGAAACAATTGACCAATATTTTCTAACACATTTCCATGCAGACCATTATGGTGGTATTTCCAAAAAATGGTCTTATGAAAGAGTATTCAAAGAAGATACGGACTATGAGAATGATTCAAAATACAAACGCATTATATATTGCACGGCTATCACCGGGAAGCTTTTAACTTTATATTTCTCCATTGATCCCAGATTCATCAAGATGCTAAAGATGGATACAAAGTATAAGGTGAAAAACTATGGTGATGATGTGGTTGATGTCGAAGATGGGGGCTATGTTAGCAATGAGGAGAGCCCTGGGTTGTATGTGACTGCACTAACAGCTAATCACTGTCCCGGCGCAAGCATTTTTCTTTTTGAATCCATCGGACTAGATGGGAAAATTCACCGGATCCTACATTGTGGCGATTTTCGGGTCAATATGACAATCCTAGACCACCCTTTACTAAATCGATTTAGTATTGGCCGCCATGATATCGAAAACACCTTGAAAATTGATAAAGTGTATCTCGATACGACGTATATGAACAAGACTTATGTGTTCCCCAAACAAGAACTTGTTTGTGAGACAGCTGCTTCATTGTTTGAGAACCTAACTTTACGAGAAGATGACAAAGCAAGTAATTCTTTATTTAATACTTGGTTTGGTCTACTTACACAATCACGAATAACTGATTTTTGGAAATCTGGGCGATCCCAAGCTGCAATGAATAATAACAGAAAGAAGAAGAAGTTTTTAATTTTGGTGGGTACCTATGTAATTGGTAAAGAGAAGTTAGCTATCGCTATTCTGAAAAGATTACAGTGTCCTATATATGTGTCGAATATAAATAACAGGAGAAACAAGTACGAAATATTGAAAACATATCAAGACGACTATTTGGATCTGGTTTTAACTGCGGATGATTTAGGTCGCGAAAATCCATCGGATTGCATTGTTCATTTAGTGCCTATGAGCATTGTGGGGTCTATTCAAGAACTATCAAATTATTTCAATCATAATAAATACTATGAGAATTTTGAAAGATGTGTAGGACTAAGACCCACTGGGTGGAGCTTTGCTCAGAACGGGAAAAATACAGATTCTCCACTGGAAGCGGAGGATTTAGTACCTCAAACACCACTTGAGGAAGTTATTAGAGTCATGACAACAACAACGAATTTTACATTTATGGATCATATATTATCACAAGGGTCCAAAAACACGAGCGTAAAGGGTCAACCAGATCAAGAATTGTACAGAATATACTCATTACCATATAGTGAACATTCATCATTTAGAGAATTGGCCTATTTTGTCGTGTTCTTCAATATTGGACGTGTTATACCTACCGTCAATTGCAATAATGAATTCAATTTAAAGCGAATGGAAGATATAATTGCAACATGGGAGCAGGTGAGACGTATTAAAACAAATACAACAATTGACAAGGACTTGCCTATACTGGATGAAATAGTAGAGAAAGTAAATGAGATATCTTTAGATACTTTTTGAAAGAAAAGTAGGAAGAAAAATAAAAAAAAAAAAGAAAAAAGAAAAAGGAGGAAGAAATCACAAAGAGGAAGAAGCAAGTTCAAAATATCTATTGAGGAAAAGAAAAAGGAATGATTGTCTATTATTATGAACTTTACTGTACATACCTAAGGTTTTGACTCTGTCAATTTGTTTTGATAAATATTTAGAATCGATTCGCATTCTTCATTGGTCTTGCATGAGCTCCATGATGCAACAAAGTCTCCATCTTGATAAGTGTTCTTTGAGTCTTTACTAGAATGGGGAGCACAGATGGCTTTAGCAGGAACAAGAGCGGTCTTGCTCAACACAAGAGGATGCCATTGCAATATATGAGTTAAGGCCGAGTCAGTTTCATACGGGAAACTTTTGTAATTCAAATAAAGTTTATCGCTCCAAATATCCACTAGCGCTTTACCAAAGGCGTCATTTTTAACAAAAAACGAACCGGTTTCAATCATTGTATCCAATTGTGCAGCTATCAACTTGATTGACTTTGCTTTTGTGCTTTTGTATGTTTTGATCAATCCATCTGGTGGAATCAATGGCTGGTCCCGTAACATTTGCTTCTCTAAAGCTTCTGGATTTAATAAAATTTGTTGAATGTTGCGCGACATATCCATAATAAGTCCATTCTCATCCAAATACCAGAACCATTGAGCATGGGGAAAAGCAAACATTGCGGCTCTTAAACAAAATAGCCTAACCCATTTTGATTTCTGGTCATCTTCTAAAGCCGCAAGCGATCCAAGTTGTGGAATAAACTCTTGTGCCCAACGCACATAAAGTCCACATTTTTGATAATGAGCATAGTCTACTCTATTTTGAACAATCTTGACTAATCCCCCCTCAGAATACTTGTTGAAATCAACAACTGTAACAATAACCACCTCGGGATAATTGTCTAGGGACTTTGGTCTATAAACAATTTTGTCCTGATTCTTGAAATAATTTTTAGCTTTTAACAACGGATCCTTCTCATTTTGTTCGTCTTCTTTGGCTTTTTGAACACTTGTATCTTCGTCATCTAATATGTTCAAGGACTTGAGTTCGGGTTCATCATATCCTGGTGTTTTTACCAGTGCTATTAAATTTCGAACTCCAAGTTGTTTCAAATAATTTGCATCCTGTATACGTGGATATATCAGCTTCAACTGGGTTTCAATCGTGTGCTTAGAAGAATACGGGTGAGGAGGAGGATATGAACGTACCGTTGAAGTATGGAAAATGTGCGAAATGAAAGCAAATGGGTTGAAGATGTACCATAGAAAAAGTAGTCCAATTATAATCAACGGCAATCGCTTTCGGTTATTCATTCGACTAAATGTGGCTGGTAGTGGCAAGATTGATTGGTTACCTTTGCTGTAACGCGGCTTGAATGCTCCCTTGCTGTGCAACATCTGCGAACAAGTTTGTAACCAATGTGTAAAACCGCTGTGTAAAACCGCTGTGTAAAACCACTATAGATGATTGAGCTTCTACTTTACTTTGATTCTTTATCTCCCCTGTTTGTTTGATCTCTAGAGATGCTTTAACTGGAAAAAACAATAAGAGAAAAAACAATAAGAGAAAAAATAAAAATAAAAAAAAAGAGAAAATGTTTTTTCAACTAGGCTCGATACTTTTAGGTGCAAAGTTAACAACTGAGCAGAGAAAGATAGGTAGATACCTACATACCTGCCTCTGTTTTTGCTTGGTCTTGGTTTTATTTACTTATGAAAAAAAAAAAAACTATTTCGGTGTCTCTTTACTTATTCTTTCTTCAATTACTTGCAATGCTACTTGTCTTCTCCTCTCTGCCACCGAGCTTGCCACGATATTGTTCACTTGATTCTCTTGTCTCTTTTGAGCTCTTGAATTACTTTGCTGCACTCTCTCGTCATTGAATGGAGTAACTATTCCTAAAAACACCGAGAATTCATATACTTGGTTGAAAACAGGGCCCAAATATGGTTTTGTGACGCTGGGGAAAAATTCAATCAATTGGAAAGTATCTGAAGCATCACCAATCAATATCGATCCATTAGCAGAGTCATTAGAGGAGATGGGCAATGTAGGCTCAGTTCTCAACGGTTGGAAAAACCTCAAATAGTTAAAAGCCACTAAGAAACTGACAATGGACGGTATTGCTGGATATAAAGAGTGGCTTATCAAGATCGACCAAAAACTCAATACTATCAAAAGGGCAAATGGTAAATGCTTAATTCTGAAATTAACCAATCCTTGAAACAATACAATATTATGTTCGGGGATCAATTGTTTAAAAACAACGAGAAATCCAAAATAGTACGATATTCCTCCACCTAGTGGTAAATCCATACTGTATCCATCGGATCTGAACAAGTTTGAAATAATTGCAATCAAAACAGTAATCAAGTTAGTCACACTTCCAATAACAAGTACAAATTTGACAGTTTCATAGTAGCCCCAAAACTTCTCAGCAAATTTACTTCCAACAATTAAAACAACAAAGGAAAATACAAATGATACTATAGTGATTTCTGCAAATATTGCCAGCACTATGACCCAGGGGAAAAAAATTGTGCTTTTAGGTATCAATTGGATGTATGGAACAGTGGTTTCATACACTATCCGATAGAACGACATTGGTGGAGGATTCGGATCCGTTATGGAGATAAAAAACTTTGCCACATACAAAATGGTAGAAGTTGTAACTAGCATACCTACAAGGATTCTAGTGGATGTGGGAACATTATGACCTCGTGTCAAACTCATAATAAACCTCAATATCTCTTTCTCTCTCTCTCTCTCTCTCTCTTGCTGAAAAATATTCTCGTTGACTTGACTTATTAGCTTATTGGCTTTCCAGCTTACTTGGTTCGTTAGCTTTCTAGTCTGTTAGCTTTCTAGTTTACTTGGTTTGTTTAACCTGGTTCGTATTGCTCAACTAAAATAAAGCGGTTATAGTTGGTGCCTAGGTTGAAATTCGCGCGTTTTTCAACCTACTCTTTTTTTTTCTTCTTCTTCTCTTCTTAACAATCTTTGAAAGTTACTTAACCACACCGAAATTTCCTTCTCACATTATTGAATATTCAACGTACGCCTAAGGGCTCTTTTGAGTATATCAAAATGCCCATATGTGTAGAGATTATGAACTTATCAAGATTTTTGAAATTCGATTTGTTACATTAATAGTATTTACACACACACGCATTATGTAGAGGGGGGTAGGGGGAAGGGAAAAGATTTGGATTAACCTTCTCTTATGAAAAACATAATATATAAAATTTCAAACTCTCTATAAATATCAAACATTACATAAACAATGACCTCAATAAAATAAAAAAAAAAAGAGAGAGAAGAAAGCAAAGAAAGATAAAACCATTCATGTTAAGCTTATCTTCTCTTTCCCCCTCCCCCCCCTCTCTAGTTTTTATCTTTTTCTTTTTTCTTCATTATTTTCCTTCTTTTTTCTTCCCTTCCTTTTGCATTGGAAAAAAGAGCTTATCTAAATGCGTTTGTGGAATATGGAGCGGCTTTAGTTGTTGCCTTGACGCTCAAGTAAGACCAAGTGTATGTGTTTGGTCTATTTGGACCAGTATCATTGTTAGATACGTTTCTTGGCTGGAACAATCCATTAGCAATTGATCCTGCACCACCTATGTTGGAAAACTGATCCTCTTTAACTTGACCCGAGGCAGCAGCTGGTGCAACAATGATTACAACGAATAAAACAAGAACAGTAAAGTATAACACACAATATTTTCTAACCATTCTCTTTCTCAATCTTGCTTGCTTTAAGGAATAAATCGGTGGTCTAATCAATCTTGATGGTTTCAACCAAAACAACATCATTGAGTGCCATCTGTCAATTAAAGGAATGCACAAGATTGGTAATTGGCAAAACAATATAACGTGTGCCAACATGAAATCACCAGCAAACTCTGACATTTCGCAAATCTTGGCAACAAACTCACGAGAAGGTTGGGTAAAAGCCATCCATCCCATACCTGTATTGTACCATTTACCAGTCCAAAAGGCGGTATTGGCCTTATCGTTTTTAAACTCTCTGGTCAAGAAACACAAGGTCAAAAACTTGAACAATAGCCTTTGAATGTAGATCATTGTAGCCAATCCCAACAACATTCTAGCAAAGCTGAATCCCTCTGTAACCCACATAACAATGAAAAATACAATGTGAACAATAACAGCAATACCATGAGCAATTCCCGCGATAACCGCACCCGTCTTTTTACAACACAATCCCAACATTGGACCAGCACAACAAGCTGTACCAACACAAGCAGCCAAAACACCACAATCAATAACAACTGGAGCTAAGGCACAAATAATAAGTCTCAAAACCGAGTTCACAGGTTGTGGCTGTGTCGAACCCAAAATCTCGTATGGGTACGAAGTGACACCAGTTTGAGCATTGATAAACGTGAATGCAATATAAAGACCAGCAGTGTAAATCAAAGTTGGAAGGAAATCGGCAAAGAAAACGTTAGATCTATGAGCTCTTGAAGCATCACCAGCAGATTTTTCAGATATATCACCAGTCAACTTACGTTTAAAACCAGTGATACGTGATCTAGAAAGTCTAACGTAGCCAATCCACGAGTTTCTGTGCCATTTTGTGTTACCTCTGGATAACCATCTGATAAAGTCTCTGTAGTCGATGAAAAAGTCCTCCCAAGCAAATTGATGAGGGTTGAAGATAAATGGCGAGAACATCAATGACGACAACGAAGCCCAGAACCACAACAATGGTGCTTGCCAGTGGGCAACAGTACCAAACAACAATATCAACATCAATCTTGCACCCATATAAATTGAGGAATCTGCAAAACGAGAATACAAAATTGAAAACGGAATTCTTGATGTGGCAAAACCTCTACCGGTCGATATATATCTAGCACCACCAACTGTTAAATCAGTGAAAACAGATGATGAATAAATCTGAGCAACAAAAACTTCAAACATTGGTGACAATGAAATAAAATGTCTCACAAACCTCTGGAAAGCTTTCCAAACACCCCTTTCGATCAACTCTTGCACAACCAATGGAATGAACGAAATGAAAAACACAATGAAAATGGACAAAGTATAACGTCTGATCCAGTCAACAGCTGGAGCAAGGTTATAACAACCATATGGGTACAAGACATCTTGAATTGGAACATCTTTATTATAAGAACAAATAATAGATTCATGCGCCAATGAATTTAAGTTAGCCAAAACCAAAATGAAAACTTGCAACGACATTTGAATAAACAAATTGTTGATGTGGAAACCTGGGTGACCATAATAAAAAGATAAGAAACGATCCAAGGGCAATTGAGTAGACAAATAGTAATACTCTCTAGACAACATCTGCTCACCCATACCGGCACCAATCTTTGTTGTAAAGTTCAAAATCGAACCAAAACCCATATCTCTACCTTTACCACATTGGTAATATTCACAATGCTTAATCTTACCACCTCTCATCATTGCTGTCATACCTGCATAAATATCCTCATTTAAATGCAAACCTTTTTGAGCTTTAGAAACACCACCTCTGGTCAACATAAACGTTGCATTCAAAAAATCCGGATGACCATAGTGTAATTTACCACCAATCTGGGCCAATGTTCTAGCAAACAAAGTACCAAAAGTCTGCTCCTTACCGGCGGCAACATCACCCAAAACACCAGAGTTTTCTGAAAAGATATATTCTCTAGCACCCAATATAGCAACTGGATCCTTCTTCTCAGCTTGCTCTTCACTCTTCAAGTTTGGTGCATATGGGTTGACATGTTCGACATTTAATTCTTCAAATTCAGCCAAGACTGATCTAATCTTTAAACATTCTTCCAAATAGTTATCTTGATTGGCATCAATCAATTGGATGTACTCACCTCTGTGGAAAATAATAGCATGATTTTGATTATCTGACTTACCATCACCCAAGATTGGGTTACCTGACAATTGAACTCTAAACTTAGGACGGCGTCTACCGTTTTCCAACATCTCACAATGACCATCAATCAATGAAGAATAAACTCTTGGTTCTCCATCCTCTTCCAAAGCTGGTTCTTCGTCCAAAAAGGCAATTTGTAAGTCAGGGTAGGCACGCAACAAAAACTCGGCATTTTCCATTTCGTCATCTTTAAATTTGGCTAATCTTTGCATGGAAACCAAAAATCTAAATTTTCTTCTAGCCATTTTCTCAAGTGCCATTTCAAGGCCTTCTGGATCTCCACCAAAATATTGAACTAATTCAGGGTTTTCAACTCTGTACAATAATTTAATGGCTCTTGCATAATTCATAAATCCAGAAACAGTTCTGTATAATGTCTGGGATCTCAACGAAGCCCAGATTCTTGTTCTCAAAGTGTACTCTGGTGCAGCAGATTTGAAACCAATACAGTAGAATGGTAAGTCATCAATCTTTGATTTCAAACCATCTTCAGACAGTTTTTCAGAATCATCAACATTCTCGTATGCAGCAGTTTCCTCAGCCAAAATCTTTGTATCCTTCACAAAACAATCCCACTCAACCGGGTGCAACTGTTTCAAATATTCCAATAAGGTAACTCTTGAAAACTGATCATCTTCTCTAATAATTTCTCTCAATGACAACAAAATCTTTTCAGAGTAATGTGGTGTAAAAACAGTAAATGTGGGCATATTGTCCACAGGTAACGGTTCGGGAATAGGAGTAGCCAAAGATTGAGCAAAAAAGGAGATTCTTCTTTCAGCTTCCGAATTTCTTGGGAAAAATTCAGTTTCGAAATTGTTATCATCCTGTGAAACGAAAAAGGTTGGGGCTCTCAATGTTCTTTTACCTTCAATTTCAGATGGAACTTGATGATACAATAATTTTTGCACATGGTCAATGGCCAATAAATGTTCTCTGTACATGGAAATAACAATAGCATTCCAAATTTGTGAAATCAAGACTTTTGGCTTGTACTTGATTTCCATTTCAGTGGTGGCTAAAATCTTTGAGTATATTCTTTTTGGAAGCCTAGTAAAAATGTTTCTCCATGGCGTTAAAATTGAAATACCCAAATAAAATGAACGTCCAATGGAAAAGATACAGTTACAAATAATGTACCACATATAAGTATCCAAAAAGAACAATAACAAATCAACTGCGTACATCAATCCCAAAACAATCTTTGCTTGGTGTCTACAAACACGAACACCATACCAAACTTCACCGACACATCTCATTTCCATTGTTGACAAATATCTAATTGGATCTCTCAAGGACAAGGTCAAAAAGAAATAAGACTCGGTCAATTTTGCAAGGAAAACCAAAAACCAAAGTAAGTACGACATCCACATGTCCAAACCTTTCAATTTGATGAAATTGGCTGTAAAAGTTTGTGATGAAATGAATTTTCTTGACCTCTTGTTCATGTACGAAGTGAATAAACCACCCAATGGCATAATGGAGAAAAACACCAATGTAGCAATAGCTATGAAAAACCCAACTATAGAAACAGCAAGGGCAGATTTGGAATACAATACTAATCCTGCTACTTTAAAGGTGTAAACAACAGGCACCAAATTGAGGAGGAAAATCAATATCAAAAACATTAACCGGCGAGTCAAATGTTGTGCACCTGCCCATTCTCTGGGAACAAACATCCATTCAAAAAGCGTTGCCAAAATTTGAATAAATGATGCAAGGATACCACCAATTGCACAAGCGGCCCATCTTGAAGAAGCAAGCGGTTGATTATTCAAAGTCTGAACATAATGCTTAGTGTACAAGGTTGGCGAATTGTATGCGGTGTACATCCAATAAATTGTAAAGTGAATAATCCAAATTCTGTTGAAATTGGTGATAAAATGCAACCAAGTTCTAATTTCTTTATAAGTTTTGAAAAACACATTACCCCATTCAACTTCTCCTAATCTCAAATAACGTTCTTCCTTTGGAATGTCAACCAATCTGGTACCGTCATTAAATAAAATTCTTGAGATACCTTCTGGGTACCAAAACAACTGATTAACGTCATCATAACCAATGACTTTGTTGTGATCCTTTTCACGCTTAACAAATCTTCCTTCATATACTTCGTAAACCTGCGATCTAAGAAATCTGTACAATGGAGTAATGACTCTATTCAAATAGTCACCTTCTGGTACCGGTTCTTGTCTCTGTTGACACAATGGAGATTCTAAATAATCATGTGCAGACTTGTAAATGTAGCACAAACACTCTGGTGTAAAACGCACTTGATTAGCTTCACCCCACAATAATAAATAAAGTGCAATATCACAAACTCGCTCTTCGGGTGTCAATGCATTCATTCTTGCTTTCCATCTGATTTCCGCAGCTTCCAACGAGTAGTCACCTTCTAATTCATTAGCCAAAGCATCCACGTCTTGCCCATGTTCCTCAGCAGCTTTTCTTGCCTTTTTTGATTTTTTAGAAGCTTTTCTTGCTTTTCTACCAACTTTTCCCAATGTCATACTAGCAAAACCAATAGAGTCATCTAAATCTTGTTGCGAAGAAAAAAACCATTTTCTGTAATTGGCATTGTCACCACCAATGTAATCTGCATGCAAGCTCAATAATGCTTGCGCGGGGGACATACGTGAAGATCTCGAATCCAATAATGTCATGAAATAATCAAACATATTCCTCATTGAATCTCTTTGAAAACCAAACTTGTTTGTCAAGTCAATGAAAATATCTTCAATATGCTCAATTTTGATTGGAGCTTGTGGATCTGCTGACCATGCTGGGTACGGCAAATTGGACGAGATGTGAAACTGTGAAGGATCATAGCCTTGACCTTGGCCACCATAGATTGGCGTCGAGGCACCCGAAGACCTTGGATCTCCTCCATAACTCATTTGAGAAGGTGTGTATTGTGTTCCATATTGGTCATAACCTGGCGTGCCTGGAGTTTGTCCTCCACCATAGCTAAAATCCGAAAACGCTTCGGGATCAGCGTTATACCCCTGAGCATTCATTGGCTGACCATGATATTGGTTGGGATCTTGGTACCCGTCCATATCGTAAGGCTGTTGATGATACTGAACGTTGGGATCTTGATTATACTGAAAATTGGCGTCCTGATTGTACTGTGCATTTGGATCGTAAAAATCTTGTTGTGGCTGCTGTGGCTGTTGCTGTTGAAGCGGCGGTGGTGGCACTTGCTGCGGCTGTTGCTGGGGATTGTTGCCATTACTATCATCATATGCTTGCTGATAGTAGCCACCACCATTACCACTACCACCCTGTTGATTAGGATCGTAGTAGTTATGAGGGTTGTTATCGTTATACGACATCTAATTACTTTTCGTTAGTATCACCTTTAATTGAACCCAGTAGTTGCAAAAAACTATGGTAACAATTCTGGAAACCGGTATCTCTATTGTCCGGTGTGAATCAATGTGTAACAATCAAGGGGAACCCACAAATCAGATCAAAAAAAAAAAAAACACTGTAAATGTAAAAGTGAAACTGGTAAGATTTGTAGTGAACGAACAAAAAAAAAAAAAGAAAAAAAATATTAATATCAGTGTATTAATATTAATATATTAGTTTAGTTTTGTTCGTTACCAGGAAAATACAGTGAAATTCTTGGATAGCAATAAGAAAGCGGAATAATAAAGGTGCTTTTCAAAACGTGCAATATGGGAGGAGTGGAGGGGGGGTAAGGATCTGGATAATATAGATTACTTGAAAAGATTCTCCTTGATTAAACTTCCTTGAAATTAATGATAACTCTGAGAATAAGTGGAAAAATAATAATGGGTTGTAATAGAAAATGGACCCAGCAAGACAGCCTTTCTCGTTCTGTCTTTAAGGGTGAATATCTTTCTTTTCTGGAAAAGACGATTGAGCCTGGCTCTCTCTCTCTCTCACTCTCTATCTTTTTCTTTTTTTTACTTTCTGGAGTAAATCTAATTTTAGCTTGTAAAAATGGGTCAAGGTTGTAATACCTGCAATAGCAATTCTAATTCGAAAAATAAAATTAAAATAAAAAAAAAAAAGAAAAGGAAAAAAAAAGACTTCTTTTTCCGTCTTTTTTTTTTTGTTCTAAGGAAATCTGAAATCTGTATATCTGTGAATCTTCGTGTAGGTGTGAGGAAGAAACATATAAGTAGATAGCTATTGACCACAAAACGTGTTGGCTTTGACTTCTATCCCACTTTGATATAAAATCGGTGCCGAATTTTCAAAATACCCAAGCGTGTGAGTTCTTTCTTAGTTCTTATTGGCACGACAAAAAAGACTGATGTTGAAATCCGTCTATAATGTAATTTGTTAAAAAAAAAAGTGTACAAGCTCAAGCTCAAGCTCAAGCGTGCCAAATGCAAAAGCAAAAAACCCGGATGTTATACCATCCAAGGTCGAGGATTGATTTTTCGAACGCAAACTGTGTTAATTTTTCTCTCTTTCACTATAGTTAAACATCGCCTTAATTGAGTTATCAGTGTCTGACTCCTGAGACAAAAATAAAGACAAAGTACGTGCACTTTTGGCTAAAAGAAACTATGAAATTTCTTTTCCTCCTTAAACATTTTTAGTCGGTTTATTTTAAAGTGTCTTTGTTTTTTTTTTCTCTCTCTCTAGTAGAGTGAACTTCACTTGCAAACTTTGAATTTTTGAAATCATTATTTGGTTAAGAATAGCTCTCTTAAAATAATCTTTCGTATAGTCTTGTCTAAGTCTCTTTTTCTTATTGTTTAGTTGAGTGGCGAGAAAAAAAAAGTAATGAGATCTAAATGTATTGAGAACAAGGCCAAATGTCTCATCACCATCATGGTTATAAAAAAAATACAACCTCTCATAATTGCCTCTGATTTTCTGCAATCTTGACATAAAATTCGTATTTTTGTCTAGGTGCATTATCATTTTAAAAAACTTATCATCATGTAAAAATTTATTGGTTCTTGCTAAAATTTGTCTTCAACCTCTGAGATAATGAAATATAAATTGTTTTTACACTACCCAATTTCAAGAGTGAAAAGTTAAAATCCCAGTTCGGCTCTTGATATGGAATATTATTGCTGCCAAAATGTACAAGAGCTGAGCTTAATTGGTGATGGCTCTTTTCTATATTTTTTCATTCTAGTTCATCATATCTCCTCACTTTTTCCCCAGCTAGGTCGGATCAAGTCATATCTTTTCACTTTTTCCCCAGCTGGGTCGGATCAAGTCATATCTCCTCACTTTTTGCCCAGCTGAGTCGGATCAAGTCATATCCTCAAAATTAATTTATCTTCTCTCCCCTCCCCTTGATTGCGAATCACAAGCTTTAATCCTCTCTTACAGTTTAAATCTTAACCCCTTCTTCTCCGTCTTTTCTTTTCCTTTCCTCCCTCTATCTATCCATCTATCTCCTTATTTCCATCTCTCTCTTTTATTCAATGATCAGTTCTCCAGAACCCGAGTTGTCCATAGTTTTTAAGCTCCAGCATAAACAAAATACGTACCCTTCTTCTAATGCCCTCCTTTCTTGTTCTTTATTCAATAAACGAATGAATTAATAATACGGATGAAACAAGAATAAGAATGAACAAGGTTGTAGTGTAGAAACACTTTAGTGATAACAAGGTTTCCACGAAAGAAAAGAAAAAAGAGAGGAAGAAAGGTTAAAAAGAAAAAAAGTTTTTTAAAAAAAAGAAGGACAAGAAAATATCGGAAATGTCAAACTTACTGAACAAAAAGAGAGACTCTTCAAAAACTTTATCTCCCACTGTGAAGTTCTTTTTGATAGAAAATAGAAAGAAAAAAATAATAATCACTTCGAATCGGGGTACGCAACAACAATGTGTATATTCGATGCAAAGGTTTGTCCTCATTTGGCGCTTGATTTTGATCGATTTTTCGGTTGTATGACAAATCAGTAACAAAAATATGTCTAGAACAAAATGCCACAAAACAACTCACTTACCATAGTATTCTCTTCTATCTTACTCACCTACTTGCATTAAAGGAAACAACTCTCTTGTTTAAAAGGTAGTGTCTCTTTCTACAGCTAGTGTCTTTTCCGATATTCAAGGGTGAGACTTGCTTACATACTTACTGCAGGCTAGGTAAGATCATCTCAAAAGTTTCTATTTTTAACTTTTTTTTTTTTTTTCGCTTTCAAATGTCAAAAAATTTTCGCGTCGCGTAGTGTTTTATTGTTTAAAGCTGGACTTTTATCTACCCTGTCAAAACTACTAATCATGTCATCGCTTCCCACTCCACAACACAACTTTTCATGTTGTTTTGGTTTCTGTTGTTGTCGTTGTTGTTGTTGTTTTTTTTTCTTCGGCGGCTACTACGGAGGAAAAGAGGAGACCAGGAAGAAGATACTACTGTGTGGAATTTTGCGTTTTTCCAGTTCATACTAAACCAAGACGTTCTATACTCGTACTTCATGTATTTGGTTGAGTTCTACAATGAAACGAAAATGTTCATTTTCTAATCTACTTCTTTCAATGTCTGGTCTCAGTTTCTATCATTTTCTGTTCCTATTTTGTTCCTTCTTCTTTTCTTTTTTTCTCTACCTGCATCATATAACTGGTCTTGACCACATCTTTGGGGTCAATTCTTTTTTTTCACGATGATTCATATATCTTGGTTTTCCTCAAGATGGGGGGTAATGAAGAAGCAAGGTGCGGAGAAGCAACCACAACCAAAAAGCGGAAGGGGTGCTTAGCAAGAGGGTAAAGGAGAATCAACGCGTGTTCTGTAAATGAAATCAATGGAACAGCCGGCAAAATCTTTAAATTATGGTTATATCCATATCCAATATGGTAAGCAATTCCATCTTTATGCTTCCCCTTCTGTGTTTGTGTGTTTTTTTTTTGTTTTTTTTTGTATTTTGACTTCCCGCCTTTGAATGAAAGTTTTTGTATGCTTGCTAAAAGGTTAAAAAGAAACTTTGGAAAAAAAAAAAAAAATTAAATCATCTAAGCCGCAGTTTTATGATTTAGTACATTAAATTTCCTTATCGAGTAAATTGTTTCAATCGTGCGATTTTACAATCAGAGCCAATCTCCAAGGGTAAGTAGCAAATATAATTATTTCAACTAAAAGTTCTCTCTTCTGGTGAAAAATGTTTACTTGTATCTCTATTTCCCCTTTTCCCCTTATCCTAAATTTCTCTAAGCCTATTTACGTTTCCTGCATTAGTTTAAAAACTTTTATTCATTTTTTAACCAAATATTGAAAAAAGCAAGTAATTCAAGAAAAACATCGAGACTATCGAGCAGAGCGAGATAGTGGAGCACACTAGCTGCCACCGACACCAATATGTCAATAAGATAGCTCTATATTTAATAGAACGATCTGTATTTTTGAAATTCATCTCATAAGCGTCCCCCTTGTAGCTAACAACAGTAAAATGCATTTTTGAATAACTACATCTAATTCCTTCTAATCTCCAGTTGGTCACGTGTTTCAGCTTATTCACGAGATACAGTTCACGTGACTCAATATACACTCAAATGAGAAATTTTTCACTTACTTTTTTCATCATCTACTACCTCTTCAACTCTATTAAAAATACTATTTTAAAACACCTGTACTGCCCTATATCTATATCTATATATATATATATATACATACATAAATATACGCAATTTTTTTATTCATTCCAACCTAATGTTTGTAATTCATTTCTTATTTCATCCTCCTTTGAAATTTTAATCACCTGAGTGTCCTCTAACGATTCACCACTGGCTTGTTTCATCTTTAATTGTTCAATGGCTCTCAATTTCTTCAATAATGATCGAATTTTCTTTTCTTCTAATGACGCTACACCTCCATATACCACTCCACTAGTTTCTTCTGACTTTCCAGCAGCAGTAGCAGCAGTAGCAGCAGCAGCAGCATTGCTGCCGATACCGGCATTACCAGGCGTATTTGGTGCCGGGCTTGGCGATTGCTGCTCTTTACCCTTTTTTGCTTCTCTTTTCTTCCTATTTTTAGCAGCTGCTTTACTTTCCTTTTCAACTACTGGTGCAGCACCTGGTACAACTCGGTGCCTTGGCGTAGTTCCTCCATTTTTGGTAAACCCTGGTGGCGGCGATGGAGTAACACCTCTGATGCTATTCTCAAGTTCTCTTTGATGCAACGATGTTGACTGAGCTGAAGAATTGCCGCTTCCACGTGCATGTGGTGGACGATACGCACCAGCGGGTTTAGTGGCTGCAGCGTTTGCCATTGCATCACGTTTGGCAGTATATTCTAAAGTAGATTCATGTGCCTCTGGAGCTGGCTCTAAAACACGCAACGCTGGAAACAAACTCAAATCCTGAGGCTTCCATCCAATGGAATATAATTCCTGAAATTCTTTCAAGTAAATTAGCTTCCCACTAGCATGCCAAACCTTTAACCCATTATCAACTCTTAACCTAGGAGATGTTGTGGCTGTTAAAATAAATCGTCCACACGGAGACCATTCACATACTGAAGTATTCGATGCTTCAAATGTAACAACCTTTGAAAACTTATTTTGACGGTCATATACATCAACTGTACCTTGCAAATTACCAAATCCAGCAACTAAAACAAATTTGGCATGTGGAGAATATAATATGGTGTTTCTTGGTGCAATGGGTAAAGAATGTATAGCGTTACCTCTAGCATCAAAGAAAGTTGTTTCCGAAGGCATATAGCCATACGACACGGCAAACTCACGAGCAGTTGGAGACCAAGTAATGTCATGAATTGGCCCCTCTCTTTGCAAATCGATTCTTGAATCATATGAGCCAGCTATTCCTAATAAATAAAGATTAGTTTCACCATAATACGACTGGTTAGTAGTGTCATGGTCAGTTGAAGCCAATGCTAACAATGCAGTCCCCAAGGAGTTCCATTTCAATTGACACCTTTCAGCTTTGAAAAAGTTTTTGAAGCAAATTGGCAGATTGAAATTTGGTATATTGTAGATAGACACGTTTGCCGGATTACTTGATTTCTCAGGTATGAAAACGGCTAAACTTGGATTTTTTCCGGGAGATATTTGAAAGTTTTGAAATGTTGATTTAGAATCATCTAATCTGTACTTGTGATTTGGTTGATTCATATTAATCACAGTTGAGCTTTGTGAGTCAATTTCGAAAAATTGTATTTCACGGTTATTGACGCCTCTACTGAACAATGTCTCTTCACTTGTAAATTGCGGCTTCCAACCATTTTGATGCTTGACACTCCATTCAGCAATTATCGATTTGGTCAAGACATTAAAAATTTTTAAGTTGTTGTTCCATGTGCCATTCTCTTTATTCAACTGCACGGGTTTACACCAAAGACATAAGAACGATCCTTTTGGTGAAAAGCATATATCAAATACTTCGGGCATTTCAATACGATGATACAACTGAGCTTGTGCCAAAGTGTCTAATATCACAACCTCATTAGGTTGAGTATATGCAAAAAAACGTCCATTTTTCGAATACAATGCTGCTCGACATTCAGCCAGTGCTTTTGGAGAAATGGTGATATCTTGAAAATCCTGGAAAATTTCAACGGATTTCGGGAGACGGCCTAAACAGGATGAGGGAATAATTTCGTTAGTAATCAAAATAATACTTTTTAGAGATGTCCAATTTAAAGACATCTCTAAAAATGAGTCTCTCTAAAGGTGTCTCCAGAGGTGTGTCCAGAGGTGTGTGTTCTCTAAAGATCGACATCTTTGGAGATGCCTCTAGAGAGACATCTCTCGTGAGGTATCTCTCTAAAAGTGTGTTTCTCACTTACTCAGTTGATCTTACATACAATAAAACTCTGTAGATTTCGACATTCTTAACGACCCCTGTTCTAAGTTTTTTTTCTCTCTTTTTTCTGTTTTTAACTATGCACCAACCTTTTTACAAAGCTATTGCCAATTGTTACTGCTCCTAAAGTATTTCTCCGGCGGGAGTAAGGGTGTAAAACTGATTTTTTTTGATGGTGTTAATCCTTCTCGAATAGAAATCTCGAATATAAGATCTCGATTTTTTTTTTCCCTTACTTTCTTTTCGTTCACTTTGTAATCAAAGAGTGAAAAAAAAAAAAAAAGTTTCGCAACAAGATGCAACTACATTTTGATTTTCTTTTTTCTTTTCCATTGGTTTGTTTTATTAAAGGGATTTCTAAGCAAAGTAAGAAGAAGAAGAAGGAGGAGGAAGAGGAGAAGGAGGAGGAGGAGGAGGAGGAGGAGGAGGAGGAGGAGATAAAGATATTGAGAGATCATTATTAGTCCTTTTTCACCTCTCCAAAGTTTAAATGACCAGTTTGTTCAGCATGTTTTGAGGCGCCCACTTCTCCAATTAATATCAGATAACAATCCAAACATCGCACACGGAAAGTTGTTGTATTTGTAGAATAATTTTTCTCCTGTAATAATTTGCAAAGTTTATTAGTTGCATCAATTATAGTTTTCTCTTCATTAGTATTGAGTTCCCAAACACATTCGTCCGTGTCTTTGTTCTTTGTTGATAATTTGCTATTGATAGCTAATACGTCATAATGTACACCACTGTATATTAGCAAAATGAATTTTGTTGGATTTTGCTCTTCATTTTTTATTTTGATGAAATTTCCCAGCTCTATATCAACACATGTTATCTGCACATCAAACCAATCGGCTAATATCCCCAATTCAATTGCGCCGCCCCAACTATCCTTCTTTAATATCCATTCACAGTACTCTTTACGTGGCCGACCTAGTATCGTGTCTGAATATAGCACCGCGTTTTTTTCTATATAACTCACAACAACTTTGCGTAGTTCCTCGGGGGGCGAAACCGATTTGTATGACGATGCTCCTGAAATTGCATACGATACTGAGTTGAATAAACAAGAATTGTCATCGGGGATGTTCCTCAATATTAGATACTTCTTCAATGAGTTCATATACACAGCAGGTATATCCTCTCTTGTATCGGCTTTTTTACTCGGCGGATTATCATCATCATCACCACCGTCTCCACCGTCTCCACCACCACCACCGTCGCCATCATTCTTACACGTTGCAACTTGAACCTCCTTTCTTCTACTCAGCTCTTCCAAATCCGACGAGGCGGACAACTTTCGCTTCATAGACGCAAAACTAATGAGTAATTGATCGCCATCATTTATTCCCTTATCCAGTATGGATTCAGTTAGACTATATGAAAGATCAATAGGTTTTGGTGGGAACCCTGTTTTTACCGATGTAACCACTTCAGACACATCAGTATGTAAATCTTTATTCAATTGAATCTCCGATAAGAAGTCCTTGAAAAGATGGCTTGGGTCGACATTGATGGTGGCGACCCCTCCATCTGCTTTAAGTTTGAGTCTCATGCAAGGGGGGAAAGATTTATATCGACATGAAGTGGCATAAGACTTTGTAATAGTCGATAGCGCGCGCGCCGCCTTTGATGGTTTAATTTTTTTTTTCTCTTCGTCTTATAAATGGGGAAGAGAAGATTGTGTTGATATAGCGCGATAATATAGGAAAATAGAGAAAACGGAGCTTTTGCTATAATTGAAGGGGAGGAGGAGAAAACGGAGCTTTTGCTATAATTGAAGGGGAGGAGGAGAAAACAGAGCTTTTACTATAATTGAAGGGGAGGAGGAGTCAAAATTGGGAATTATCTTTAATTTTCCATTTCAACTTCTATCGATACTTGCGTCAGCTGATCTAAGCTAACAGTTTCAGCTTGCTGTTTCTGAAATTGTTCAGATGGAACACCAGTGATTATTGCACTTAGAGTATCCCTTTTTTGACTATTCACTTTGTCGTACTCTTCTTTATTTTCAATCTTGAAATGCTCCAATTGCTTGTATTTTTCTACCGACTCCATAAATTTCAACATGTTGACACCACTGGCAGCTTCAGCTTCTAATGGTGTATATGGTCTCTCCTTCAAAATCTTTACCCTTCTCTTATGAACCTTAGACTTTTGATGGCGATCTAGACTTATTTGATTTTCAAAGTATTTTGCACATTCTATACAATAGTATTGACCCAACCCAGGCTTATACTCATCCAAGGGCTGGTTTTTGAGATTGTTTATAGACTTTGTGGTAGCGAGATCATTATATATTAGGTCCAAATCTCTCGTTCTCCTCTTTGTCTTGTATCTTTTAACACTATACCTACCCATTTGATTTATTCGTGCACCCTATAAAATCACTCTTACCTCTTCCTTTTATATCATTAAAACAAGAGATGAGCTAAGATAATATCATTTACTAATAATATCACACGGGCTAGAGACCTAGGCACGTGCTGCAGATCCTTTTTTTCCGTCAATTTCTTTTTTTTTTCTTTTTTTCTTCCTCTTAATTTTTTTTTTTTCCCCTTTGCCTTGTATTAGGAAAGATTGAGCACTGAGCAAAAGTGGTAGAAAAATTACGTTTTGATTGAAAGACATACTGTACTGCTTCAAACCACTAAAGATTAAATAAGGTATGTTGATCCCACAAGGAACGAACATTTACACTAGAAGAATGCAGAGGATGGAGTCAAGAAGAATAGCGGCAGCAACAAGCAACAACAGGGTCTTAGACATTCACTAGTTGACCAGAAATTAATCACTACGGGGAGCTTACTTTTACACACATTTTTTTTTGCACTTTATGTATGAAAATTTTTGGATTTGTAATCAATCATGACATTTCCTTAGACATAAAACCCCCAATAATTGCAGCGTCATATACAATCTACATCAACATCATTCTTCCTTTTCCTTGAAATTACCCTTCTTTTTTTCTTCTTTCTTTTACACCCTTTTCTAGTACTAACAAATTTCTTTTTCAAATAGACAAAAATGGCTAGAAGACCAGCTAGATGTTACAGATACTGTAAAAACAAGCCATACCCAAAATCTAGGTACAACAGAGCTGTTCCAGATGCTAAAATCAGAATCTATGATTTAGGTAGAAAGAAGGCACCAGTTGACGAATTTCCATTATGTATTCACTTGGTTTCTAACGAGTTGGAACAATTATCATCTGAAGCTTTGGAAGCTGCTCGTATCTGTGCCAACAAATATATCACCAAGATGTCTGGTAGAGATTCATTCCACTTGAGAGTTAGAGTACACCCATTCCACGTCTTACGTATAAACAAGATGTTGTCATGTGCCGGTGCTGATAGATTGCAGCAAGGTATGAGAGGTGCATGGGGTAAACCACACGGTTTAGCTGCCAGAGTTTCAATTGGTCAAATCATCATGTCTGCTAGAACCAAGGATTCCAATAAAGAAGTTGTTATTGAAGGTTTGAGAAGAGCTAGATACAAGTTCCCTGGTCAACAAAAGATCATCATTTCAAAGAAATGGGGATTTACACCATTGAACAGAGAAGAGTACGTTGCTAAAAAGAATAACGGTGAAGTTTTGGATGACGGTGCTTATGTTAAGTTCTTGTCAAGAAAAGGTAATTTGGAACAAAACTTGAAACAGTTTCCTGATTTCCACTACAACGCTTAAGTTTTTTAGAACAGTGAGTAGTAATAAACATGTATAAGAATTTGACCTAAACAATTACAGACACTATCGAGCAGAGCGAGATAGTGGAGCCTCATTGACTATCAGGTTTTCAACTTCTAAACGACAATTTTTGAAACTTTTGAGTATAAACCCCCTTTCCAAATTTCAAATGTCAAACTCCCTTTTCAACAAAGTTTTCTCTTTGTCAGTGGTAGAAGCTCTGTATGTAATAACAGAAACGGAAATATCATTTTTATTGACAAATGTCACATGCTTCATGATTTAGAACTCCGATTCTCTTATTCCATTTCAAAATGCGCCACTTGCTTTAAAAAGAAAAAAAAATAAAGGTTTGTTACTTCATTGAAATGACAATCTTCTCAATGTGTGTGCCAGTGTGAGTGAGACACATAAGAATCATTTTATAGTGAACAGAAAACCTCTTAATTTGAATTTACCATTAATCCAGCTGTAATCGTCTTTTTTTTCTTCTATATAAGATTGAGCTAAACAGAAATTGCAATTAAATTTGAGCAAAAAATTGACATTATTGTTTCTCCCCCCCCCC